CCTACTGGTACAAGACTGACCCCAACCTTCACATTACTGTCCTCCTACTTGTACAAAACTGACCCTAACCTTCACATTACTGTCCTTCTACTTGTACAAAACTGACCCCAACCTGCACATTACTGTCCTCCTAATTGTACAAAACTGACCTCAACCTTCACATTGCTGTCCTTTTACTTGTACAAAACTGACCCCAACCTGCACATTACTGTCCTCCTACTTGTACAAAACTGACCTCAACCTTCACATTGCTGTCCTTTTACTTGTACAAAACTGACCCCAACCTTCACATTACTGTCCTCCTACTTGTACAAAACTGACCCCAACCTGCACATTACTGTCCTCCTACTTGTACAAAACTGACCCCAACCTGCACATTACTGTCCTTCTGTTTGTACAAAACTGACCCTAACCTTCACATTACTGTCCTCCTACTGGTACAAAACTGACCCCAACCTTCACATTACTGTCCTCCTACTTGTACAAAACTGACCCTAACCTTCACATTACTGTCCTTCTACTTGTACAAAACTGACCCCAACCTGCACATTACTGTCCTCCTAATTGTACAAAACTGACCTCAACCTTCACATTGCTGTCCTTTTACTTGTACAAAACTGACCCCAACCTGCACATTACTGTCCTCCTACTTGTACAAAACTGACCTCAACCTTCACATTGCTGTCCTTTTACTTGTACAAAACTGACCCCAACCTTCACATTACTGTCCTCCTACTTGTACAAAACTGACCCCAACCTGCACATTACTGTCCTCCTACTTGTACAAAACTGACCCCAACCTGCACATTACTGTCCTCCTACTTGTACAAAACTGACCCCAACCTGCACATTACTGTCCTCATACTTGTACAAAACTGACCTCGACCTTCACATTGCTGTCCTTTTACTTGTACAAAACTGACCCCAACCTGCACATTACTGTCCTCCTACTTGTACAAAACTGACCCCAACCTGCACATTACTGTCCTCCTACTTGTACAAAACTGACCCCAACCTGCACATTACTGTCCTCCTACTTGTACAAAACTGACGTCAACCTGCACATTACTGTCCTCCTACTTGTACAAAACTGACCCCAACCTGCACATTACTGTCCTCCTACTTGTACAAAACTGACGTCAACCTGCACATTACTGTCCTCCTACTTGTACAAAACTGACCCCAACCTGCACATTACTGTCCTCCTACTTGTACAAAACTGACGTCAACCTGCACATTACTGTCCTCCTACTTGTACAAAACTGACCCCAACCTGCACATTACTGTCCTCCTACTTGTACAAAACTGACATCAACCTGCACATTACTGTCCTCCTACTTGTACAAAACTGACCCCAACCTGCACATTACTGTCCTTTTACTTGTACAAAACTGACCCCAACCTTCACATTACTGTCCTCCTACTTGTACAAAACTGACCCCAACCTGCACATTACTGTCCTTTTACTTGTACAAAACTGACCCCAACCTTCACATTACTGTCCTCCTACTTGTACAAAACTGACCCCAACCTGCACATTACTGTCCTTTTACTTGTACAAAACTGACCCCAACCTGCACATTACTGTCCTTTTACTTGTACAAAACTGACCCCAACCTTCACATTACTGACTTTGTGCTTTATAACTAATCAACATAGGGTTTCCCTTCTAATCTGCCATTCTCTGATCCTTTCCTGCAGTCACTGAACTCAACCTGCACATAAGTAATCTTCATACTGCATATCACTGACTCTGCACACGTCAATATCCTAGATTTACATATAGTTTTCAATCAGAACTTACATATTCTAAATTCTCTCCCAAAATAACCATTATACTATTGAAGCCATCTTCTGCTGATGAGTTTTATTTCAGGATGGTATAATTGTATGTTGTCCTGGATCAGATTTTACTTTCTGTAAGAATAATGAACATACTTGTAATTGAATTTTAAACTTACCTAGAAATAGTTTGTAACTCAAATGGAAATGAAGATTGTTGGTAAAAATTATGAACGGAAATTGTTTGAACTTTAAGGTTGAAGTACATATACTGATTAGGTTTAAGTGCGAGATATCTGAGATTGAGATCAAGAGAAAATTGTTCTTAGAGCAACCAATTTGCTATATATTTGTCATTGATAGGAACTTATATTAATGATTATATTACAGCATGGTCTATGGGGTAATGTTACAGTACTTTTCTGATAATATATCATTTATCTTAGGATGTCTTGATATAAAGCAATGATATCATGACATGTTTGACAGAGACACTGTTTTATCTCTTAAATAAAAAATTGTTGAAATATCCTTCCTTGTCATATATCAAGGTTGAAATATGTGATATGAAGTAACTGTAGATGAAATTGTTTTGTTGCTATTTTAGGAAAAGTCTGCTAAGATATCACCTACATTTGAAAAGTTATTCTATATAGTATTTCAGGAAACTTTTTCACTTGTTAACCTGATTATAGAAGATTATATAAAAATGAGTCCATCTCAAATTACATGATATACAGAACAAAACAGATGGTGTAACAAGAGACCATCATGTTTCTGATCACATATGTTCAAGTACCTTGATAGGAAAATGTAATTTATAAGGGTTTTGCCAAGTGGTGTCATTAATATCATCAGTTTCAGTCCTAACAGCTCAAGCCATGGTAGACTTGGAAAAAACTTTCAGAATTCATTAATGATTAATTTCCTCATTTTCATGCCGATAATTGGATACATGCTCAGTAATTATTTCCCAACTAGGATATACAAGAGAAAACTACAGTGCTTGGTGTCAGTTCATCCATTTGTCAGTCCATCAGAGTTGTTAAGGGCACATCTCATATACATTTATCATTGTCAAAGATCATGTTATAAGATGTCAGATACTGCAGTAAGGAAAGTTGTATGTAATTACATATAGAGTACTGAGAATTTCATTGTACAATGAAATGGGATGATTGGGTAATGCAGTGGTAGACACATTCCCCTTTCACCTAGATTGGAGTTTAATTCTTTAATAAGACATGAAAGAAATGCGGTCAGTCCTGTCTATCTCATAGCTTTACCCTTTGTACTTGGGTTTCCTAGCTCCAACAGAAAGACCTCTCACGAGCTTCACTCTGGGCCAACAAGAGTGTTTGATATAAGCTTTCTGTGTTTGCAGTCGTTATAAATGAAAGTGATACAGGGCCTTGATTCCACTGTTTGCTGAGTTACTGTTAATTACTTAGATTGGAGAAATAATAAATTCTGCAAATGTACCCCTTAAGGCATATTCATGAATATATAAGTCTGATCTAAAAATAACTCTAAGTTTGCAAGTTATGAACTGGTATAGAGACCTGGACTCACCAATATTGTTAACGGATGACTTCCTATTGGTTACCATTTTGTTTATGAGAATTATGTGTCTATACCTGAAAATGTCTGAACAGACAAGGTAAACATGTAGTTAAGTATTGTGACTATATGATGTGGAATTTGTTGTGGAATCACCTTAGATACCATCCAGAGTTGTTATTTTTATTTCCATACAAAAAATCATGAGAGACTTGAATTTGTCATTGACTCTCTTCAGGTTATAACTTTAGATATATATGATTTACAGTTTGTCCCTTTGTTTATCGTCCATCTGTTTGGTCATACTCGGTCATCTATAACTAACAAAACATGTATACCAGTACCTCTTGGGATTTCAACTTAGTGTTAAATAATTGAATTAGGATATACAGCTAACTAGGTATTCCAGAATATCAGGAAAAATGCTTCCAAGGATAATTAATATCTTAATTTGAAGTATTTTCTATAGATAAGGGACTTAGAATTGTTTACAATAACTTGCCTAGAGGATTTATCTGTAATAGTGACATATCAATAAAGACACTAACTAATATTGCTTGTTCTCAAATATATCATCTAGACATTGGTTAAACTGTATTCTTTTTATAGAAACTCTTGGAATACAAGACTGTGTATCATATCTGATTGGGATAATACTCAGTCATCTGAATTATATACTTGATAAGCTAGGATATCTGTTATTTAAAGCCCTGAAATGTCCCCTACAGTTATTGACATTAAACACAGTCTACATTTCTTCTGTAGTGTGGTTGGAGAGATAAATCAGCCAGGCGGATGACAATAATTTATATACACACTCAAAGCCATATAACATGCTTTATAGAAAATGCACATGAGATAGTTGATATGAAATATTTAACAATGATACCTTATTTCAGCCAAACCCATTGGCTGTATGCTGTGTTGTTATTATTACAGTAGTCAATGTCTGTAATCCAAGTTTGATCTTCATCAAAGGCTACAGAAAAAAAGGATCAATTTCATATATCTCAATCGACATAAAAACAGGGGGAAAAAAACATATTTTAGGAGATTTCTGGTATATTACACAGCAGACCGAATATAGATTATCACGAGAATTTTTGGTAAAACATTGGTGTAGATGATGATTATATGGTAACCAAAATAATGTATTATATTGCCTATCAACAAGAATGATGGTAATTATTCATTTGTATACATACATTAATACGAAGTCAATGTGTGAAATCGGACTCACTAGGATATTTAATAAGGTTTGAGCCAGACTTTTTCTGTTGGTGATTATGCTTGGTGATATATATGACTGCTATATCTTGTACTATATCTATCTATATCAGCCCGACCCTCTTAACATGCTGGATTTTAAAATGAATTTAAGTAGGCAATATTATTAATTTTGAAGGAACTATTTGGCATGACAGTTAATCTGTATCTTTTTGTTAAAAAAAGAGTCATTACTGAAGGTGACATATCTTCTGTAAAATGGATATTGTCTAAATCTCTAAAACCACCCCCTTTTATTTCTTCACCTTCCCCCTGAAACTTGAAAGATTGGTGTGGATCCCTGGTCATGAATATCAATCAATCAATCAATTATAATGAAATAAAAATATCACACAGATATTCTAACATCGGGTTTGTTCTTATGTTTTCAGGAGGCAATGTCACAGAATAAAATGAATGTGTTACATTGGCATATTGTGGATGATCAGTCTTTCCCGTATCAGAGCAAGGTCTACCCTGACCTCAGCGACAAGGTACGTACATTGATCAGCATACAGACATTTCTGACCACATGCAGTGTCGGTTGATCAGATGATGAGCATTGCTGTGTCTGCCTTTACATTACCATGATAACCAAACACTTTCAATTCTTTTTCTCGAGAGCCCTGAGAATAATTTATTCACAATTAGCATTTTGTAATAATTCCACGGAAATTGTATATAAACAGAGATGTAATTCTCAATTTAATTTCAGGGCCAACATGCCTTGCTCTAAGTTGCAAACATATACAAGTTTTAGAATTTCTAAACAGGAAATCTGTCTTTAGTGATAAGCTGTTTGTTAATTCATGTAAATTCTATAGAAACAATTGGTTGACATGGATTGTCCAGACTGAAACCTTATAACCCTGAACACTATAGGTTTGATGCAAAAAGCAAACATTATGTAAGATTTGCATAGTTTTCTAACTAGAAAGATACACCAGATTATTGTAACAGGGGTCATATCTTGCCTTTATACCTCAGCTAGGATTCGAATTAGGAGGGTTACATACTTCCTTTCAGGAAATAACTTACCTTCGAGTTTCCAGGGCTCACAGCAATGTCTGTAGGACAATGCTTAGTATTATTACCGAGTCCCTACCTGGGCACCATAGTAACAGAGACCATCATTTATTTTAAAGCCTCTGCTACGGTTTCTAACTCTGGACCTCTGACTTACTAGTGTTGCTTAACCAATCAAGCTAAAGAGAATTTCTCTCTAGCTGTACGATATATTGTGGCTAGTTTTTATCAGGGTTACATTATGATAGACAAACACTGATTCAGCCATAGACTTTGATTCTGATACAGGTGTGATTTCATTGTCACTTTATGTGTTCCATAATGAATGATAAAAATTCCACAGAATCATAAACAATTTTTGGATTGTTATGCTTTAGATATATTTTATCCTTACACTATATACCAATTGACAAGGGTATATCTGTCTTAAAAACCACAACACAACAATGAGAACATTTTAAACCACACAAAACTTATTTTTAAAGTGTTTATGGATCACTGTATATGATATCAACTTATTTTCCATTACATATGACAAAGCTGTGGAGCTTACTAATATTGGTGTATGGTTTTATAAATTTTGTTTATTCTTTAAATGTTCTTATTGTTTTGTTCACATGTTTAAACCACTCAGGTCAATCGCCTTTTAAGGTCACTTGAGACAAAGTCTCAAGTGATTGTGAGCGCCTTTTGTCCGGCGTCATAAACAATCTACATTTTTTACTTCTTCGCAATAACTGGAAGGCCTAGAGTTCTGATATTTGGAATGTCGCATATTGAGATGAAAGGCTATCAAGTTTTTTTCAAATGACCCACTTTCAACGTCACAGGTGTTAATTATCTTGAAATCTTCAAACGACCCCTTCTCAATAACCAAAAGACCCAGAGGTCTGATATTGCCTGTAGCATTGTTGGATTAAAGGGTACCAGGTTTGTTCAAGTGAATGACCTTGACCAACTTTTAAGGTCACAGGGGTTGAATGTTTGAGTATTTATTTTTAGTTGGAATTATAAAACTGTTTGTTCCCAATGTTGCCTAGTTTAGAGGCAATAATGCATAATCAATATTACAGTAACAGAGACAATAAGTTTAGGTGCAAGACTATTGGCTGTTAATTTCAAGAATGATATGAAAAAGTTGACTTCTTAGCAGAAGTTTCCCAGAAACTATTACAGGTATGTAAGAAAGGTAAATCCCCAGTGAGATGTATTAGATGTCGCATGCTTTTTTAAAATTCTTCAAAAATATCATGTAAGTCTGAATCAGATGTGAAATCTTATAGAATATCCTACTAGAAATTATTAATATTGCTAGTACCACTTCTTGATTCAGTTGTAAAATCTCTTATACTCCTCTATAATTATAGGGATATTAAGATTTGTAATGTGAAATTCAGCATCTTGGGAATTGTGTCATAAATTTGAAGTAGTTAAATAGAAGTTCTTATAATACAACCACAATAATGTTCCAAAAGTAGTTAGAAATAATGTACAGCACTCCTATTGGATTTGTTGTAACAGTAAAAGACGACTTTCTCTATAAAGATGGTGTGTATGTTAATGTAGAATTTACACAAGCTACAATTATGCTGTAATTGAACACCGTATGTGCTCTCATTTAGCAAAGCATTTTGTAGAGGTGTGCTGGTGAACAACACATAAAATACTTGGTGTTTCGGTGTAAGAAAGTGATAAATTCCATTCAATTATCGTACTTGCCTGCATATATGAATGCAAAACAGCGACAATTATCGCTGCTGTCGGATCCATCTCAATTGTGTAATATGACCACGGAGGGACTCTAATGGGCAGGCAACCCCAAGACTCAGAACCAGGATTAATGCTATGGATGTTTGATCATGACCAAGTCGCGACGGGGTAATCAATCTAGACTTGGAATTGACCTTGACAGGGTTTTTGACCTTCAGACTTGCTTCTAAGGCTTAATCAATAGCTATTTACTCATCCATGTTCAAACCTTACATCAACAGACCCTGGTAGTTGGAACCAGTATGAGGTATACTGCAATATTGAGCTGATAGATGGTAGATTATATACATTGTGCAATTCAGACTTGTAATGAATTCTCTTTCAGTTTACCCAGGCTGGATTTTTTTTCTGTTTCCATCAAATATTTATTTTATTGAAAGTATTAGAAAATCAATAACATATTAAAGATGATTTGCTAAATGAAAAATAAAAAGAACCAAAAATATTTCTTTCTTTGTTTCATAAAGACTGTCATTCAGTTGTGCTGTCGGAAGCACAAGGCATTTGGCAGATAATGGTTAAGCTGTAGACTTTTAAGTAAGTCTCTGTAATTAGTAATCTAGCTATTATAAAGCGGTATTCCTGTCAATTTTTCAGGGAGCCTACCATCCTACGTTTGTCTACACTCACGAGGACCTGGATGAGATCATTGAGTATGCTAGAATGCGTGGGATCAGGGTCATGCCGGAGTTTGATACACCAGGTAATCAATGTTCAACTGATGCCAATGATGTGCTGATATACTCTAGGATTTACTCTGTACAAGTGCAGTTCAGGTGATAATGGGTTTCATTGAAAACTATAGGTATCTCCTGAAACTTGCAGAGTCAACAAACAATAAATGTCATGCATTATGTAAAATTTGTAATATTTTACTATTTTTCTGCATTTCCTTAAAAGCAGCATGCAGGTATATCTTGTATTGTCTAGATTGGATAGTTTTGTGAATAAGGAAACTGAAGTCAAGGTCATTGTTGCTATAAATAGAAAATCAGTCAGAATCTCTCCTGAATTAACTAAGAGTCACATTGTCCAGGTATATGGTCAGTAGTGTCGTTAGTTTATTGAAATGAAAGACCTTGACAACAATATCAATAGTTAAAATGTGAATGTAAATATATATAATCTGTATTATGAATAAATTTGAAAGTAATTCTGTCTAGTGATATCTGTAGCGATATTAATACAGATCCAGTGGGCCTCTTTGATAAAGAATTGATTTGTCCTATGTACCTCTGACTTCAAGGAAGGAATCATCACAATCTGTTTAACGCTATACAAGCTAGGTACCCAACCAAATCCCAGTCCATATCTTGTTGTAACATAACTCAATTTCCTTCACACAGATAGGCTAAAGAGGGCTGTAAAAGTCCGATGAAGAGCCTAATAGAAGAGTTGAAATTGATATCTAAAGACAACAAATGTTGAAAGCCATTCACTTAATGTAACACAGGAAATAAAAATCTGGGGGCTAAATTTGATATCTGAATTTGTTCACATAGATCTCATATTTACAAACACTAAGCACATGTAAAAGACTGATTTTGATAGTATTGAATGACTGTAAGGGAGTACATTGGAGACCAACCATATTAGATACACGGAAGCAGCTGAGTCAGCAAGGACATGCTGTGCTACTAAATTACTATTACAATTTCTATAGGATCTTGACAACAAAACAGAATATCTTAATGCAGCTGCTACTAGTACATGCCATTAAATGGTCTATTCTGTCTGTCTGTCTGTGTTGGTCTGGCCATCTGTCTGTTTGTCTGTCTGTCTGTATGGCCAGGCGTCCATCCTTCTGTCCATCTGGCCATCTTAAATTTTTTTTTCAAGATTTAAAATTTAGCTCCATGAATCTTCTAATTTAGGGACGGTACCTTTAAATGTAGGTCACTGTGACCAATAATTTCCTGCTTCTTAAAGACTTTGGTAAGAAATTTTCATATGGTAGCTCTGTCTGATAAAGAAATTGAAAAACTCAACTGCTATTGTGACATAGATATTATTTCCCAGTCCAGAAGGGCCTGAAATAGGACTAATGATGAGTGGTGGGAATGGGTCCAACAACCAAGATAAGTTGTTAATCCTGACTAAATAAATGATAAAATTTTAAAGTACATGGCAAGGCTGTTTCTGACAAGTCAATGTTATACATGTTAGTTACAGTATCTCAGTAATAGCTTTATTACTTACAGGATAACAGTAGCTCTGTTTGTGCCTAGATCTGAAATGTCATCATTTGAACCGTGTATGTCTTTTTCTTGATAAGACCTTCTAGAAAAACACCTTTAAAATGGTGACCAAAGGTGAGAAGTAAAAGTGTAAATGTTTCAATCTATTAGTGTAGATATCAAGTGTGTTTTAAACAAAACATTGAATTGATGTTGGAACATTTTGTAAAGTCAATGATAATAGGCTGTGTGGGAAATTTTACAAATTGCTGACAGGCAAGTGGAGGAAGGGTGGTGCTGGAATTCACTATCAAGTTACATCATTATTGGATTACAGCCTGACATATGTCTTCATTACATTGAGATACAGAGACAGGAGACTAGTCCTGGTCAATCCATTTATCCTCTTGATACTGTCCAGAAACCATAGCTTTTCTCCAGCCTTTCAACATCATAGGAATATTTCAACCAGAAATACATTCTGTTTCACTCACAACAAGCAAAGGCAGATTTTTTTTTCCTTTTCACAAAATAGTAATTTGGTATGCAAGTGAAGATGTTGTTTAATGTACAAGTAATCCAACTTTGTTAAAAAATCAGTCAGCCTTCCCCCCAAAAAAAACCAAAATCCTACAGTTTTTATGAAAGATTTAGGCCTTGTAGTGATATTAGAGGAATAATGCTTGTAGATTACTGATAAAATGTTAGAAAGATGTTTTTTTTTTTTTTTTTGATGTGAGATATTTTGTTGAAGCCACCATGAAATATTATCTTGAGAGAAAGTAGGAGATACTTGTACTCTATGGTAATCCTTTGTACTGAAGGTCAGGTCACATAGCAGTAGCTGGTGGCTCCCTCACTGAACAACATACAAGAGGACAATTAGGGTGCAACCACTACAGCACTTAATTGTGAGGCTGAGTCATTTCACAGCTTTTTGAGCAGATGATGTTCACATTTACAGAATAAAGACAACATATAAGTGGAGAATTAATTTAATAGATTACTAACACCAAACTGGATTGTTAACAGAACCTTTGGACAATATCACAGTCAATTGTACATATAAAACTTGTGACTGTCACATTTTTAATGAGGATTAAGATACTAGACAGGGGGTTATTTCAAAATTGTTTGATAAAAATTAAAGATAAGTTACTTTGTCCGAGTGAAAACAGATAAAAGAAAAAATTGTAGAATTTGTCTTGAAAACTTTTCTAAAAACTTCAACATCTTCAGAATAGAGATGATTTCACTGCATGACATAAAGAGAAAAGAATGTTATGTCTCATTGAGCATAAATTAATATTTCACCAAAGTAGAGAAAAGTTCATGTTACAAGATTTTATGAAGAAAACTTGAGGATATGGCAGAGATGGGGACTGACTCTGTGTATGAACTACAAGAAGTATCACTAGATATTCAGTCCTTGAGGGTTAAAGAAAATCTTTTTAACAAAGTGATGTAAACTTCAATATTGTATGAGTTTAGCAAGAAAAAGTATTGTATGACAGGGAAATCTTATCTTTAATTAGAAGTTTTATGTATGTTAATGTGCTGAGGTAGGTCAGTTACTCTTGCTCAGTCCTGTCCTTTTGAAGACTTAATCAATGGAGAAAATGAAGAATTGAACATATTCTTTTTCAATTTGTTTAAAAATCCTGTCTGTGTACGTGGAGGTGATTCACACTGGTAGTGATTACTACAGAGATGTGCTACAAAGACCTGAAACTGTTTTTTTCTCTTGAATAATTTAATAATATATGGGAAGAAAGCAGACATGCAGACTAAAGTGTAGAGACTTGAACATCACTAGACAGTTTACACTACCTAATTGTGGTTATATTGGCAATCAAACTGGCCTGTTGTAACTTCTTTTATAAAACCTTTCACCCCAAGGACAAGCATGTCAGCTTGTCATTTATACAATCCACGTCCAATACATGTTTAACATTACGTCACATGTCACAGGCGATACAATGCTAACATCCAGAGACAGATTTTAAACATTTTCCTGAGACGAGGAATGTTGTCACGTTAGAATTATATTAGAAGGCTGTCATTTCAGAAACAGGATATTGCTCTGTACTGCAGTCAGCAGGTGCACTCAACAGGTCTCAGTTTTGTCGGTAAAGATTGGACTTCTGTTTAAAGAAGACCAAAGCATTTGTCAAGCTCTAATTTTTACCTTTTTTCTTAAGAAGGTTCTATTTAGCAACAGCACAAATTTTTTTTCTCATAAGAGCACTGGATTTTTTCAGTCATTTTATTTTGAAGATATCACATTATAACTTCCTTAGCACTGCGTAATGAGGTCTTTCAGCTTGAAATATTTTCTGCCTATTATAGGCTTCATTTATTTAAAGAGTAAAGGAAAATACAAAGAAACAATATTTGTTAAAAGTGGAAACTCTTGTGGTAATGAAAGCTGAACGACTTTGTGTTAATTGGATGGAACAGTTCCACATTGGGAATGGTTCTGAAATATGTATTTTACAGAATTATCCATGGAAGCTGTATCACTAATTACTTAAAAAGTTTGTTAATTCAATTGGAAGTAGAAGCTATTACACGCCAAGTGACTTGCTGTATTTGTTTGTTATTCTAGTTCTTCAGCTTTTATTCTAGTGATCAATAAAATTGCTGCACTTTCTGAGAAGATTTGGCATCATTATGACAGTATGAAGGGAAGGGCTGACGGAACGTCATTTATTGTTCCACCCAGATCAATATATATCACGCTTTACTTGTGGGATGGAGCTTTGAATAACCCTCATCAAAACTGTACTTGTCATTCTGTTTCTGTGTTCCCTGGAAGAAATCTAAATCAGATAAAATGGGATATTTTCTTCAGATCCAATTTTCAACTTTCTGGTTAAACACAGTTTTGGAAAAGAAGTTTTAGAAATATGTGTGAAGCCATAAAATGATGTTATCCCAATTTAAAAGAAGTTCTGTTTGTACTGGAATATCGTATTGGTATTTTAGAAAACTATTGGGTTGTCCCAGAAGTCTTCAGATTCTGAATACTGTTGGCTCATTTTCAGATATGTATAATTACACCTAATTCTTACTTAATATTAAACATTGCTTTGAAATCAATATTTATATGATGAAAAGAGGTCACTTTCAATTTTGAATTGTGTTATTCAACATATCCAGAATTCAGAAGTTATGACTTTTAGAATATGTACTGCATAAAAATTTGATGAAAATTCCATTCTTTCTAGGATTGAAATTTATCAAAAATACCCTAGCCAAGGTTAATAGAGTGATATTTCAAACTTGTGACACCAAATTGAATTTTTTCGGCTTTAGATATGCATACTTTATGTTATAAACATATATCTGTGTTCTACTTTGTACAGGACATACATATTCTTGGGGTCTTAGTCGACCAGACCTTCTCACTCAGTGTTACCAAGGAACCCATCCAGTCACAGGCTACCTGGGACCCCTCGATCCAAGCAAGAATGAGACATACCGTTTCCTCAAGAACCTTTTTAATGAGGTGCTCCATGTTTTCAAGGATGAATATATCCACCTTGGAGGGGATGAAGTCCCCATGACTTGCTGGTAAGAATTGAAAGAAAGAAACTGCATTTATCCGACCATAATCCCATGTCTGGTAATAAGCCCACCCATATATCTATTGCTTAAAATTAAAGACGGAGTCTGCTTCCTTGTCCTTTATTAAGCCTGACTTTGTGTGCTGACCCCCTGGAATAGATAGGGTTACAGCAAACTTCCTTATTCTTTCTTAAGAAATTTAACTTTACTTTCAAATACATTCCTGTTGCAGTTTGTTCACCAAATCAACTATCTCATTAACCTTTTTTCAGACAAAGGTCAACAAAGACCATATATCACTCGTTAAGAAATCATATCTCTGCTGTGATTGGAAGCCCTCGTGTAAATTAGCGGTTTTTTGTAGTTTGGTTGTAAAGACAAAAACAAAATTGACCTGATTATTTCTGTAGAACACAGTTATATTGAAGGAAATCATTGTCTTCATCCCTTTTTACAAAAACTACATGTAGACATGAAAGTTTTGGATCAGTTCTGAATTACGTTGAAGATTTTGTTTGGAAAAGGAAAATCCTTGACTTATATATCAGGATACAACATAAAAAAATGGGAAGTTTGTCATACTTTTCATTTCAGTAGTAATGCATTGTGTTACATTTGTAATAAGATATTGATTTAACTATTTTAGGTCATCTAATCCTGAGGTGCTTCAGCTGTTGAACAAGTTGGATGGAAAACCAGATGAACCAATCAACCTCCAGAATGTTGACCCTTACATGTACAGTTACGACATCCGGAAGGTCCTTGAGTTCTATGAAAAAAGGTACTTGGAAGTGTGAATTAGATTGATGAAGTTTGTCAGTGTTCAGCTGCTTCATTCCTTCATTCCAACGTTACACATTTATAAACCATCAAAGTATCTTAGACATTTAGACATTGTCAGGCTTGCTAGGTTATGGTTACGTTACTATTTTTAGAAAATCATTACTAGCACTCTAGAACCCTTATTCTTCCAGGGATTGTCATCAATCTTCACAAACTTTCGAAGCATTAGAATATTTGGAACTTATTTAAGTTGTTAGGCCAAGGATTTTTTTTTTTTTCTAAGAAAATCTTAGTTAGCTTAAGGCGTTTCATTCTTTATAGGGTTTTAATCAAATCCCACATACTTATAAGTTTGTTTTTCAGGGGTGTTGGGTGAAAGTCAAGGTCACTTACTGTTTTTAGTAACATATTTCCCAGTTGTCGAGTTGTATCACATGCACTATTGACCTGCGTGTCCTGGCGCCCTGATAATTTTGTTCGTTGTAACATGTTGCACTTCCAGAAAGAATAAGAAATAGTGATTTAAACCAAGGATACCAGTACACCAGTACCAGAAATCAGTACCAAGTTTTTGAAGAGTAACTGTCCATCATGTATTAGTGACTGAAGAAGAACCACATTAATATCTTCTGAACTTTCATGGTTGCTTCGAAAGCCATAGCAGAAGGTTTACAATAGTCTGTTGCATCCTTGGAGCGATAGATCTTCGGATCAAATTCTAGAACGACCGCCAAGCTTGTTTATGATAAGAATGGCTTTGTGTAACTTACAAGAAATAATATGGGACTATAAGAATTTTGTCAGCATGCAAGGGCCTTCATTAATATATATTTAATAGTACAGACACCAAAGGGGATATTGATAAACAAACAATACATAACATCAGGCCCTATATTTGTGCATGTACAGTCTTTGAAGGCTTCAAAGCCAAACAGTCACTGAGGTGACATGTATTGCTTCAACAATATTCAGTAAGCTTGTTGGTGTTTAATGTCCAGTTTTCAATTTTCAGTTTTCACTATGACAATCTGGATAAAATTTTTCTCTAAATGTCTTTTTCTTGCAGACTGACACAGGATTTGAAGGAAATCGGCCGACGAAGGAAGAATGGGGTACGATTTGTGATGTGGCAAGAGATTATGAACAACAATGTACAGGTATGTTTAACAACAAAATTGATAAGTTAGATCCTGTGAACCTAGTGGTAGGGGACCCACAGCTTTTACTTCTTCTTATTCTTCAGATATGGACTCAGAAGTCACCAGGTTGAATTGATGCTTAAGGTTCACATCAGTCTGGACACTTGACTGTTTTCTTGTCTGTGCTGACAAAATGGCTTCTGTGCTTTCTTAGTAGACATAGATATTTCAAAGAATATGTTTTGTTCAGATGGCTATGACCAACTTTTAAATTTAAATATTTAAATGGGTCACCTGTCCCTGTGATTGGTGGAGATCCATCCTCAATTTCATTATTTGTAAACTACTGAACTTCAAAATTGTGAGCAAAAGTTCTTCATTGGACCACATTGTGCAAAAATCAGATTTGTCATGCAGAAATGACAACATTCCCTATGTTTGCCATAGGTCAGGACTGTGCTGCAACACTTTAAGATGTGTTATGGTCCTTACAGTATCTGTAAAATTTCAAAATGATGATGATAATGAATATGCCCCCCTAACCTCAATTTCACCTTGGCTATACAGACCCAAACATGATCCAAGAACTCAAAGGAGTAAGATTAGGAACAGCAAATTTGACCAGATATCTCAATTCGGCCTCTATCTTGGAAATTGCACACAACACTTCAACAGGTAAAGAATTATGACACAAAGCCCTGTTACAATGAATTTGGCCTTGACACCCCATAGACATACATGTCCATTTTATCATCCTACATATAAATTCCTTGTCTTCTCTGTTACAGCTGCCCAATGACACCATTATCCAGATTTGGCAAGGAGACATGGGTGATGTCCAGCGTGCTATAGACATGGGTTATAACACACTGTACTCAACCTGCTGGTATCTTGATCTCATTGAGTACGGTGTTAAGTGGCCCAAGTATTACAACTGTGATCCAGCTGACACCAGTATGGGTAAGTCAACTTATCACTTAAACCATTTTAATTTCCAGAATTAACTTATTACTATGTTTGAAAAATTACAAGAAAATTGTTTTAAAACAATTTGATAAAAAAATAAGTGGTACTGGTCAGCTGCCCATTGAAATTCATACTTTGCTCTCTCACAGAAAGTTTTTGCTAGAAATTTCTTTTGAAGTTCAAGAGTCAAAGGTGAAGGTAACTTTTTTTTAAAAATAGATTCCTTACAGTATGAATACTAACGAGTTTTATTGGATTTCACATGTTATCTGCTCCTTACTTGCATGTTAACCACCGTTTAATCACTGCTTAAGCACAAGACAGCCATCCATTTCAGTAACTATCAGGAGATAGGCATTTTTTGTGATTCATCAATTCCAACGTAACACAGAAGCAAACCTGTCCAAATCATAGGAAATATTAACCTTTTGAGAAAGAAACATTCTTGAGATAGAGTTGTCACAAAGGTAGCATACATCCTTAAGTGTCTGAGGTTTTGAGAATATGCTAAATGGTTACCATTGTTGGTTTGGCATGTTACATGTGTGGGTCTTCTGGATTTGGTGATGAATTCCCAAAGTAGAAAACACTTTTCTTACTAAATCTGCCGACAGATTGTGTAGAGGCATGATTTGTCATGTTATTGACGACATTTTCACCAGACCTAAGTTTGTCTCATCTCAGGCAGTGAGTGGGGTTTCTCAAGGATATTTATTTGTCACTGTAATGGATTTCTTGTAAGAAAATGCCAAAGAATCTAGCAAATGGTATAAATGTAGAATGTACAATGTGTGTGGGCTTTTATAAAAATTGGAGATGTCATTGTTATGTAAAGAATACCACAGTGATGTGTCAGTGTTTGTAAGTATTGGCTACAGATCCTTTGTCTTGTCTACACATAGGGCTAAATGATGTTCACTGGTTTCATTCTGTAAGTCATGAAATGTACATGTCACTAAATTCTGCTAATTTGACTGAAAAGTTGAGTGCATGTTACCAACTCTTAGTCATCATTTCAGTACAAATATAGTTCTCAAAATTGAGCTAATTAAAACATTTTTAATATGATTCAACAAAATTAACATCAGTGTTGTATTAACTGTAATTTATTGTACTCTTTCAAATTGAAATGAGTTTTAGAAAAACAAATTGTATATTATTCTATTTGAAGATTTTTTTTGAAATCTGCTTAAGAAAATGCCACTCATTGTTTTATATGAATCTAGGTCTAATGGCAGTTATCACTTGAGAATTTTATATTCCTTCATTGTAGGGTACCAGATTGATGAAAAGAAAGTTCTAGGAGGCGAGGCCTGCATGTGGGCAGAATATGTTGATAATGAAAACCTCATGACAACATTGTGGTATGTTTATATTAGCATTTTTATCAGATGTCTTTAATTTACTAAGTGATGATCAACAAGTGACCCTAGGTCAGAAAAATCCATATATATATATGTATATATCAGATAAATGTGAAAATATCATCATCATCATCATCTTCTTCTTCTTCTTCTTCTTCTTCTTCTTCTTCTTCTTCTTCTTCTTCTTCTTCTTCTTCTTCTTCTTCTCCTCCTCCTCCTCCTCCTCCTCCTCCTCCTGTTTTATAGAAAATCTATTTTTAGAATTATTTGCTTAATTTCTATTGGAAATATCTCAAATTTTGTTAGAATTATGAACAAAGTATAAAAGCTTAATGGTATGCACATATTGGTCCTGGCTGGTCCCCGTTGACAGATGGACAATGCCAAAAGGGTCAAACTGACTCAAATTTCAAACATCACCCCAATAAGACAAAATCCAATGCTCTTCATCTGTGGAAGGGTCTTTTCAGTGCTTTACCAGAATTGTGAATATCAAGGCTCTACATCTCACGTATCCCCCTGGGAAGGAGGTGAAGTTTACTATAGTTTTAATAGTATACATATATTGACTCTACCTCGGACCCTTTTCCATGACACATGAAAGCTACTTTCCCTATAATCTTTATATTCAACATTGCTTACCTCAAGTGACCGTCAAGGCTTCTAAGCCTCTTGTTGAACAAGTAAGTTGTTTATTTTCCATTGGAAATTACATGGGAAGAATGGAATCTGTATTACGATATGATGACAATTTTAAATTTAATGTTTATATTGACACTGGCTGACCTCAAAGGGCATAAACTGCATTACTTAGTCTTACACTCATCAATGTTGCAGTTTCTTTTTTGTGGCACATGGAAACTATTTACTCCACAAACTTTATTTATAGTATTGCTTATCTCAGGTGGCGGTCAAGACCTCTAGGCCTCTTGTTTACAAGTAATCAATGAACTGAACATATTTTTACATGTTCGATATATTGGTTACTCTTGGTCCTAAATGTTTTGAATTTGCGATAGGTAACTGATGGATGTTTAGCAACTTTGAATATCTTGAAAGATTATGGAAAAAATATATGACAAATGTAGGCAGGTTCATTCATGTAAACACAGTTACACGTTGAACTTATATTTTTGACTATTTCTTGTGATATCAGGTTGACAAAAAGAGACAGAAAAATGAATATTTTGGTAAATTAGATGTATGAGAGGTAATTTGTAGAGTGTTTTACTATGAAATTTTGTTATCTATTTAATCACTGAAACATTAAAAGAATACAGAAGTCACACAACTGATACCCACGTTTATCAAATACTAAGTCTATGTTTTGTAATTGTCCATTGGACTTATCAATTGAATATATAAAAAAATTTAAAGTTAGGTCAGTGAATTGTAGATTTATGTTAAAGATAATATAAACTCTCAAAATCTTGTTCAATGAGAAAGCAATAGTGTAGATGATGCCATTTCTTTGTAGGCCTCGAGCATCTGCCGTGGCGGAGAGACTGTGGAGCAGTAAGGATGTGAAGGATGTGGATGCTGCCGGTAAACGTCTGTCTGAACATCGTTGTCGTATGCTGAGGTATAACACAAATATAAATATATACATTGTATAGGACATCTTATCAATCATCAATCATATTGGTGATCTGAATCCACATTCTGAAAATATTCTTCAAACTCTAAAAATCATTTCAGCATCGACACAAATTAAAGTGAATCTGTTAACGGTAACATTAACAACATGAACATGTCATTGAAATAGACAAGATGTATCATGATGATGTCATTTTTGACAGCAAATCAAGTGCTCTGACAATAGAAGTCTGTCCAGTGTCAGCTTTCTCAAGTCTTGTTTTCAGAAGAACAAGTCTTGTTTTCAGAAGAACACTTAAAATTGTAATGGATATGTAAACAGCCTCTTTCTCTGGAAATAAGGATTTTTCAATACCTTTGCTACTCATGATTTCTGTCAAGACAGTTGTATAATGTTTTATCAGTACCTGTCATCCAACTTGGAATAAATCTCTAGATCTTACTCTAGCCTTTGTAATAATAGATGTGATATATATAAACAGAAAACTTTTTTGAACCATTTAGGAAATACACTACCCGTTTTTTATGTATTGTAACACATGGTGGTTATTTTGATTTTTGTCAACTAGTCGAGGCATACAAGTAGGAATGATCAGTGGTCCAGACTATTGTCTCCGACGAGGACATCGACGCGACAGAGACAATTCGTCAAACTGCTCTGTCGGTCACTGCTTCCAGAGCAAGGACACTGTCCAGATAGAAAAGATCAACGTCCGTGTCCAACAGAGAGGTCACAATCTTCCAGTACCAGACTGTAACCAGGTAAGGAAGGCAGGCAGAAATAAAAGTATCTTAAGAATATTTCTTTGAGACATACAGATATAATTAGTGTTATACAAAATGATAAATTGTCACTTTGAGGTATACCTTAAAATAGTCTTTTCTGCCCGTCTTTGTACAGGTAATTGTGTTGTATGTGTGTCTATCTGGCTGTATTAAAAGTTTACGATGATATCTTGGTTATGATACCTAAACATAACTTAACAATTGGAGCATGGATTAATTTCCCACACGAGTTCAAACTGTTTCCGGGTTTTACGTGCGACAAGAAGTGACATATATATGTAAAGTTGATGTAACACATGGTGTATAGTGATTACCTGTAGTACAATATCACTATACTTTTTCTGTTAAAGATGATTATATTACCAACTGTTACATAGTGACATCATGGTTTAAGTCATTAGAAGTTAACTCAATAATCTCATCGCCTCTTATCTGGCATCATACATCATCCAATTGTAAACAATTGACATTTTTGACTTCTTCTTAATAGCCAAAAGACCCAGAATGCTGATATGACAGGCTACCAAGTTTTATAAAATGAATGACCTTGACCCACCTTTCACGGTCACAGGGGTCAAATATGTTAAAATCTTAAAATTCCTTCTTTTCAATATCCAAAACGCCAAGGATGTTGATACATGTATAAAGAATACAAAAGATGTTCTACTCTTCATGGATGGAAGATTTTTTATCGGAAAATTCATTTTTTGAGTGTAATTTCTTTTAATTCAAACTTGGTCAGAAGCCTTAGCAAGGGACAGCAGATAATATGTACACAATTTACGTTGGCATTATGTGTACAATGTAGGTAAAGTTATATTACTGTTTTAACAGAATCATTTCTATGACATTATTACAAGTACCATTATGACTCAGGTGAGAGTTCAGGCCCTTGGGCCTCTTGTTACCTTATTTTAATTACATATGTGTCATCAACACTAAAGATGATGTTGATATGTTTCCTTTTCAGATCATTTCTCAAGGAGGAAACATGATCACCATAGCAATAGTGATTGCAGTCTTTATCGTAGTTGTGGTCAGCATCAAAGCAACAGGAAACAGAATGATGCAAGGACGGTTTTGTCGAAATAAGAACATCTTCTTTGCATTTATTGTCATCATTCTCATTTACTTCATGTGTTCAACATCACTATGGATGCAGGTCCTGGAATTCAAAGGATCCTTTGAAAAACGTGTGAAATCATCCTACTCTGACAAGGGTTAAATACCATGTTGTGTTATATTTATATTTTGAATGGCTATTTAAAACCAAAATATTTTAACTATTCATCTGAGTTAATTGTTTTCACTAAGGATATAGCCTAGTCATTTAACTTCCTTTATTTTATGGCTCCAAATGATAAAATGGATATAGAAAAATCAGTGTTCAGAGAAATTTGTGTTTGACAAAATTTCAAATGAAGATTTTTCTGTAAAATTTATTTTGTTTTTACCTTTTATCGTTTTAAAGTAAAAAATGAATTTAATTTTTGTGGTCAAAATTGCCACTAAAGCATAATGTTTGTGTGATAAATTTGTAACTTGAAGACGGCATTCAGGGTCAACTCTGATTGTACAGATTTGTCTATGAGTGTATATCATTGACAAGAGCCAGTATAATTGGTTTTAGGAATGCAGTTTGGAAAAGACATTGTACAAACCTACTAGACCCTCTCAGCTAAGTTTAGTTTCTTAATATAGGATTGATTGTGCTTCAAAAGGATTTCAATGAAGGCACCATTGAGTGATAAAGCATTCCTTTTTGCCTCAAATTTGCAGACACAACTTTGAATGTATATGAAATGCTGCAAGAATGAGAATGGAGTTTGTAACAATGCACTTCTGAAATACAATCCAACAATGTAATGGCAATCAGTTTATTTCGTAAACTTTTTAACTTATTTTTTATCAGTGTCAAAAGATTATTTATTCAGAACTTTATTGATTTTCATATGAAAAAATGAAATCTACACTTTATTTTTGTTATTAACTTCCTGTTTAGCTCTTGTCATGTTTTTGTACAATATTGAGTGCAGGAAAAATTGTTTTCATGACTATTTCCAGTCCTTTGCAATTCCTTGGTAATAGTTTTTTTTCTCTACCAAAAAAGTTTAAATATATAGAGATGTGTTTTCAAATATTTTGAATGACTTTGGCAAAAATCTAAAATTCCCATATGTAAAATATGTTATATTTTAATCAAGACATTGTTGAATCTCTTTGGAAATTAAAATTGCATCTTTTGTTTTCCCATTTTAACAGCTTAATGAATATCTTTCTGATCATCTGCTTGTCTATCCGAATTTCTGTGAAAACTGTCGAACTTGCACGAGTTATATGGCTCCTGATATTAGTGTAGCCTCTGCTTGCATGCATCATTGGGACAAATATGTATTGTTGATGATTTTTATGGATGATTTTAATTATTTAGAAATCTGGTCAATGACAATAAGATATTAATAAAAATGTTGTCAGATGTGTTGCTGAGTGAATAATCTACATACAATACTAGGAACCTGTATTGGACATGAATCTAATTGATTTGTAGATAAGTTTATGTTTTTTTTATTTAATTTCATCTCATTACCAGTATAATTTTAATTAAAATGAAGCAGTAGTTGTGAATCCAATGCTGTTTTTGTGAATTTCTTGACATTTATCCACTTACAAGTACATGTACATAGCAGCGCTGTGCCTATTTAGTGCAGATATGCCAGGAAATATTTGCATATTTTTGAACTGCTGTACAAAGAAAAGTTTGATTTCAATGATCGTTTGTTATTGATTTGTTGATGTTATTTAGATTGGGAAGTTATTATTATTATCATTTTTTTTTTTTTTTTGCTGTTGTGTATGGACATTCTGTTACAATCCAAATATGAAAAGGTCAACTAAAAAAGACATGTACGTCTCATGATCAGTAAGTTGATTATAATTGTTTGAAGTGCTGTCCTATGTGACTCCAGAAATATATTAAAGTACATACGTCTTTATTGATGAAACAATTTCACAATCCAGTCTACAAAATAAAATTGGACGTATAAAGCAGTATGATACGAATGTTGTGGAGTTTATCATGTGTAAGGTATGCCTGGAGAGAGCTCAAAAGGATCTTTTACAAATTTTAGATCAGTAAATTAATTAAAGTGGATGCCGGAGACCTATATCTATAATCTCATTGTTTTTGTATATAACCTGGCATCAAATGCATATATGATTTTGTTTGATTGTGTTTATGGGGAAAATGTGTGAGAATGTTTAATCAAGAAAAACACTTTTGCATTTTAAAATTGATATCATCAAAATCTATGTCAACTATATACTGTAGCCATATATTTAGGTTGTATCTATACAAGGACAGATGAAATCACCGGTTATGTCTATACAAGGACAGATGATCACCGGTTATGTCTATACAAGGACAGATGACATCACCGGTTATGTCTATACAAGGACAGATGACATCACCAGTTATGTTTATACAAGGACAGGTGACATCATCAGTTATATTTATACGAGGACAGATGACATCATCAGTTGTGTTTATACAAGGACAGATGACATCACCAGTTATGTTTATACAAGGACAGATGACATCATCAGTTATGTTTGTACAAGGACAGATGACATCACCAGTTATGTTTATACGAGGACAGATGACATCATCAGTTGTGTTTATACAAGGACAGATGACATCACCAGTTATGTTTATACAACGACAGATGACATCACCGGTTATGTCTATACAGTGACAGATGACATCACAGGTTATGTCTATACAAGGACAGATGACATCATCGGTTATGTTTATACAAGGACAGATGACATCATCGGTTATGTCTATACAAGGACAGATGACATCATCGGTTATGTTTATACAAGGACAGATGACATCACCAGTTATGTCTATACAAGGACAGTTGACATCACCAATTGTATCTATACTAGGACATTTTCCTTTATAAAAGAAAACATTTTCATTATATTTGCTATTTTCATTGCAACTTTTGTTAAAAGTAAAGGGGGAAAAAAATAAGAAAAAAAAACCATCACCCTTATGTCTATTAAATAATTGTGTAGTTGATTATTTTTCTGTACATATTTAAATCTGAAGTCCTCATAATGTCTAGAATGTTCAACAAAGACCACTTATCTAAAGAAAAAATCCAGTCACAAATTATTATTAATCTGTATGTCATGCTCAACACCAAATATTATAAGCTTAGAATTGATGAGTACACTGAAATTTTCTTTGAATCAATTAATTTTCAAATTTACTTTCTAAGCAGAAGAAAAAAGTTTAAAGAGAAATAATTGAAATGACGTTGGTGCAATTGATCCAGAAATAAGATGGTTTAATTCTTTCATATGATCGTTTGTGTTCTACTATGCTGAAGTAAAATGCATAAGTGTGTATATAGGAGCAGCTTGAGCTGTTTATTTCCACTGTGTGGAATAAATTCTAGCTTTTATAATCATGTATACACAAGTACATATACAACATATCATTTTGGATGTTACTTTTGCAGTTTGAACTTTTTAACAGTCCTTCAAGTTTCGCTGATGTGCCATCTTATGAAAACCAATTTTGATTTTAATCACCAAAAACCTGCATAATCTTTGGAAGTAACTAACATTTTACTTGTTTAAAGTGCAAGAGAGACTATCTCAACAGCAATCCAATCTTATGTTTATAACAGATGTAATTGTGCAAGCTGTTATCCATTTGTTTTAGAAGTAAAATATAAGTATATGTAGTCAAATACAGCTTTCTTTTTAAATCTGACACTTCCATCGGATTTGAGAGTATCCTGGGTCATAATCTACATTGATTGTCAGTTCTAAATAATGTAAGTTATCATAATCTACATTGATGAAGAATTTTGTGGTATCTGTATCATTAAAAAGACTCATTGATATAGATCTGTATCAAAAGGTTTGTTTATATTATGTCAATTAATAAAGTCATTGATATAGGTCTATGTCAGTTGAAAGCATTGTTAATATTGATCTGTGTCAATAAAGAAACTTGTTGATATAGATCTACATCAATTAAAAGCTTTGTTAATATTGATCTGTGTCAGTAAAGAAACTTGTTGGTATAGATCTGTATTAATTTAAAGCTTGGTAAATATTTATTTGTGTCAAAAGACTCTTTGATATAGTTCTGTATCAATTAAGGGCTTTGTTGATATTGGTCTGTATAAATATCATAGAAGAGTTTTGTTAAATCAAAGTTGACATTTGTATCAAATGAATGCTTTTCAATTAAAATCTGAGTCGATAAAGAATTTACTAAATCAAAATAATCAATATGTACCAATGATTATGGTTAGGATGTGAAAACAGAAACTGATGTTGTATACCACTGGTATGAGCAACCCATTATAATGTTACATGCTTCTTATAAATAGCAACCTTATAGCATATACTCACATTTTGACTCTTTGTAAACCACCTGATTGGACCTTTAAGAACTTAACAGTCCTTCAGATGTTGTCATTATGTTATTATTTCAAAAGGTTTGTTATTTTCTCTCAGGTAGTTACCCCATTGTGTAAGATACAAGTCCTAGTAGTTAGGCTTTTTTGCGAAGATTTTATTGTACCAGAGGTAAAGAGATAAAAGACTCTTTTTTCTCCTAATTCTTTCACAGGATTCAGTAATGATATTTTAAATGCAGCAAGAAATGTTGCTTATCTAATTAATATACTGATATATAAACATGTGGGAAAAGTTAAGCATACTGTTCTACAGGTATACACAATTCTAATTCTTATCAAATATTTACAATATCCCTCTCACGAGCATTACTGACATAAGAAATCATGCTAAGGTCACAAGTTCACCAATTTGAAGTGTTGCTGAAGTATTGTTCAAAATGTTTGGGTTTTTTTTTTAACTTTCCTATTTTCTGTCTTGTTAAACATTGCAGATTGTATATTTAAAAATTATTTTCAAAACAGAGACTTAAATATTCTATCTTTAAGTACCTGCTGTGTGCAGTCCCTTGTTCACTCCCCTACAATAGGTAAGGTACATTTATATTGGCACACAAAAAAACAGACAGACAGACAGACAGACAGCCAAATCAAGGGACAGAAAGCATTAATCTTAAAACCCACCTAGTAATTATGTTCAAATTGGAATGTTTGAAGGACTGTATTGTTAGGAGATCACTGATTCACTAATTTCTAATGATATATCCAAAATGTAAAAATACTCTTCACAGTCGCTGTTTTATAGATTTATCAATATTTTTTTATTTCATTCTTTTTTTACCTCCAACCCTCTCTATTTCAGCTTTATCAGGTACACACTTTGATATGTTCTGACTTTTTGACACTTACATTGTTTTTGGAACAGAGTACCTTTCATAGGTTCTCTGATTTTTTCGTATTTCATGGTGTTATTTGAAATTGTATAAGCCCTTGTACCATTGTGTTAAGTTTTTGCTGTCACTGTGCGAGTTGCAGTGAAGAAATTCTATGCTTTTGTTATTAGTCACTATGCAGTTTGAAGTGTAAATGGGTTGCTGTTTTTTGTAAATTCTATGTGCAGTGTTATTTCTGTATATATAAGCATGGTTAGGATATCTAGAGACTAATGTTGAACACAACACATTTTTTACTTTTTTGGGAATTTTGATTTTGGCATGAAAGTATATAAGTTGAACATTACTACACAAATGGAAGCTAAAAGTAAACCTGAAGTTTACATATATATCTTTATAGAAATCTATAGTTTCTACTCCAAAAATATGAAACCATGAAAAAAAGGAGAGAATGCCATTTTACTCTGAATGAGTGTTCTGGGTAATTAAAACATATAGTCAGGTGAGAGTTCTGAATAAGATTTGAGAGTTGATGCATGTATAGTAAATATTTTGTGATTTTAGTCTAGGATTTAAGAATTGTATAGTGTATATTTAACCCCTCACTGCTTTCAATCATTCTTACTTTTGTTTTTGAAAAAATTAGTGTCAAGTGCATGTTTATGTTTCCAATTTTCAGTAGTGCTTCTTTCATTTGTTTTCTTCATTACTGTAACACTGGTCTTTAGCTGAAATCAGTGTCTGCATAATAGTATTATTGTTACAATAGGCAATTCAATTGGAAAGGATCTGGCTATTCATATGAAAAAAATTATTGTTATGATAAGCAATGGTGTACACCACATATTCTCATTATATAACACCAAGGTAAGAAGGAAATGATTATTTAAAAACATTCACAAAGATATGGTACATTGATTGGCCTTTATGACAAGGTGATAGTGTATGGGTGAAAAAATAGTAGAAAGAGCAGTGTTTTCAATGATGATAATATCTGGACTTTTCAATGGGAATAATGATTTACAGCTACAAGAAGACTAGGTACTAAAAAAGGGAAAATCAATTAACTGATATTATGTAAATATTGTATAATCACGTACCACATGTGATTGGAATGTGAATTTATCGGCAGATTTGTTAAATTCAAGGAAAAGGGATATAAGATGGTATATATTCAATTGAATAATTAAAAGTAGCTTTCCAAACAGCTACATTATTGTTTTACTAGAAATCCTGAAAGATGAAGATATTTTTGTTTGTGATGCTGTTTCCATGGCAATAAGAAAATATGCTACTTATATCTCATTATGCTAGTGAGGATAAACTGCAGAATTTTGTGCACCACACATTCTTGTTTAAAAGAACCAGAGGCAAAACTCTTTGATTTACTTATACCAAATCGAAATTATGGCAAGCTTAGATCAGTAATAGATAAGGTACAATAGCTGAGTGGTTTTATATGTGATAGCATTTTATAAAGAATTTGAAATTTGAGAATTTTGCTTGAAGTTCATGGGTACCCATTGGATAATAAAATTTCTTTACCGCAGGTGCATTTCAATTGATTACATCTAAACAAGATTGAAATGTGGTGAGTCATACCAAACAGTACTTAACTAGAACATCGACTGACAGATTACCTATAATACAAGTCAGTGACTCATTAAAACTCGCTATAGTATTTGTTATTTCTATGTAAATATGTTCACCCTGACAACCATTTCAATTTTCTCGTGAATCTAACATGTTAACTGACATTCTGTATAACAATTCAAGGTATCCAGCAATGTATTGAATGTAAGAATAAGTGAGAACTTTAAATTGAAAGGTACTAACTGTTACTAAGTAAAACTCACATATACTTTAACCTGTGTACATATTTATGAAGTTAAAGACGATATTTCCCTATAGAGTTTGAGTTTTTTTCATCATCAGTAGAAACACACCTATCAATCATTCAATTCTGAATAGTTTTCTTCCATAGCTTTCCAACTTTTGGTGAAGGATGCTTCTGTTATTTTTAGAGATTCTAGTAAACATTGTAATGATACACCGTAGTCACATATGTCCCCTTAATTTATGTGAAATTCATGTTTGTGATACAATTTTACGGAAAAACACCAAACACGATTTGCTCTTCTATTTTGTAATGAAATATTATATATTGTAACTCAGAAACGGTGAAGACTTGTAAATAAAATGATCTGTTTTGTTATTAAGAGTTTGTTACTTGTTTGTGATATCATTCAACACATTGATCACTTATCCATGGTCTCAAGGCAAATTTGTTCACCACAAGAGCTGACTGTTTCCTTCCATTCATCAATGAGTTTTTTATTCAAAGTAAATATAAATAATCTATATTTAAAAGCATGCACAAGGTAAACAGCAGACATAAACTCTGGGTTTTGAATGCAACACCTTAAAGGGGAACAAAGGAAATCTTTTGTAATGGAGGATGTAAAATTGTGGATGGAGCTGAATTTCCAAGTTTTATTTCTCCGGTAAAAGAAATAGCAAAAGGGGCATAACTCTATTAAAAGGGGAGGAGGGAGGGGGGAACCATAATGAAAAAGATGGAGGTGCATTTTTCCATTCCATGTCATGATTATATATTAACCCAAGTTTGAAGTGAAGTTAACCTGTGGATGGATTCATTGTACAAGCAAAAGGGGTGTAACTCTATTAAGTGAGAAAAATCTGCAAGGAAATAGTTCATTGAGGTTATCACCTTGTAAACAGCCAGGGTTATTTTGAAGCAAATTCTCTATACACTAGTTTGTGGCGAGCTAACTGAACATCTTGAAGGAGGTCCATCACATGTTATACAAAAAAATGGGGGTAAGGTATGTGTCTTACCTGAGGACATACTATCATAGCTAGGATAATCTGTGATCTCAACTTCCTGATAAACAAACTGTCAAGAGTATAGTATCATTGATCGGCACACCTGGGATGGTAAAGTCTGAGTGTCTGTTAACTTAGCTATCATACAAGAAAGATTACAAATATGAGAGACACTGACAAGAAATAATTCATATTTAAAACTCTTCAGTAGATCACATGCCACTGATCCATCCAGCATCAATGTTTTTCTTCATCACAGTTCGAGTAGGTTAACATGATGTGGTAAGATTACCAATGGCCTCAAACTGAATGCAAAGTTTTCAGCTGGCTTGTCAATTTTGTTCAGTTGAATGACTTTGATCCACCTCCAAAGTCAAAGGAGTCATTCTTGCTGAAACATTTGTATGACCTCATTGGAATGTTCAAGTAAAGAAGCCATAAGGTCCTTGAATGATAATTTGCCAGTTGTATACTTGGATGAAAGGTTATCAAATATCAATTTTTCAAATCAATGACCACTGTCAATTCATGTCTTGATGCTTGGCCTGGCTTGGATCCAGGTAGACTGGCTACCAGCCATTAAGTTAAAGAAATACCTTGCTGCATTTGTCAATTACGCAGCTTATCTCCCCTTCTTGTCAATTTCGCAGCTTATCTCCCCTTCCTGTTAAAACTTCAGAGCTATCCCTGAGATAAGAAGTACAACAAAATAAGACAGATTTTTTTTATTAGTTAGACATTCTAGAGGCAGCCACCAGTCTGAGATTAAGTGTAATAAATGAATGTACTGAGAGAAATGAACTTTAAAGATACCAAGTGTAAAATTTGTCAAAATATAAGCTTTGATTTGACCAGATGTATTACCGTTAATTTCATGAAGTTGAATGTTTTACCTAGAAATGATGACTATGTTGTTTATCATAAATATACAAGTATAAATGGGATTGTCATTGTATAAAATCCTTTTCTGTTCAAGCAATATCCAATTGTGATAACGTAGTTGCCGCTTTTTATTACATCCTTTTGTCCTGGTCAGCATTTATGTTGTTGATTTTGAAAGTAGTGTTACACGCGTGAACTTCCGGCAATACTATAGCTGTGCACGTGTATTATGAAAATGGATTGAATATATTGCTAAGATGTTAACTTCAAAAACATTTGTTAAGAAAACAAAGAGGGGGAGGATCATTAAGATTGTGAGGGAGCATTATTTGCGTGATGACATAACTTGCGGGTCGGAATCTTGTCAGACATGCGATCCTTTTGACTTCGGCCAGCCACTGAGCTCGGAACCTGAAAACAAAAGTCGTTTGTGTTTGACGCCTCATTACCTCATACCAGATACAAATGTAGTTCTCCACCAGGTGAGGAACTTAGTGATATTACAATAGTTTTAAGAAACAACAGTTTGATTGAACGGTCAGCTGTCGCAAATGCACAGCATTTGGAGTTTAAATAACTACTGTACAACCTGCAACTAAATTGATCAAGCATGGGAGTGTCTAGAAAGTCAGTGATGTGTATATTTTTAAAAATCTATAGTCGGCAATGAGGGGAAAGATAATACACCAGTTTCTCTGGTATAAGAATCAATATCTAGTTATAACAACTAATGATTACCACGGTTAATTTACAGTAATTCACAAACTGATTTGTCACAATTTTCAAAAGATATCTTATCAAATATTATCAGCTAGTCACACTGATAGATACATTTGCAATATACATGTATGTGCTACCTGGACGGCACAGCTTCAATCAAGCAAAGTTATTTTGTCCCTAATTTCTCACTAACATTAATGTTTAAATACTTTTTTGGTTTCCTAAACAGATGGATGTCTTGGAGGACAATGTAGTACAGAATGTTGTAATTCTACAGACTGTCCTGGATGAGGTAAGATGACATTTGTTCATAGTACACAGTACATTTCATTACAAATTTTATTGATAGAACAACAGACAACAAGAAATGTTCTTCAACAGACAACAAGAAAGGTTCTTCTCAGCACACTGTATCAGGAATTACAGAAAGTTCTGTAAAAAGACACTAACAAAACTACTTTATGAAACATAATTAGCAGACAAAAAACTATTAAGAATCATTGGCCTGAAGCTTTTTTTTCTTTTTGTTTTCATTATCAGTATGTCGTTTAATATAGAGTAAGATTTCATTTCAGTCTGACCCCTGAGTTAGCATATCAACATTTTACATGAAATTGAATGATATAGAGAGTTTTAATACCCAGCTAAATCCAAGTATTTTGTTTGATATGACAAAGTGTTATCTTTTACCATTTCTTTTGCCAGTATTGATGCACTTTATCAGCTAAGAAGAGGTCATAGAGATTTTCAGACTTTGTTCCAATATACTGTAAATCACTTACATTTTATATGGGGTTTGTTTTTGTGTTAACCTGCGAGGAGAGTCATTCATGAATTTGTATACTTCACAATTATTTTTACAAAAATAACACATAATAACATCCATGCTGACGCAGTTACTGATATCAGAGTCCATATATCTAATAGCCTATCTTTCCTGAATTTAAAGTAATTTCTAGAATATTGTTTGCGAAATTGTAAATATTTGTATTAGTGGATATGTCTCAAGAGGTTAGTTCACAAAATTAAGCATTTGCAAAATCTAAGGATTTACAGAAATCTTGAAATAGTGGTTGTCATATTCTCACTGCTTTGACTGTCAAAAAATTCTGTTTTACCTACAGGTGAGGCACAGAAGTTCCCCAGGCTACAAGAGACTAAAGAGCATGTTGGCCAACCCAAGCAAGCATTTCTTCACTTTCTGTAATGAATTCAATAAGTAAGAAAAAATTTATTTGGCAGATTACGTCATCCTTAAGGTTTTTAAAGTCTTACAAGTTTAGTAGGTTTAGGAACCAGGTCTGGATTTATCTACATTCAACTCCTGTACAAAGTCATTGATTTTTATATCTTAAGTTGAGATACAGAATACATCATATCATGTAAGTATTGTGGATATTCTCAATCTATTTATGAAAACAATTCTAATGGCAAGTGATCAATAGAGTTAACAATAGAAAAAATTCTCATTTCTAGAAAAAAAAGAATCCTGTGATTTTTGTTACCAATGTATGTATGTATTTCATATGATATCATCATGTGATAGAAAGTCTGACAGTTACTTTTAAGAGCATGTAGTTCACTAATTATTCCAAAAGATGAAATAGGTATGTATATGTATTTTGTGTCAGGAAAGACAGTGTGTGCTTTATGAAATTTGTGGTTAGGAAATGAACCTGGGATAGAGTAACATTGGTACTCAAAAAAAGGTAATGTTAATGATGTATTAAGAGTTTAATCATTTTGTATCTAGACTTGATATGACCTAAGCTGTTTCTAAGTCAAAATTCCCCCAAGAAACATACCTGGACAGATTTAGGAAAAAGGATTTGTTGTCAATTGAGAATAATTCTTTTTTAAAGACCAATTTTAAAAGGGCATTAATAAAAAGCCTTGGATATCAAATACAAATACTAAATTGGTAATTATTTTAAATCTAATATTTTTTTGTCATTTTCAGAATTACATAGTTAAAATATTTTAAGACCTTTACAGAGTGTAGACTTCAAAAGTTTGGCATTCATGGAGGTCCTAACATGTTGTCTTTATGTAAAATCTCATGTTGTACAGTTTTTTTATTTGGGATTGTATTTCATCTCCCAGACACACCTATGTGGAGCGCCAGAAAGGAGAGTCTTCCAATGACAGAAATGACCGTGCAATTAGAGAAGCAACAAATTGGTATCAAAAGCACCTGCGTGCAGAGAGCCAGGCGGATTTGATTATTGATGTTGTCCTTCTGACAAATGATGCTGACAACAGGAGGAAAGCAGTACAGCAAGGCCTTAAAGCATTCACAGGTGAACAAACAAGTGTTGGGTTGTTGTGAGGTATTGGGTATCTCACAGCTGTTGTACAGCTTCTGCAATTTGTGCTACAAAAACTTACCTCTGATCTCTAGACAAGGTATGATAAAAAAGAAATTTGCATTATAGAATATTTTGCTGAATACTGATGGTTGGACAACTTCAAGATTGAGAGTTTTGAATAATTCTGAAACCTCAATTTTATGTTCCTGATGCAAAATCTAGTATCTGTACCCATGATTATATTTGGCTTGTGAAACCATTGATGCACAAATGCTTAAAGTTTTATGGAAAAAATTGAATTATAAATTAATAGTTTGGAAATTTTGTTGTCATAGATGATTTTTTAACAGCAAACTTAGATAGCTTTCAGCATCATTTTCATGATAGTAATTGAATCCTTGATTAAAAGGGCAACACAATAGAAGTATGTCTGCAATTATGTTGAAACCTAGAAATGTTAGTTTCTGTAGTCACTACTGTGATATCACCTCTTTTGAAAACCGAAATGCACGTATTGCAGATTTACATATTTTAGCAACTTTTATATACACTCAAAATATTGTACTAAATTACGATTTTGCGAACTGAAGTTTCTGTATAATGTATTTGTATAACAATTATTACTGATGTGTGGAATTATCAGTGTGCTAATTTGCCAGGAAGCATTAATGCACTAAAATTTGATTGTGCTGAATTAACCATTTTTACAGTACATATGTATTTGGCTTTGGTCTTGTTTCAGTCCATGAGTATGTAGAAAGTTTGGAGAACTGTGGACACCTTGCAGATCTTTTGTCACAATCACAGATGAGTGTGGTACGTACAAGATTCAGAGCATTGCAAACTTGTTATGAAAAACACATGGTTAACTCAGTCAAAGGTGGACATGTTTTTATATGAAAGAATGAAAACTTACTTAATTGGATAAAAGATTAAGTAAGTTACAGAAGAGTGTGTGATATGTTGATACAAGATAATAAAATTTAGATAGTAACCTTGGTCACATATGAGTGTGGTATGTTACCTCAGTCACACATGGGTGTGATATGTTATCTCAGTCACAGATGAGTGTGATATGTTACCTCAGTCACAGATGAGTGTGGTATGTTACCTCAGTCGCAGATGAGTGAGATATGTTACCGCAGTCAGAGATGGGTGTGGTATGTTAACACAGTCACAGATGGGTGTGGTATGTTACAGCAGTCACAGATAAGTGTGATATATTACCTCAGTCACAGATGGGTGTGGTATGTTAACACAGTCACAGATGAGTGTGATATATTACCTCAGTCACAGATGGGTGTGGTATGTTAACACAGTCATAGATGAGTGTGATATATTACCTCAGTCACAGATGGGTGTGGTATGTTAACACAGTCACAGATGAGTGTAGTATGTTGATAAAAGATAATAAGATTTAAATATTACCTAAATCACTGATTGCCTTGGTACATGAAATGAAAGGTTTTTAGAAGATAGCACATGTTTTTGATTAATACTGAAAACAAGCAATAAAATCCCTGTCTTAGATTTCACATGTTCCATACCACATGTTCCATACCACATGTTCCATACCACATGTTCCATACCACATGTTCCATACCATATGTTCAATACCACATGTTCCATACCAAAATTTATAGAATTGATAACAAAGGAATATCATACAGAGAGATATCTCTTTTCTGAACATTTTCAGCATTCTCAGGACCGCCTCCTATTCCCAGAACACCTCCCACTATCTGAGATACAACGTGGAATCAAGTCAGGGCGATACTTTCAGGGAAGCTTCATGGCAAGTCGGGAGAACTATCTTGAGGCAAATGTCAGCATCCATGACAAAGACCAAATGGTATGACAACTGTTAATATAATGTTTTCTTCAACATAGATTCATAAAATGGACTCAATAAAATTCTGGTTGTTTAATAAGAAAAAGAATAGGAATTTGTTTATGCTGTTAGATTTTCTTAAAGAAGCAAAAAGAGACATTGTCATCTTTATTAAAACAGACTTTTTCCAATAATTGTCAGCGAATACTAGAAATGCTCATACAAAGCACTTTTTATATTGTTTGTGTTCTGTCTAGGTATTCATACAAGGACATATGAACCTGAACAGGGCTGTACACAGTGATGTGGTTGCCATAGAGATGTTACCAGAGGAGGAATGGAGCTGCCCCTCCTCAATGGTATTAGAGGAGTCTACAGAGAAAGTGGTAGAAGACAGTATGGAAACAGAGGTAATACACAAACATATAATTCACTCTCTTTGTATATACTATTTTGTATTTCTTATCCATCCCCTCAGCCACGCTTTCAGTGTTAAAATAATTTGCTTTTGACCAATATACCCTCATTTTCTTTTCAGTACAGCAGACAAAATCATCTATATCTTTTTACTTAAAGCATCATTTTTCTCTTCTCTAAATAAGGTCAAAAAGTCAAATAACCAAGGAAAATGTATTGATTGACCTTCCCTACAAATGTTATACTTATTTTCCTCTAAAGTGTCTGTGCTTGTCACATGATTCTGTGTTTCAACTAAAGTGTCTGTGCTTGTCACATGATTCTGTGTTTCAACTTAAGTGTCTGTGCTTGTCACATGATTCTGTGTTTCAACTTAAGTGTCTGTGCTTGTCACATAATTCTGTGTTTCAACTTAAGTGTCTGTACTTGTCACATAATTTTGTATTTCAACTAATCCAGTCAAATGCTTCATTTGCAGGATAATGCTGTTAAAAGATCTAAAGTTCCTAAAGAGTTAAGACAGCCGACTGGTAAAATTGTTGGCATCATCAAGAGAAATTGGCGGCAATATTGTGGAATTCTGCGACCCTCAGCAATGAAGGAGGTACCTCACATACTGACCTTCACCTCAAGATTGAGGTTGAATTAGAGGTCAAATGTTGAATGAAATTTCTAGTTACAAAAATAATGAGAGAAATAGGATTCTATCAAATGTAAACATATTGTCAGTTAGATTAATAATATGATCTGTTATAAACTGATTTCTTTTCAGTCGTTTTGTTTGGCGTAGTGCTATGGTAGAGCAACATGTTATTTGTACTCCTTGATGTACTCATGAAATATGGCCCAGATTACATTACATTTAGCACTAAATATCAGTGCTTTGTGGGATAATAATGTTATGTTTCCTGTCATGTGACTGATTAAGGGAATGGGTAGTCTGTATTCCTGGGTTTTAATAAAGAATCTGGAAAGTTGTCTTGGATATACTAGGGTGTGAAGTGGGTGGAATGGTCAAGACAGCATGGAATGATATCATGATAGGTGCAAAATCTGATAAGTAGTGTAACACTTTATCTTCATTGGTTAGGGTACCCGACATATTGTTGTACCAGCAGAGAAGAGGATTCCAAAAATACGTATTGAAACAAGACAGGCAGCTGAGCTTGTCACACAGAGAATTGTAGTTGCCATTGACAACTGGCCACGTAACTCCCGCTACCCCCAGGTTAGTCTTATCTTCATTGATTTGGTTGGAATATTCTAGAAACTTTTGTATGTATAAATGTGACGTGTCGCTTTCCCAAAAATGCTTGATTGATAATAATACTCATATATTAAGTCTAATCTCATTTGTATTGAAATGGTGATATCTGTCTAGAAGAATGGATAATAACCACATTTTGTTTGCAAAAGGGCGTTTTTTTTTGTCCAAGTTTGACTGACTAGAGAAGCTAGAAGGAAAATAAGAAAATAGTGTTATTTTTTTTTCAGATTCATAATCTTAAATACATCTATAGCTTTCGCATTACTTCTGCATTTTGTAGTTTGTTGAATCAATCGCTTCAATTCAGTCAAATTCTTACAAATTCCCAGGGTCATTTTGTGAGGAAGCTTGGTAGCATTGGTGACAAGGAGACTGAGAATGAAGTCTTGTTACTGGAACATGATGTTCCCCACTCTAACTTCTCCGAAGCCGTGCTTGCTTGTCTTCCAAAACTCCCTTGGATCATTACAGACGAGGTAAACAAACCTGTCCTGATAATTTGGAATTTGCTTAAATGTTACATCAAATGCCCGTCTTAGGTAAATTAGATCTGTCTGTAGTATATCACTATACCATCAGGCAAGATGGTTAATGTTTAGTGGGACATTTAGCAATACAAAACACATCTTATAGATATTTTGTCACTGTTAAATTTTCTGTCCTTTTGCTCAATTGTCTTGCTTCATTTGTTCACATCTATTCAGGACATTTTGGTTATAATTGGTGTGTGGTTCTATCCCACTAGCTTTATTCTAAAATACATTAAATGCTTTATGTATACAAAGCAAACTGTCGACCGATATCTCTCTATCAATATTGTCTGCATGTGAGTTTCACAATCAGTAGTTTGATAACTGCATAAAGTCAGAAAATCTGTGTCAACAATAACATGATTAACAAGGTTATTTTCATCTAAAAAAATGTGTAGAGTTTGTCAGCAGAGGTGTTTCAGTTATCCAGCAGACTAATTCTCTTAATGTTATTGTAAAATTAACCTGTTACTTTCATATAAAGTGATAAGTGTTTTCTGTTTGTACCTCAAAACCTTTTAAAGCCTAATCCCCCATTTTATCACATAGCTTTAGGATAAGTTCCCCAAGGACTCATATTACAGAGTATTAAAAATTTTGCAATGTATTTGTGTCTGTAAAATGTATCTGTATTTTGTAGGATTACAAACGTAGGCGAGACCTGCGTCACATCGATATCTGTAGTGTTGATCCCCCAGGCTGTACAGATATAGATGATGCTCTCCATTGTCGAGAATTAGAAAATGGAAACCTTGAGGTCAGTTGTGTCTGCCATCACAGCAAAATAATTGGTTTTCTCATCACTGATATTTTAAAGAATTTAATTGTATATCAACTGTACTTTTTGTATATAAATACCTTCTGAAATGAAATGCAATGATATGTAGAATATGTTGAGCTTATTTGGGATATCCAGGGACTAAAATGTCTATGTAAAGTTTCTATAGGTCACCTGTTGAGGAAGAATTGAAATTACTGAATTACTGAAGCAATGTTTAACTTAAAAAGATTAACACTTTCATATTGATTTGTGAAATTTGATCAGAAATGGTTTGTGCTGACACTATATGAGATTCAGATTTTATAATACAAATTTTTTTAGTTTTCATTAGAAATAACAACATTATACTAGGTGAAAAGAAGTCATCAGTTTTCTTTCTTAGCAGGTTTCACAGCAAAATCATTTGTTTTATGAATTAGGTTGGAGTCCACATTGCCGACGTGTCCCACTTCATCAGACCAGGCACAGCCATCGACAAGGAGGCTTCTGAACGTGGCACCACTGTTTACCTTACAGATAGGGTATGTACAAGGCATCAGTATCTTGGTCAAGACAACACCTGCCCCAATAACAGCTGTTTTTGACGGGACAAATTCTCAGCAACTAGATTTTATATCAATTTCTTTGAATGTTTTTGTTTTCTGTAATGGAGATGAAATGATTAGGTCGGCTTTGTATTGTTGTCATCTGAACTTCTGTTTCCTTCATCTCAATGTTTAAAAAAAATGAAGAAAAAAATGGTAAGAAATATCATATATATTATACATAGACTATCCACACAAACAATAACAACCTTCGGCCAAAACTAGTCTGATGAAAATGTTTCTGTTTTATTAAAATTTGCATGATTTATCAAACTCATTTTCAGAATGACAATATCCTTTTTGTTACTTGGTTTGTTACAGAGAATAGACATGGTGCCAGAACTTCTCAGCTCCAATCTGTGTTCTCTCAGGTCCAATGTTGAAAGGTATACCACCAACATATATATCTCCTTTCTATTTGAAGTTCTCCTCGTTATGGTTCATGGTTATTGTGAAAAATTCATCTTTCCTGTTTGTAGCTGTTGATAAGATACAGATAAACCTATTTTTTCTGACCTACATTTGGATGCAACATATTTAAAGATGAAAATTTGTATGGACTTCAAAAAAAAAGTATTCTTCAAATAAATTCTGACTTTTTATTCCTAAACTGATAGCTTATATAAGATGTTGGAATCTACCTTATCTCAAGTGAACAACATTCAAGTTCACATCAATAATGAATATTGAATTTCATTTTTATTACAGGTTTGCATTTTCAATATTATGGGAATTGACACATGATGCTGAAATAGTAACGACAAGCTTTACAAAGAGCGTTATTAAGTCCAAGGTGAGATATTGATGTTTAAGCATTTGGTAGTCTCCCTCTTCTCATGCCTAGTGTGTCTTATTGTTTTGTCAGTATTTCACTAGTAAAATGTTTGTGTACAAGATGTCAAACCAGCCCTCAGTGGGTGATAATTAAAACATAATAGTGTGGTACTACCTGGTATTAATTTCTACATCTGATTTAGAGTTTAGTGGCTGAAGGTTAATGTTTAAGGATCACATGTGACACTTGACAGTAACATCAGCCAAAGTTAAATCACATTGGCAGGATTCCTACTTTGGCAGGATTCATGCTGTGGAATTTTGAAAATGATGTAAAAGTACAGTTACTGTGGGCCTGCAAAGCGAAGGATTAATCCTTTATTTCTGAGAATAAAACATTCTCAAATCCCAAGGTGGATGGAGAAGAATTTTATCCATAATCCATTCAAGCATTTCACTCCAAATTTACTTGTAACTTTTCTTCCTCCATATTAATATTACTGATTGGAATAAACTGCTTTCAACTTATGTAAGCTGCAACAAAATCCATTCTTTCAAAATTGTCCTTCTAGAGCTTAAACATTTGGTGGTCAGGTGTTGCCGTTGGAACACTCTAGCTTTTTACCAGGGTGTCTGGGGTTGGATTCTCAGAATGGACTTGAAAAGTTATGATGTCTCCTTCCCAGCAGTTTTCTCTGGGTACTCCACATTTCTCACACAGCAAAACCTCTTGTGTACTTCCATCCTGGCTAAGAGGAGTGAATGATAATATATGTTGGAAAAACTTGTTTCACAACTGTTGTAAAATGTTTTTAAAATCTTAAAAATTCTAAATCTTCCATTCAAGTACCTTACTTATTGTCTATAATGAAGTTAATCAGTATGAAAATGTATCTAGATCATGAAGTTAAAATGCCAAAGAAACAACCTCAAAGCTCTTTTATTTCCAAGGGCCTTTTTCTGGTTTAAGAGACTGATACCAAGTGACCCTCTATTCACAAAAGTGTTTAACATGGTTGTCTCCCTTTCTGTTGACAAAACAGGCAGCCTTTACCTATGCTGAAGCTCAAATGAAAATCGATGATACAGCACAGGACGACCCCCTCACCAGAAGTTTACGACATCTCAATAGGCTAGCCAAGATTTTAAAACAGAGGAGGATTGATGCAGGGTAAAATATTAAGTCTGTACAACTGCAAAGATCCCCACCGTGTGGTCATTTCTTTATCATGAAACTTTTTCAAATATACAAGTATCTTTGATATTAACATTGAAATTTTTATCAATATTTGTCCATCCTTATATGGTCATTTTCATGAAGATTGTAGTAAACCCGGTAAACAAACAAACTGAAAGCTGTTTTATTTTGTAGAAATGTTTTTTCCATTCTTTATTCTCTGTCCACTACAGTGCTCTGACACTTGCTTCACCTGAAATCCGATTCCACATCGACAGTGAGACACATGAACCAATCGACGTTCAGGCAAAACAGATTATGTATGTACTCATTTAATCTACAAGTTTCTTTCCTAAGCCCACCATATCATGGCAGGGACATTCTGTAGTCTAATGATAGAAGCATAACATTGTAGTGCTCCTAAGCTTTTCATAGAAACATCTTTAGGAGTACAAATTTTCATTTAATTACTTTTTTTTATCCTGCAATAAGCCTAGGAGACCAATACAGAAATTCCAACTTAAGGTCAGGGGATAGGCATATCATACAATTAAATAGCAATGGTAAGGAATTGTACCGGACAGCAGTAGAAATAGGTAGATTCATTAAAACACATGGACTTGTTGCTGGATGTATATGGTATAAGGACTTATTGCTGGATGTATATGGTATAAGGACTTAATGCTGGATGTATATGGTATAAGGACTTATTGCTGGATGTATATGGTATAAGGACTTATTGCTGGATGTATATGGTATAAGGACTTATTGCTGGATGTATATGGTATAAGGACTTATTGCTGGATGTATATGGTATAAGGACTTATTGCTGGATGTATATGGTATAAGGACTTATTGCTGGATGTATATGGTATAAGGACTTATTGCTGGATGTATATGGTATAAGGACTTATTGCTGGATGTATATGGTATAAGGACTTATTGCTGGATGTATATGGTATAAGGACTTATTGCTGGATGTATATGGTATAAGGACTTATTGCTGGATGTATATGGTATAAGGACTTATTGCTGGATGTATATGGTATAAGGACTTATTGCTGGATGTATATGGTATAAGGACTTATTGCTGGATGTATATGGTATAAGGACTTATTGCTGGATGTATATGGTATAAGGACTTAATGCTGGATGTATATGGTATAAGGACTTATTGCTGGATGTATATGGTATAAGGACTTAATGCTGGATGTATATGGTATAAGGACTTATTGCTGGATGTATATGGTATAAGGACTTATTGCTGGATGTATATGGTATAAGGACTTATTGCTGGATGTATATGGTATAAGGACTTATTGCTGGATGTATATGGTATAAGGACTTAATGCTGGATGTATATGGTATAAGGACTTATTGCTGGATGTATATGGTATAAGGACTTATTGCTGGATGTATATGGTATAAGGACTTAATGCTGGATGTATATGGTATAAGGACTTAATGCTGGATGTATATGGTATAAGGACTTATTGCTGGATGTATATGGTATAAGGACTTAATGCTGGATGTATATGGTATAAGGACTTAATGCTGGATGTATATGGTATAAGGACTTAATGCTGGATGTATATGGTATAAGGACTTATTGCTGGATGTATATGGTATAAGGACTTAATGCTGGATGTATATGGTATAAGGACTTAATGCTGGATGTATATGGTATAAGGACTTATTGCTGGATGTATATGGTATAAGGACTTATTGCTGGATGTATATGGTATAAGGACTTATTGCTGGATGTATATGGTATAAGGACTTATTGCTGGATGTATATGGTATAAGGACTTATTGCTGGATGTATATGGCATCAGGACTTATGTATATGGTATAAGGACTTAATGCTGGATGTATATGGTATAAGGACTTATTGCTGGATGTATATGGTATAAGGACTTAATGCTGGATGTATATGGTATAAGGACTTAATGCTGGATGTATATGGTATAATTTTAGCTTCACTAACTTTGGAATTTTCCTTTTTGTAATTGAGTTTTGCATTTGTTGCCATTTTAACCAAACCAGCAGCAAAAACATTTTTATCATTTTTTCGGTTTAGATGAACTCTATTTTAATGCTTTTTTGAGATGGTTGTAGTGCTCTTGTTTTGAGATGACTAAATATATGAAATATAATTACCTAACTGGTTTATGTAGGGAAACAAACTCCATGGTTGAAGAGTTCATGTTACTGGCAAACGTTGCATCAGCCAAGAAAACGTTGGAGGAGTTTCCTGACTGTGCATGTCTGAGACGACATCCTGCACCGCCTCCGTCCAATTTTGATCCAGTCATAAAAGCTGCAGCGTCAAAGGTATTTTGGATGCTTTCCTTCCTGATGGGGCACATTTCACATGCCCTGACACCTTATTTTTAACTGATATCTTGTACCCATGTACCACCTTTGATGGGAAGTGTCCTGCACCAAATTCAGCTCCCTCACTACTGAGATATATAGTGAGTTGTTGCCCTTTGATCATCAGGTGTTACACTGCTTCAGGCATGCACACTCTATCAGTTACAATTGCTAAATTTTGTATGGAAGCTGATATTCAATTATGGAATTTAACAAATTTCCTATCACTAGTTATTTCCTTTTGAAAATGTTTGATGCCAAAAAATTGACCGGAGATAGGGAACTGTTCCTTGTTTTGAAAACTTGTCCTTGTTTATTTGAACAACTTAGGCATGGTATGCCGGGCATTTGATGTGAGAAAATGCTTTCACTTTAAGTTTGTTTTTTGATCGAAAGAAATCTTCTGATATCAACTGTTTAGTGTTGTTATTAGTTTTCACTTGGACACTTTGTGGCAGTAAATTTTGACATTTATTTGACAATCTTCCGTAACTTTACCTTGTTAACTAATCAGTGATGTGTCTTTATACTAGCCCTAGCTAAGTCAACATCTAACGATGAAAATGTAAGATCTCTGTAAATACCAGAGGTATGCACGATAATCTTCTTCCAATAAAACGTTTAATTTCATATTGTTGACGATAAACTGTTTCCCAAGAAAGATAGGGATTTTAATGTATCAACAACATATATTCAAACATGTGAACTATTGAAAGATAAATGAATAAATCTCATTCTGAGTATAAAACAATTTCTCAGAATGGAATTACATGTGAAATGTATGGCTTTATATTAAAAAACGGCTGTCAAACATGTTACTTTGAAATCATTAAAAACCATTCAAGATGCATGCTCTGTTACAATGTTGTCTGTTTAGGTCAAACAATATAAATGTTCTCTGATGAATATACCCCGCAAAAATTTGTGATTCAACCTTCGACTTAAAGTCATTATGTATTAATTACAGGGTTTCAAAATAGATGTGTCTAAAGGGAAGGCTCTGGCAGACAGTTTGGAGGCGGCTGTTGTACCTTCAGATCCCTACTTCAACACAATGCTGCGTATTATGACTACTCGTTGTATGATGCAGGCTGTTTACTTCTGCAGTGGTATGATCCCCGAGTCTGAGTATTTTCACTACGGTCTGGCAGCTGGTATCTATACCCACTTCACATCTCCTATCAGGAGGTAAGTGAATGAATTGATGGTACAATATGTAGGACGCTGGTTTTACTGATTCCTATACTGATTCACTATAAAAATACTTTCAATGTCACAGATTTCTTTTGGGAATCCCATAAACAGTTTAAATTGTAACAGAATTATACATTTAGCCTGGGGGCATACAAATTCTGAATACAGATCAGGATGTGGGCTTACTGGAGAAAAATAACAGTATTTGTACTGTATAACAATATAAATAGTAAGACTTTAAACCACAAAAATATAACAAATGAATTTAATGTCATTTATCCATGTTAGTCACCAAACTTAAGTAAGCATAATTTTATCCACTTTTTTGAGGTCAAACTATTTTAATTTCTCAAGGTTTAAGTGGATCATTTGATACTGTACACTAACATGATGGCCATGTTTTAATTCAGATTCTCCGACATCATCGTACACAGACTGCTGGCTGTATGTATAGGAGCAGATGCTTCTTATCCTAGTCTTACAGACAAACACAAAACACAGGCAAGTTTTCCATCTAACCACACTTACTGTTGTTGAAACTTATCATTTTTAATTGTTAAAAGATTTTGATCCCTATTTTAACTTAATAAAAACGTATCAAATGCTATAATTCATTTCTTCTACTCCTGCTGTTTAGTGCATAATCGATTGTAGCGAAGAGTTGAGTTCAATTCTTTGTAAACAATACATAAATCATTCTATTGATAGGTAGTGTGTAATAATTTGAATTATCGACACAAGATGGCACAGTATGCTGGTCGAGCCTCGGTCAATCTCCATACACATGTAAGTGATCAAATCATATATAGTAGGACTCTAACCGAGTTGAATTATTTTTGTGAAGCCTTTTCTCAAGGTTAGCTACTACTCTACCAAATTGAGAGAAATCCTGCTTAAGTGACAGGGTCAGTAAAACTAGTACCATATTCTGCTGGTATTGATTTCTATAACATCTCTCTAATGAGTACATCAGGAAAAGGAGTTCAAACGTTTTAAAAACATTAAAATATTTCACATCTTGATAAAAATAAGATATTTTAAAATCATGATTGATAATTAGTTTGTAAAAGCAGCAACAGAATACATCTTCCATGTGACTAAGGTCTGACTCAAAATTAATGATACTGATTGAAAAAAAAGGTGAAGAGAAAGCTGCCATCACAGACTGAAATAAGCCCATGGCTGGTAATAAGCCCACTTGTGTCTGGTGTCCTCAGCAGAATATCCAAGAAATGCTAACATACTTCATTATCTTGAAATATGCCAGACCTCCTGACATTCTGTCAGAAATCATTTATTGGCCCCTAGGCATACACAGATGAATTTTCTCTTTTTCATAGATTTTTTTCAAGAATCGCATCACAAATGAAGAAGGATATGTCCTATTTGTGCGACAGAACGCCCTACAGGTGCTTATTCCCAAGTATGGTTTAGAGGGTACCCTGTACCTGAGTGACGGAAAATCCAAGTCCGACCCACGCTTTACATACAATGAAGAGGTAGATCGAAGAATTCCAACTCATTTTAAGAGATTTATATTTAAACTTGTCAGACCTATTTTTAAAATTATCTTCTTTATCCCCATGTGTCTTCAGGATCCATGGAAATAATCAATTTCAGCTGTAGAAGCGTACACTATCGAAAATGCTTGTCACATTTTTTCTAAATCCTTCCCAATAAAAAAGTCAGACCTAAACTTTTCAATTGTAATTGTTGTGACAGTATTTCTTTGGACACATTTGTAATGGCCGTCTTTTGACTTTGTCTTCACTTTAAACCTTGAGAATAGCTTTAATAAGAAAATTCACATTATCTTGTACTGAATAATGTCAGATTTTATATGTTACCTGATTTCTAAATTGCCAGGCCAGTACCCAAACTTGTGGGAATGTGACATTCCATGTGTTTGACCAGGTCATCGTAGAACTCAGCATTGATCAGTCCAATGTCCAGCACCTAAAGCTTTGTCTCAAGCTTGTCAAGCCTGAGGTAAGCCATCATACCCTTAATCTTTGTGCTTCTCCCCCACTCCCCACGTCCTTCCTCACTTATCACTGCTTACACGTACAGTATTCCTGTTCAAATCAATTCCACACTTTATTCAAACCATCACCCAACTCATTTATCTCTATTTCTCATTTTAACCATAACTTATCCCAGTCTCTCCCTTGATATCTAGCCTAGACCCTTTTCTCTAATCCAATTTCATTTTTAGGCTTTATAATAAATATATTTAAAAGAAATATTGAACTAAAGTACAGTTCACTGATAACTTTAATATGTTATGTACCATGTGTTGTGTCAGTCAAGAGATGTTATGTGTTTTATGTCTACAGATACCAAATTTTAGTGTTTCACCGCTCAGCACTGATGACAGTGAACCGCCAACAAAAAAACAGAAGACAACACCAAGTAAACCCTAGACAGCTGTTATTCGGAATTAGAAGGACTGTGAACTGTCAGTGAAAAATACAACAAGCAAACAAAATAATGTGACCAGGCCTACATAACAGACTAAGGGCAAGCATTGTGGGCAACAGAGAAAAAATCTGAGAATGGTGAACCCTTGACTAAAGAGAAGATTATAGACCTAAATCATGAAAGAGGCCAACAGCAAACATTTTGATTTGAAAGATTCAGGTCAGAAAATAAGTCTATTAATCCCTTCTAATTATTGGAAAAACAAAAGGAGATATTTCCTCTTTAACATCTACCTGTAAATTATGAAAAGATTTAAGCCCAAGAGGAAATATCTATCTTGAGGAAATAGCTAAAAAAAATAAGTACTTGCAGGTATATGCAAGGAAGACAATGTCAATGACAAAACTGTCACATTGAAAAGGAAGTTTACTCAGAAAGGAGGTAGTTCAGTTTTACAAAGACTACTCACTCTCTGAATGTCTACACTTAAAAGTGTGTATTGTATTGTTATTGGTGAGGTCATATTAAATATACCAAACCCATTGTGTTTTTGTTTATCATATTGTTAATGATTAATTCAAATTGATTATAGAAAATCACATTTGTTTTTCTTTCTTATCAAACAACAATCATCAGTTGGTGGGCTAGTCTAATCACCCTTTGTCCAGATGTTCGTATGTTAGATTGTCTAAATATAGCACAATAAAGAAGGATTTGGGAACTCAGTGACTGGATCAAAGATTTTATGCAAAGTTTTGATTAAATAAACATGTCTGTATGCTGTTCACCTGTAATTTCTTCTGGGATCGAAATGCCATCGCTTTTTTGGCTTATTTCTTAGTGATTTTGAAATATACACAAATATTTCACACTGTTGTGGCTCAGTAATGGCCCAGCTGATGTTTGTATATTGAGATAGGTACAATGTATCGAGTTTCCTAAAATTCTATCATGTTTGTTTGTTTAGTGATTTGTGGTATACAATTTCTATAACACTATAGATCATTGTTTTGTGTTATATTTTATAAAGAATATCATAAGAAATTTGAGCTTGTGCTGAGTATCTCTTCAACAAGACTTGATAAAAGATAAATCAAAGATATACAACAAAGTCACTTTATTGGGGGGGAAGCATATTCTCTATTAAGAATAAATGTTGGGCTAGATGTAGTGGTTAGTTATTTATAGGTTTTTTGTCTCCTTGTCTCCTTCTATCACTAGGAATTCTAATCAATGTCGGTGTTCTTGTGATATGTGAAGGTATTGTAACCTCATGTGTTTATATAGTGTATAAGCATTCCTTGGATTATTGTCAGGTTGATGTGGATACGTATCCTCAACATGCTTTCTTTTTCACTTCCAACTACGTTAGCTTCATATATCATCACAACATGTGTACTGGTAAAAAGGTGATAGATGTGATAACAACCAAGCTGCTTTATTATCACAAAACCAAATATTTACCAACGGAGACATACAATACTTGTCTCAATGACGATGATATAATAATCTTAATTAAATCTTTGCTTCATGGCAATAAGATTTCTACTATTAAAAGAAACACAATATGACATTTTGCTGGATGACCTTGACCTTTAACCTGATCATTAGACATTTAAAAAAAATTTGATCATCTTGGCTTCATAAAGTTAAAGAAGTGGGTGAGATTGTTTTACCTATTGTCAAACATTCTTCTATAGCTCAGTTGGTTGAGCTATTGATTATCATGCTGGAGTGCTGGTTTCAGTTGCTGTCATGGCACTCAGCAGGAACACATTTTCCATGTTCTATTACAATGGTGCCAGACCAGATTCAACCTGTACTTTTAACACGCAAGAGTCATGTACAAAGTACCTAGGTTGATTATAGGTGAAATATCAGCGAGATGTTTAGCCTCATCAACATTACACATGCTAAGTATCATCAGAAACATCGACTAGGCTTAAGTACCACTCCTTAATTCTTAAATGCTGACCAGGAACATTGTTCTTAACCAGATTTTGACACCAGGAGTTTAACATGAGCTAAAACCTCTTCAGTATCAAACAATCAAACAGTTGGATAAAGTAACGAGAGACCCTCTCCCCCTAGATCCCCTTGATTTCACTTCACCCAAAATGCTTCAGACCAAATTTGGACAAAATCCAATCATTTTGCAGGAGATTAGGATTTTAAATATCTCCCTCTATTTCCACTCATGGGTCCAGACTCTTATGCCTCATGAATGCTTTTAAGCAAATTGGGCAAATCAAATCATTCTTGAAGGAGGAGTAGACTTTTAAAGTATTGCTCTATTTCTTCTATTGAGCCCAGTCCCTTAGGCCTTAAGGAGACAACACCAAATATGGTGGCCATCTTGATTGTGACTGATGAGTAGCCATCTTAGATATCAGGTGCAATGTTTAAGAAATTTCTCTGAAAACACTCCAGGATCCTTTATAAGACTTAAATTATAAGCTTCCTCAATAGGTATGTACATGTACTTTTAGTATTGATCCCAGGAAAACAATCTTGGATTTTGATCATTGAAACTAATGATTGTATAACATACTGAAGTCCCATTGTGAAATAAACATTATCCACTCAAAAAAAAACCCACACAAATCTAATTTTGTTCAAAATTTATTCTTAGATATTAAGTTGTACAGATTGTTTTACATTGCAAATTACTATATACAAAATATCCATGTGTGTTCAGATTCTCATTCTTGTACATAACCCGGTGGATATTGCAACACTACCTGTGAGCTACACTTGGGCACAGGGCAACACTTTCCAGGGGGTGCACTCTCTAAAGTACACAGTCCAGCAGGCAGATTCCATTGGTAACATCTATAAAAAGAAGGAAGGAATAATTATAGAAAAATTTCCAAAACAAAACAAGCATAACTTAACATTGATCCTGCTTGAATTGGTGACAATTACAAAGAACTAATTTGCATTCATACAGGGGTTTAAAAGGCTAATAATTTGGTACAAATATACATTCTATACATTCTCACCTGTCTGTACACCTGTATGTCCCTGTTGTAGCATCTTGACATGTACATTTATAGTCACAGCCATCATTCCATTGTTCACCTTGTCCATGCATCTGTCCCTTGTAGTAGCAGAAACCTGTCACAAGTATTACCAGTGTTAATATTCCATGTTTTAACTCTATCACAAACTGACCACAAAGAATGACAACATAAACAACAGCCAGTTCTCTGCTATTACCAACCAAAAAATAAAGGTCATTTAATTTACATCTGTACATACATACAAAATGGGGGAGAATTTATCACAAAATCTTCATGCTTCCACCCCTCACAACAAAGTCTGACAGATAACAGGGTACATACCTGAACCTTGACCGCTGCCTGGCAGTGTGAAATTACCACAATCAGGTAGGGCGCAGCATTCTCCTGGCTTCTTCACCAAAGTACAACCTTGTGGCAGGTTGGTATAGGTTGCACACCTACCAACAAATATCTTTAATTTACATGTAACTGCCTTGATCAGTGTGCCCAATGAAAAATGAAGTGATAGTCCCAACATTCTGATTACTTCTTTAACTCTTCAATAGTACATCATTATTTAATTCAATGGTGATTTCTATTAACAAATGAAAACTTGCCAACCGAACATATCACTGATTTATTTACTTAATTTACAAACAGGAATGGCTTTTTTATTTTTTTAATTGACAGAGGAAACATCAGGAAAAGACTTCAGTGCTGTAGAGCTGGTCGAAGTTCAATCAAGCACAAAAACAGATTGTATTACTGTGATGATCTTGTAATACTGAATATGTTGCCCTTGGTGTTCTTATTCATGACTTTTAAACAAATTCAGAACTTAAGCTTATGATGATTTTAGTCTGTTCAAAAATCAGAAATCCTTTGATAGTTGATCAATAGCCACTTAAAATTTGTAAATATTGGTCTACATTTATATACTAATGCTCAGTGGTTTCTACATTCATGCTGGTACATTCAGGATTCACTCTATACAGAAATTTATTTTTCTACCGGAAATTTATTCAGGACTTACAATTTATTTAATTCAGGATGAAGTATTATCCTACGGTAAAATCACATTTTTGAGGAGTTTGAATTTTTTGGCTGAACAATACTATATGATTTACTCTCAAAATCAACCAGCACTAAAAATTGATGTCAATTTAAAACTGGTTATCCTTATTTGGACATAATGATTCCAGCATAAAAATTACCTACAAAATCAATAGATATAAAAAAATTACAAAAATTGTTTTAGATATGACTGCAATGACCAGAGTACTTACAAGTTGACACAATTGTATCGTCCAGTGGTCTCATCAACACATGTACAGTTATAATCACATCCATCTGTCCAGTGATCACCTTGTTTGTAGATCTGATTTTTGTAGATACATGCTCTACCTGTATGTACAGAAATTTATATTGAAGTTGAAAGACCTACTGCTAGATGAAATATCAAAAAGAAAAGAAGACAACTTTATTTTGGATCTAGTCTACTTTGAAGATGTTCATACTCTTCCAACATTTTCCTTTTTGTTCACTATCACTAAAAGAAATATCCCCAAAGCTGAGAAATCCCCCCACCAGTTAAAATCCCCCCTCCCAATTGGAGAAATCACCCTACCAGTTAAAATCTTCCCCCAGTTGGAGAAATCTCCCTACCAGTTAAAATCCCCCTCCCATTTGTAAAAAATCCCCCTACCAGTTAAAATATCCCCACAGTTGGAGAAATCTCCCTACCAGTTAAAATCCCCCCACCCCCCACCCCCCGCCCCAGTTGGAGAAATCCTACCACTATTTGGAGAACTCACCCTACATTAGATGGTGACATTTCCTTACCAGTTGGAGAAATCATGGCAACCAGTTGCAGAGAACTTTATGCAAAGATGAGAAATGACCCTACCAATGAAGAAAGAGTTTCCTACCACTGGAGAGATCTTTTTCCCACTAAGAAATCAGAAGTCATCAAAAGCAGCATTAAGTAGTCTGCAAGAATTACATAGTTACTTACTCATCTGAGTGAAGCCTGTGGCCTGTGTTGAATGTATAGAGGCACCTGTAATAAATAGGAAGTTTTCATCTCAGCAGGCTATGTAGAATAAAAACATTCTTAAATCTTAGGAGTTAAATATACATATATTTCAATTTTATATTTAAAATATGAAATTCATAAAACTGCTTTTTGTGCATATCTATTTGAATCTTAAAACAACAACAATGACACATACAAGTAATCTAGTCTGCATTATCAAATCAGTCTACCGTATATCAAAATATTCACATTTTGACAAAGTCTGCTGACCACTGCTTGAAACACAACCAAGATGCATTCTGCATTACATGTTTAGCAATCACTGAAGTCAACATTGATTTTTGAAATTATTAGTGGCAGTCCTAAAGATTTAGAGTTCAGCCAGTTATGTCTGTAACATTTACTTACCACAGTTTCCATGAGCAGTAATAGCAAACACATCTCCAGTGCCAGTAGCTATGAATAGGAAGTAAAGAAATAAAAATGTAACAAATTCTACCATCTGTTATAGTATTAAAAGCAATAAAGAAGTTCAAATGACAAGAATTTTCAAAATAAACAATCCTTTGGTAAAAATGGTTTAGGTCACAAAAATATTGCAGATTTTTATCCTTAATTTTCAAGGACTCTGTATCAAGTGTTAAAATCAAGACAAGTATTCCAGGTAAATTAAGACAAATATTCCAGGTAAATCAAGACAAATATTCCAGGTAAGATTCTTGAATTTAAGGTCCTTGCAAACATAGACCCTACATGAACAAAACAGCCTTTTTCAAATACTTTATTTCATGTTTGATGAATATATTTGTACTTTCTCAAAAATTTACTGGAAATTATCAATGATTTGTAACAAGAGATGATTACTGAAAATATTTCAATGCCCAGAGATCAAACCCAGGACCACTAGCTCGTTAATAATAAGCCTATAAGTTAAGAGGAAGTTCTCTCTCACCAAGAGGTACATGGCTATGTTTACAAAGAGACTGCACGTAGATATGAAGCTGAAAGATAGTACTACAGTATTCAGAGTCCCAGTTGAAATCATCTCAATCTTTTAATAGAGACTGAAAAGGACCCAAAATTTTCAAGAATGTACCATTCAAAATATACAGAAGGACTATACCATCTGAAAAGAATTTACAAAACACCTACTGTAAACTCTGCCATATGGATTTGAATTCATGGATAACTGATCAATGATGGCATAGAGCCTTACCTTGTCCCCAATGTGTAGCGGATTGTCCTGGGGCATACAGGAAAGCTGGCTTGTTACCAGCACTGGCTTCAAAGGAGCAGCCACTTTGAGTTGCTACCATTATCCATCCATAGGAGTCACAATTGCTGTTGGAATGGCTGTTCATCGTAAATTCACGTCCACTTGTTACATCTCTGTTCATAAATTGTTTATAAAAATTAATTTGAAATAGAAATATGACATGAATACCCCCACACTTATACAACGAAGATTTGTTGTTTGTGTTTAACAGTAGTGGTGACCTAAATGCCATGTACCAAATACCCACAACCACCCAACTTCCTACCTCATTTTTAATCAACCTCTAACCTCAATACGTGCATGAAATATAAACATTACATCAGCTGTTTTACACAAAACTTGATGTAAAATGGATTTTTTATGGCAGTTTTACTTCATCATTAAGAATAGCGAAAAATGAATAAAATGGAATCCCTTGAATAACTTTCACAGTAATTAGATTGGAGCAGCAATAATGACACACAATACTCACCCCAACAGACTGAAGAGTTCTTTAGGAGCATTACGTATATCAGTGTAGGAGGAGTCGATGATCCTATCAGCTGAGAACCAGCTGTTCTTGTCTGCACCAACAGCATTAAACGTAATGTAAGCCTTCTCCTGGCCGCCGTTGTAGATGGACACCTTCACCTATTGATACAACAAAACAAATAATCAACCGTTACAGTTCTATCTTCCAATAGATGTTTTGTTGTACAAAGAAGTTCTTATTTCAATCCTGACAATGATGTAACATCCCAAACTACCTCCACTCTCAATCCGGTGCCACTGAAGTTGTGATAGTTCATTGTACCATAAGATATCTTCAAAATCAGACCATATCTAAGTTAAAATAATTAGTGGTAGGCAATAGTAGCCATTGTGAGATGTGAATCTGGTCAGAAGAAGCACGGAAAAGATTTGAGAAGGTGACTTTTTATTTACCTGATATATATAGAATTTATTTCAATTTGCATCAAGACAGAACCTTCAAAATGGTGGCACTAAATCAATGATTTCTTGCAGTGGTCCCTCTAACCAGACCTCAACTAAGAACTTTTTTTTACTACACAAGGACTGTGAATTACCTATCAAATTACATTCATCAATCGTGTTGGCCCTGCTGGAAGCACTCAAGGAACCTTACTGTGAGAGGAAACCAAAGTACCTGGGCAAAATCCACGTAATTGGGAAGGGGAATCAAGCCCTCATCATTACCAAGAGAAAAAGAGAATATGTTACAACTGTGCCATCCAGCCTAATCTCAAGTATACAGGTGGTCATTTTGAGGTGACATTATTTACCTGATCGATGCAGAGGTCATTCCAGTGGTCACTGAGACTAGGTTTGTAGTGGCCTGGGAACTGGTTGGTCAGATACATGGCCTGAGGGACATTTTCATTGTAACTGCCTGGCCGATTCCAGATGGTGAAGAGGTCACCTGGTGCACCAGCAACACCCTTCAGCATGGTGAACCAGCCTGTCAACACCAAATACTTATCATCTTAACCAAAACCAGAGACTTGTCCTTTACATCTAGGAGAACTATACAAAGTCCAGACACAATTTTATCAATTATGTAACATTTTTTATCGCTATCAGATAAAACAGTAATTTTCAAAATTTGTTGCAGTAAGTTCTGTTTAAATCATGGATTGTGTTACTAAACTTCCTGCAATTGTAAATAATGCGGATAATCAATACATCTTTCTATCCACTAGATTTCAACAAAATCGAAATAGATCTAAACGTTTGACCAAGCAGATGCATTGATAGAGCAAAAGATCTTTAATACTTACCTTGAGGAGGTAGAGCGTTGATGATGACAGGCTGTGATACAGTACCAGTTCCAGCTACAATACAGAAAACACATTTTTAATTTTTTTTCCTCTCTCATGTGTCTTGTCTTGTAGATCAATTCAATATTTCATTGCCCCTTAGGTTCTTTTAGAAATCTTATTTATGGCCTACCATTAGAAGATGTATATCATTTATTTGAACTATCTATCGGAAAAACAGATGTACAAGATACTCTTTCAAAACAGAAGATTAAGTAGGAATACACGAACAAACTGGTAGTAGACTTTAAAATGAAGGTCATTATGGCCATAGTTGTGAACCTAACAGTGTCTCTGAAACAACTACAATCAGTGTTTACATTATTAAGAACTGCATAGGAAAAAATATCTTTTACCATTAAGGGTTGCCCAAAAATAAAAAATAAATCAATATATCAATATTTTAAGACATGTAGAGAGATCCAACACAGTTCTGTGTAATACCAGGAGTCAAACTTGCATGGTGCAATACCATGAAATTCAAATGCTGTCAAATAATTATGAAGTTACAGCTGAGTAGTATACTTACTACAGAATCAAAATACTTACCACATAATATATCTGTATACTTACCACAGAATCCACAGCCCAGTATATCCTTATACTTACCACAGAATCCACAACCGAGTATATCCGTATACTTACTACAGAATCCACAGCCCAGTATATCCTTATACTTACTACATAATCTAAATGATCCACTGCTGAAATACTGGTACACTTAGTAATCCAAGCCAAGGACATTGGTATACTTACTACAGAATCCACAGTCCAGTATATCCTTATACTTACTACAGAATCCACAGCCCAGATATCCGAATACTTACTACAGAATCCAAAGCCAAGGACATTGGTATACTTACTACAGAATCCACAGAACTTGGGACAGTTTTCGTGGGCCCAGGCTGTGTACCTCTGGTCTTGGCAGGTAGATGCATCATAGTTCTGGCAGTTGTTCAATTTGTCCACACACTGACCTGTGACTGGACCCTGGGTAGCAGGAGGCGAGGTAATGACGGAGACTGAGCCTGGTAAGATCAAGGACAGATAACTTTAACCTTGTGTCATCAAGGGTAGATAATCAAACTAACCTGGTGACAACTAGTACTGATGAATAACTTTAACCACATGACATCAAGAACAAATAACTATCTTAACCTTGTGTCATCAAGGGTAGATAACTATGAACTTATAACTTCAAGGGCAGATAACTTTACAATGGTAACATTAAGGGCAGATAACTAGCTTTCAGCAACAATAAATGACAGATATCCAGTGCAGAATTACACATCCTCAACACCAACCTCTTGCTCCAGGTACCAGAAATAAGTTTAAAAAGTTTGAGTAAATTAGTTGGGATAAAGGAAACACTGATAATTATAACACCAGCAGACCTAACACATCTGAGTGAATCTTCAGAATACACCTGAAGGAACCTTTATCTCTCTCTCTCTCTAGATAAAACTGCTCACCAGTTCCAGTGCAAAGGCCACAGTACTTGACACAGTTGTCTGTTGCCCATGGTTTGTAAATTCCTGTACATGCTGACTTGCCATAGTTAGCACAGTTGTTGATCTTGTCTTCACATTTAACTGGTGCTGATGTGACACTTGAAGCTGTAAAATATGTGATTCATAGAATAAGTAACCTTTACCAAACTTTTGTGATGAAAATCACTCCATGGAATTGAAGAATAGATCACTACAGAAGCCATATCATTTTCATTTGTTGAAATTTTTTCTCACTTAATAATGGTAACAAAGATATTTGTAGATAAAGACACTTCAGAATAAGCTATTACATGTTGGAAAGGATAAGTTACTTACTACAGAAGCCACAAAACTTGTTACAGTTCTTGTGAGCCCAGGCCTGATAGTTAGACCCACAAGCACTCAGTCCATACATGGCACAATTATCAATGAGATCATAGCAGTTGGGGTCAAGATGAGGGTGGGGAACGGGGGTAGGCTGCAGAGGGGCACGAGGTGTTGTGGGTACACCTGACGTGTCACAGCGAATCTCCTGGCAACACTGGCCAGGAACATCGAACATCTTACATACAGATGGAATACTAGTGTATGTTGGGCACCTGAAACAAGAATAAAACATCATGGAGAAGTCCATCGAAAGGATTCCTGCTTGTTCAAGAGATAAATATTAAGTTTGAGAATTCAGCCTAAGATGAATTTTTTTTCCAAAATAATTTCGAATTTATCTTAACTTTGGTCAGTCTCAAAAAAATGAAAAATATACCAAGAATCAATATATTTTTCCCACATATCTTACAAAGCCAAACCTCTGTATAAAAAGGGCCACAACTCTGGAGCAGACCAATAAAATGGTAAAATGCCAATTGTCACTTCAATGCACACATCAATATATGGTTTTATGATGCTGTATCATGCATGACTATTAACTGTTGACAAATGTTTACATCTAGAAAGCTGTAAGTAAGACCATTGAACACTTATGCTATTTTAACAGAACAGGTTTGCAGTTTACTGTTATTTTACTGTCCTGCAGTAAGTTTTCAAAGTTCTTAGGTTAGCAAAAGTCAGTGTAATTGTCACATAGTGTGTTTGCCACCATAAGATATAAGTGGTCAGGTGACAAAATGGTGTTATAGTTTTGTAACACATTTTACATTCAACACCAATTGAAGCTGGAAGACAAAGATCAAATGTATAATTTTGACATACTTGGCATAGCAAGTGTACACTCCAGTGTTGGCATTGGTACATGTACATTGGTAGTCACAGCCGTCATCCCACTTCTTGCCTTGGCTATACAGTACGCCCTTGTAGACACAGCCAGCTGGTAACACAGATAGATCTATATTGTTCACAAGCATTTAACTTCAATACTATCATGTGATCATAAATTATGTTCTAGGTTTCTTGAGGCACATACAAGTAGTACACACTTTTTAAAGTCAGAAATTGTGAAATGTGATCTTTTTAAAAATTATCAGTTAAATAGTAGTTGCTATGAAAAAAATTAAAATTCTTAAAATGCAGATTATGTTCTTGGTAGCAGAACAACAAACATGTTAGGGGATTAACTTTAAAGTTTTTATGTATTGTATAGTCTTTTTATACTTATTCATTTACAGAATCAGAAATCTATTCAAGGGAAGTAATTCAAAGATCTGTACCATCTGTGGCGCAAATTATAAGCAGAGTGAAAATACAGCTTACAGTTGCTGCCACTAATTTGGCTGGAAGATCCCTGGCCTGGTGTATAGGAAGGTTTGAAACCGGTGAATCCACCTGGATAGGAACCATACACTGGGTAAGGAGACTGACCAGTCAGTGGGTTGACCTGTGACCCATCAGGGTTACTACACATGGGCTGAGCACAACACTGGTCGGCAGCTCGTACCATGAAGCACTGACTTGGTAACTTGTCATACACAGGGCACCTAAAACACATTGTGTCATTTAAAACTATCAATAGATAATAATACTGAAAATGTTTCTATTTCTAACATAAAACAACGATCAATAGCGAAATAATGAAATATTTTAAGCTAGAGGATAAATAAGTATAACTTTTGCACTAAATGATTGTCAACTACAAAATAGAATTTAATGCAGTACAATATCCACATCATTTTAAACCAAGTTTCCAAATACCATTCAGTCGACTTCTTGATTTCTTACAAAGAACAGAAAACACTGTGTATTTTCCAGAGCAAATGTTAAGGTAAAATTAAGAGAAATTCAAACTACAAGCCTCATTTCCAAATTAAATGTTTTGAAAAAAATGACCTATTTATGAAATCCATAATATAAACTCTGTTAGGTAAACAAGAATTGGCAGACTGAATGCTTACAATGGTTTACACTTGTAGTATCCACTTCGGCCATCCAAACACTCACAACTGTAGTCACAGCCATCATTCCACTGGTTGCCCTGGTTGTATAGTTTGTTCTTGTAGATGCAGTACTCTTTAAAATATACAACACATCAGTTATATCCCTTTTTGTCTGAGGGTTTATCACATAGATTAAGTACTACATGTATATATATACAAATTTCAAGAAAGGATAATTTACATAAAAAATACTGTTTACAGCCTGTCATTTATGCATTTATGATAGAAAAAGTTGTGTGGATATACCCTAATTACACATATCAGATACTACAGATAATATTTTCTCTTTTTTAATCCTGAAAACCCTTTTTATCTGCTTTTGCACTGTTCCTAATCAGGAGTTTAAATAAAAGTATTCATCAGACCTAAAGAAAGCGAAAAATGAATTACAAACAAAATGAAGGATGAAGGAACATGTTTTAGCATCACTTTGGTTAAAATCTATCCTAAAATTGATTTATCAATTAGTTTATCGATAAAATACCCTCCATGTTAGTTAAAGGCATTACTTACGAGATGGGGATCCAGAGAAGCCTGACAATGGAGTTCCTGGGTTAACATTAATAGGAGAGGTTCCTCCAGAACTGGTACCAGCACCAGGGACGACAATTAAGTGAGGATTGCTGTTGGGAGCAGGGGTAGGCACCTGCCCTGGCTGGGAGCCGGGGTTAATACTTGGGAGTGGGCTGGGGACAAGTTGTGGAGTAGGTGTGTACTTTCCGTAGTCTGGACTGTTACAGGACAGACTGGGACAACACTGACCAGGCACATTCACATATGTACAGTACTTAGGAATGGCAGGATAACTTGGGCATCTGTAATAAATCATACTCTAGGTAATATACTGCAAACAGAACTTTATCTATCAAATAGGTCCAACTAGAAAATTATATCACAAGGCATACATATTATTGTTACACAAATATATTAAGTATTTAACTGTTTCTAGGAAGTCTGTTTTTCACCCTCTCCTTGGGTAAGGAACTTATTTTTCAGTTTTCCTGACTAATGATCTTTTATTTACAATGTAAAAGAATATTGTATCATTAAAGTAGAGAAATATTGATTTTGAAATATGTGCAATAAATTTCTTTCACATACAATTGTACTTGTTAGTGGCCCAAACTACCTCTTCTTTAATAAAAAGAACAGTTATTATTTGTAGCATTGACACCAGTACACTTACTTTGTGGCACACCTATAGCGACCATCAGTTCCATCTTCACAAGCACAGGTGTACTTACACCCGTCATCCCATGACTGGCCCTGGGTGTACACCTGGTTTTTATACACGCATCCATCTGTACACAAGATGATAGGTCAGAGATAAATTCATCATTTCATTTTGAAAATTAAGACAACACATCAGTTAAACTTAAATTTGGAATGAAATATTACAGCACTATTTATGAAATTTTACATTTTGTTTTATCTATGGCTTTAAATAATAAACAAAATTCTTGGCAGATCAAGATATCAGAAAAAGGTAATTATAACTTACTGTCCTGTAAATCACATGTATACATAGACATTGATGTATATCTTGTAAATCAACTCTCTTTAGATCTGCTCACTAGATTTTGACAATTGAGATTAGGACTGATTCTATGTATCCCGTGTCTGGTAACTTACAAGTGTTGATTGCTGGCGTGTTTAATTCACTGACTGTATACAATGTCATAGAATCTTTTAAACATTTATGATTGACCTTAACGATGCTATCAAAACTAAGGTATTACACACCTAAAATTGATATCTTCGTTAAGGTATTGTATCACAATCAGTTTTAATATGTGATAAGTATTTTGGTCCATGATCATTAACAGATCCATGTCCTTCAAATACCTTTCAGGAAGTTTACTTGTTTTGGCAAAATTCAGCGCTCCCTTTAAGGCTTCAATAAAATTTCACAACGTTGGTTAAGAATTTGTGAAGTTACTTTGCAGAGTACTTGTAGTTATTGTCTCACACATGGATAACGTTTTCTTGATAAAGATAACTCATTACTTACTTCTTCCTCCAGTCGAACCTGTGCCCGTGCCTACTGGGGGACGTCCAGTTCCAGTGAAGACGTCATGGGTTCCGATGGGCACGACGTGTAACTGATTAGGGGTGAGAGTGGGAGAAGGCGTTGGTGTATTTGATGGTAACATAGGGGTCAGCTGTTGACCATTAGGAGCTGTACATGACACCAACTCACAGCACTGGTCTGCAGGATCAGGGATCAGCTTACAGAATGAGGGAATTGTTGAGTAAGACTTGCACCTGTCAGAAAAATTTACAGTGAAAACCTCAATTTAGACTATAGAATTTGTGGTAAAACACTGTAAAGTATAACAAGCAATTCCTGGAGTTTATATTACCATGCTAATGCAAAATGAGTGCAACACGTATATTATGAATGTTACAGTCAACACTCATCTGAAAATTTGTTTTCTATATTGAATAATTTCTCAAGTAACTCTAAAGTGTACAAAATTGTTCCCTGTCTACCAACTTTATATCACATACATTTTTCACCAAGAAGTATCTAGATTTCATTTTTACTGTTTATGACATATATATTTGAAATCACTGTGGTTGACAAAAGTTCTCCAACAACTGAATTTTTTACTTCCTTATGCTTAAAGATTTTGAAGATTCACAGCTTCAGACATTAAAAGTGACGGCCCTTACGTAGCAACACATCTGTAAGCATTGGTAGCAGGGTTGTCACAGATACACTGATAATCACAGCCATCTCTCCACATCTGTCCCTTAGGGTAGGTTTTGCCTTTGTAAACACATACCGCTGAAATGATTTAAAAAGAAAAAGAGGGTGATTGTACTCAGGTACATATTTACTGTCATGCTACCATACATGAAAAAAATGAAATCTTTTTGTGTTTTGTCAAATTCTCATATCCTGTATCATCAAATATGAATGCAAATTATTCCATTGAAATCCTCTGTAATCATGAAAACTGTACAGGAAGTCATGTAACCAGATTCCTTGAATACTGCATACAATCTGGAAATCTCAGATTTCATTTAAACAGGTTGACGAATCCATAACTACCTAGAGAGCTTCCTACCTAAAGACCTTCACGAAAGTGGGAGGAATATTCCATTTTTAAACCACATATAATGTAAAGATTGTTGTTTTTAAAATGTTCAAATTTACAAGATTTCACCAAAATTTATATGAAGGTAATATTTTTCACTGAAATCATTAGAGACTATGTGGTAAACCTTGAGTTAGTCTGATCCAAATCAAACAAATATTGTTGAACCTATCTGAATTACATGAAACACATGTATAAGAAATGGTAGATTTTATAATTTTATACTTATCACAGTGAATATCGCAATGAAGAAACTATGTTAACCTGAAAAAAGAATGTCTTAGTGTATTGGCAGAACATATGAGTGAGCAACAAGTGGATTTACACTAAAAAGGTACAGAGTAATGTTTACTGAAATTGTCTCATTTTATTAATTGAAACTAAGAAAGAAAGTTTAAATACTTACTGCCAGTTCCAGATATTGGCGTTGTCTGAGGGTTGGGGTAGGGAACACCAGTACCTGTCTGAGGTTGGTTGGTACCTGGTTGAACAACAACTGGTGACCCAGTACCTGTCTGAGGTTGGTTGGTACCTGGTTGAACAACAACTGGTGACCCAGTACCTGTCTGAGGTTGGTTGGTACCTGGTTGAACAACAACGGGTACCGAAGGACTTGGTGTAATCTGAGGTAGTGGAGTTGCCCCTGGGTTAGTATTACAGCGGGCTTTTTGACAACACTGGTCGTTTGGATCCTGAACATACGTACACTGAGGTGGAAGGAAGTAGTACTGCGGACATCTACAACATTACACATTATCAAGGAAGGAAGTTTTAATTAAACACACATTGAACCCCACCCCATCTATTGTGGATTCAATGTCTTGTGATAAGTACATATCCTAAAGCCACAGGTTAGGTTTGTCACCTGAAGTTGTAGCAGTATAAGGTATAGATTACTCAGTAGTTACAAAAATTACTAATTATTTAGGACAAATGAAAAACAGTAATAATAATATGTAAATCCTTATACTAATGATTTATTTAAAACAGGGTAAAATTTCAAAATAACATAAATAGTATTTCTTTGAACATTAACCACAATGAAAATTTGCAGCAACATTTCGGTATGTGTGTTTTTGCCTTTCTTAATTATTTTCAAATAATACTATCTTTTAAATGTAACATTGGTGTTAATTATAATATGTAGTAAAACCAACCTGCCAGTACAGCGGTATTGTCCTCTCACAGCATCAACACATTCACAACGATACTGACAACCATCATCCCATGTCTGTCCTTGAGTGTATGTCTGGGCCTTGTAGATACACACCGCTACATCACACAAAATTAGAGTGTATTAACTCAACCTTAACTTAACCAGTGACTTTTTACAGTAACCAAATCAGGTTTTTGTACCAGAAAATTTTAAAAAATTTCCGATACATAGAAATTGTGACCTTGACTTTGCAAACATGAAACATGTATTCATCCAAGGTATTCTCATAAATAACAATTCGTGTCACTTTGATCAAAATCCTTTCAGAAATTCACCAGTGTAATTACAGCAGTTTACAACAAGACAAGTCACAATGGCGTGATACTGGAAGGACCCTTATCACCAATGAACATAACTGAATGAAATCCTGAATTCCTATTCAAATCAGAATCTGATCAGGAATAGAACGTGATGTTATGATGCCATGGGATAAAGAAGAACAGAATCTGATCAGGAATAGAACGTGATGTTATGATGCCATGGGATAAAGAAGAACAGAATCTGATCAGGAATAGAACGTGATGTTATGATGCCATGGGATAAAGAAGAACAGAATCTGATCAGGAATAGAACGTGATGTTATGATGCCATGGGATAAAGAAGAACAGAATCTGATCAGGAATAGAACGTGATGTTATGATGCCATGGGATAAAGAAGAACAGAATCTGCTTCCCAGTTCTCAAGATGTGACACTAATTCTGGTTTTCCTCAAAAAGTTATCCATATATCAATGAAATATCGGGTCTTAGATATAATCCAGGTGAAACAAGGTTCATAAATCTATACCCATACTCCTACCAAGGCTAGTTTTTAAATAACACTACTTTTCCTTTAAAACCAGTCTCTTCCAGGGAACTAAATTGCATTCAAACTCTAAAGGCTAAAATACAATAAAGAACTTAATATACTTACACCTTGTGCCTGTGTTGCCTGGTACAGGATTCTGTGGATTCTGTGGATTCGGGTTTGACCCTGTGCCTGTGAAACTTCCGGGCTGAACTGGAGTTGGGTAGACATACTGTGGAACAGGGGTTGTTCCAGATCCTGAAGACCCTGTTCCAGTTCCTGGAGTGACATAAATAGGATTAGTGCCAGTCTGGCCAGTGGGATTGACTGGAGTCAAGATTTGATTACAATCAGGTACGAGACAGCAGCTGTCACTGGGATCAGTCCTTAGCACGCAGGAACTGGGCACCTGTGGGTAAGAGGGACAACGAGCATGGCATGTGTAGTAACCAGTTGTGGAGTCATCACACTGACACTTCTTGGTACAGCCATCATTCCACTGCTTTCCTTGGGTGTAGGCCACACCTTTGTAGACACAGAATCCTGGACGGGGTGTAGTGGGGTACGGGCTTTGTGTGGTCATCATATTTGGTGCAATTCCACCTGGTGTTGGAGCAATGTTTGGTCTGGGAGTCGGGGCGCCGTTAGGGAATGGGGTCGGGTTGACAAGGTCACAATATGGCTTCTTACAGCAAGGCTCGTTGGGGTCCTGTAGAAGGACACAACGGCTGTCCAGGTTAGGGAACTTCGCACACCTTGGAAGAAATGTAACATGTTACAGAATTATGTCATTTACTACAGGCAACTTACTCTCTACAGAGAAAGGTTTATTCAAGCTTTTCCATATTTTTACAGAAAAATATTTATTGTCTCTCCAATTTTGAATCTTGCCTTAAAAACATAAAATCTTTGGTTCAGTTTCAACAAAGTTTTAGCTCTCCTTATATTTTCATCCTAATAGCAAATCAGTGAAACAAGTGAAAGTTCAATAATGACAAATGTTTCCCCCATATACAATACTGTTAAATCATTCATTTATACTGGGTTTTGTTGTCACTGATTTTGTGGCTGCCCTTAATCCATGGATTCATATGACCAAAATCCTCAAAATCAAGGTGTCCATGAAACAGCAATTTATTGAAAAACCACCAAAGTTAAGCTCCACAGAAATTGATGATTTTACAGTATCCTTTGTGATTTCACATTCCACACTTGAAATACTATCTAAACCATACACCTAAAGATGAAATATACTGGGGAGAAATATTCTGTTTTTTGCTGATTTAAAGCCTTGTTATTATTGAAAACCTGACTCAGGAACAGCTATGACTTGAACAATATTAGACTCCACTCTTTATCGCTAAACACAGTTATCCTTAATATACTGATCTCATCAATTTTGGCTGACGAGGGTGTACAAATGTCTCAGTAGTTGAAATGGAATCTTTCACCAGTATCAATGAAATACATGATTTACAAAATTAATTCCTATAAATATGCTTTGCACCTACATACTACATCAAACTCCTGAACTTCACTGTGTACAAGATTCACTATCTTTAAATCTGTATTATCATATAGGAATATTTTTTGTCATTTCAAAGCGAAATAGCAAAATTTTACCTACATTGAGCAGATTTTTTTCATTTGTTGAATAAAATCAGGTCTTATTGGGTGTTTTCATGTTTCCTTTTTATTTTTTAAGGGTGTTTTTTTTCATTCTTTTTATTTCTTTGTAATCTTTCTTCAGATGTCAATAAACCAAATCAATGGTCAGTTTGAAAAAGTAATGAATTCCTTACTTCTCAAGACACCTATATTGTCCAGAGTTATCATCCAGGCATTCACAAGTGAACTGGCATCCATCATCCCAGGTGGAGCCCTTAGAGTGGACAACTCCCTTGTAGTAACAACCTGTGTACATAAAAAGCAGTGATTTACCTACCTAGGTGTCACGAGCCAAATGACATACAATTTTTTCAATTGTCCCATTAAAACTTGGATACTTAACATGGTATATGGGGACTGTCCCTTTATTTGCTGGTCTTTTGGTAGAAAATTTGTACATACCTTTGCGAGGAGCAGGAGTAGGGTTTATTCCAGGGGTGGGGTTGACTCCTGGTGCAGGAGTTGGCATATTAGTAGGTACAGGTGCCAAACCAGTGATCTCCCCGGGTTTAGGAGTCATAGGGTTAGGTATGAACCCTGGTGTGGGCGTGGGGCCAGCTGTTGGAATCACGGGACAGCTTGGCTCTTTACAACAAGATGGGTCTGTTGGACTGGGAACCAAGGTACAGGCAGACGGCACACTTGGGTATCTTGCACACCTGTAAAAACCCAAGTCAGTTTACATACAGCAAGGTGAGGGAAATGGTACACAGGGAATCTTACACATCTGGAACATCTTTTACACCAGTAAACCAAGTCATGTTACATACAGCAAGGTGAGGGAAATGGTACACAGGAATCTTACACATCTGGAACATCTTTTACACCAGTAAACCAAGTCATGTTACATACAGCAAGGTGAGGGAAATGGTACACAGGAATCTTACACATCTGGAACATCTTTTACACCAGTAAACCAAGTCATGTTACATACAGCAAGGTGAGGGAAATGGTACACAGGGAATCTTACACATCTAGAACATCTTTTACACCAGTAAACCAAGTCATGTTACATACAGCAAGGTGAGGGAAATGGTACACAGGGAATCTTACACATCTGGAACATCTTTTACACCAGTAAACCAAGTCATGTTACATACAGCAAGGTGAGGGAAATGGTACACAGGAATCTTACACATCTGGAACATCTTTTACACCAGTAAACCAAGTCATGTTACATACAGCAAGGTGAGGGAAATGGTACACAGGGAATCTTACACATCTGGAACATCTTTTACACCAGTAAACCAAGTCATGTTACATACAGCAAGGAATACCTCTCACACCTGTGTAAAATTGACCATGGTAAATACAGCAAAGTACAGGCTGAAGGCAATGTAACTAGATATCAAGGTTCCTGATAAACACAAACTGCCCAGAGGAGGGATCATAAATCAACACAACCAGCATTTCCACAAGGGGTTGCATAGTCTGACAGTCTACTAATGGTGCTACTACAGCTTTCTATATAATCAAACAACTACAAAACCAATCTGGAACCATCAAACATAGATACTAGACAGATACCAAGTTCAATAATAGTAGTGACAACTAACCTCTCCTGACACCTGTAGTAGCCTGTTGCAGCATTCTCACAGCGACATATAGCATTACAACCATCATACCATGTTTGATCCTGGTGGTAGTTTTGGCCCTTGTACTGGCAGACATCTGGTTTTTGCAAACAATGAAAAGTAACATTTATAAATAAAAAAGTGTTAAATGGTGTAAAAAGGCATTAGGAATAATGTATAACTATGCATATCAACAGAGGTTAGGTAAAGTGGCTTATAATTTGTACTGATAATTACAGGAAATGACCTTAAAGTTACCAGGTAACTGACATTTACAAAAGATCCCACAGGTATCTTGGTGCCCACCATCATTTAACCTGTGATTATTCCTTAATAGTTGGATTTTTCTCTCTTCTCCTCTTTTTTTTCTATCTGAATGATGCAAAATGAAACAGGCACAACTAGGGACCAAGGAGAACCTACATATGGAATTTGAGGAAGGTCCATTCAAATATAGAGATAACAAACTTCATTGTAAAAATCCAAGATGGCCACTTATCAGTCATTTTGTTTTTCTGATCAGACCCAAAATCAACTGGGCACAACTAGGGACCAACAGAAATCTTCATGAAGAATCTGGGAAAGATCCATTGCACAGTTCTCAAGAAATAGCGATAACAAAAATTATGTAAGGATGGACGGATGGACCACAGATGACGAGCGATTTAAATAGCCTAACGTCTGATGATGGTGGGCCAAACATTCATAAAAAGGCACATGTCAGGAAATCAGTACATTATGACCTTAAATCTGTTTTCTGAAGTGTGTTCATTATACACATAATTTACTGCTACAAATTAAGTATGCAATACAAAAGAATTGAATCAGTTGAAATCAGGAAAAATTCCGGAAATACATGCAAATATAACCAAAGTGCTGATCAATGAACAAGATCATACTTACTTGGCTGGGGAGCTGGAGTTGGGTTAGGATTCGGTGTGGCATTTGGGTTAGGATTCGGTGTGGCATTTGGGTTTGGGTTAGGAGTGGGCTGTCCATTGGGATTAGGATTGGGGGTAGGATTGGGGTTTGGATTTGGTCCAGGAGTGGGGACAGCATTCGGACAGTACACATTTTGACAGCACTGGTCATTGGTATCCTTCACCAAAGTACAGGTGGACGGTACAGTAGGAATCCTTGGGCATCTAAAAGAATTAATAGAATACAAAAACTGATTAAAGTATGCAAATTCATATCACATTAAAACAGGGTCAATGCAATCACAAAGGACAAGTCCATAAAAGTAAAAATGAGTGGACCATAAGTGAGGATCGTGGTCAAGAAAAGCTCAGCCAAAAACTTCCAGCAGCCTCCCATCTCTAACAATTGATCAGTACCAATATAAATGTCCTAAAGGCTATCTCATTATAATAAGGTGCAGCCTAGGTAGTTGTCTCACCTCTCAGTACATTGATAGTGGCCGGTACTACCATCAGTACAGACACACTGATAAGTACATCCATCATCCCAAGTCTGGCCAGGCTGGTAGACTTTTCCGTTATACAGACAAGTATCTACAAATATAAATGTCTCTTAAGAGGAATTTTCATCCATAAGAACAACCTTGTTGATCCAGCAATATCCGTGGTAAGTCTTTGATAAGTAACCTACATCAATTGCAATTCCAGCAGATATGTCTACAAATGCTTTATTATTGTCCTGTAATTCTAACACCTTCCATGAGTCAGATGTTTGAAAATTAATCAATATAATCTTTTTTGTAATATTTTTTCTAGTGTGTCCAGAGCACCGTTTCCTCAATGTCAACAAGTCCAGTACAACGCGATGGAAAAGCATGTGTCTAGGACTCAAATATTTCACTGATATTCTGTTTTGAAACAATTTCAAGTTGATTCTTCATTATCAAATAATAGCCAACATTTTTCTTTTCCTTGGAATTTTCCATAGTAGATATCATATGTGTACAAATGTTTTGATTAATTTAAGTGTCAGAAATCGCCCCTGTATACTGACTAGATTTGCCTGTTGTGCCAGGGTTGTTAATGCCTGGTTGGGGCAGGTTGGAGCCCTCAATGGTGCCCTTTGGACCAGTAACTACTTGTAGAGGATTGGTGGCATCTGGATTGATACACTGGGGTACCTGGCAACACTGGTCTGCTGGATCTGTTACCAGAGTACAGCCTGCCTTCAGAGAAGGATAGGTGGGGCATCTGTAACAAAATATACAGGTGTTAAGACAGAATCAGCAGAAGATTAGTACACAGTCAGTATATGTTCATGGCTGACAGTTGCTTATTTTCAAAATCCTGAAAATTGAGATAGGGGTCCAGGGGGCCGCTAGGGCAAAGCCCTTGTGAGGGGAAAAAGGGGGGCAGAGCTGATAGGAAACTAATTAAGCTAGAACAAAGACATAGTCATCAAGATTCCCCACCCATGTTCATTTGTAAAATATATACATTTGAAGAGAGCAACATGGAAAACTGGAAAAGATATCAGTCAATCAGTCTCATAAAATATGCACAGAATTTACCGATAATCGAACCAGAACAAGGAATTAAGGTAATAGGTCTACAATGCAAGTTTCCTAAAAATCTTATCATTCCTTTATAAGATAATGTGCAGAAAGATTTCCAATAGAGAGAGTGATTAAAGAAATCAATCAATCAGATCAAAGCAGCCTCATTAAATAAGTGCCGAATTTGTCATTAGTCAACATGGGCAACGGATAAAGTCAACAAGTGTACCAACCATGCTTCATTAAAATCCTACCAGTCTTTCAAAAGATATCCTGTGGAAAGCAGCATACAGACAGATGGAAGGATGGACAAAAAGATGGGCAGAAGGACTGATGGACAGAACCCATTTGAATATCCCCTTGGTGGGAGATAACAAAGAACTTATCATTTTAGTTCAAAGGAACATCCTTTTATATCAAAATGTAAGCTTTAGGTGTTCTTTCACACACTTCACAAAAAATGATTCCACTAATGTCCGGCTTTTTCAACCACTGTCTCTATTTTTCTCCATTTTCGTTGATCTTATTAAGCTAGTGCGATCACCACTTATTTTTAATGACTACCTCAATTTCTTTTGTATCATACCCTAGGGGTAAATACTTAACTTTGTCAAAAAAAAAACCTTTGTCAAAAGAACTTTGTCACCGTAACTTTCAATGTTCCAGTGTAAACAAAAACTAATTTCTGGGTGTCATAAACGGTGTTCAGTGAAGAATCAGCACAAGATCAGTGCATGTTCAGTACAGTCAGTGCATGTTCAGTACAGTCAGTGCATGTTCAGTACAAGACGAGTACATGTAAAGTTATCAGTGCATTTCTGTACACAATGATAAGTAAAGTACAGAATCAGTAAACATTGAATTAAAAATCAACATCTACAGAGTACCCAAGCAGTATGCATTCAATACCCAGTCAGTATGTTGAGTAGTCTGTACATATCTTCAATTTGTAAGCATGTTCCATATATGTACGAATTTTGTATAAAATCGGTATCTGAAGTATGTTACTAGTATGTTTCAGTACACAATCTGTATGAGTTAAGTACATATTCAATACAGTCAGTATGTGTTCTGTATACAATTAGTATTTTCAGTACACTTTCAGTATGTTGCAGTGTATGTTCAGTATACAATCAGTATGAGATAAGTACATTTTCAACATGGTCAGTATTAGTTTAGTACACAATCAGTATATTTAGCATTTTCATTATACCATCAAAACAATTTCACCAGTTAATTAGTACATAGTTCAGTATAAAATAAGTATTTTCAGCACATAATCAATATATGAAATGCTTCAGTATGCAATGAGTATGCATTCAGTACTTACCGGTCATCACACGTAATCTGTCTGCTCATGGCATCTTCACATTTACATGTCCTGCTGCAGCCATCCTGCCATGTCTGACCCTGCTTGAATGGGATACCATTGAACACACAGAATGCTGTAAAACATAATTATAGATTTCTGTATGGTAAACATCAGAATTCATGATGTTGCTGCCTATAAGAAGGGTTTTGTGAGATACACATAGATTGAAGCTTAGATTTTTAACTCCTTTTCCTGAGAAAGAAAATTTGTTTCCTTTCCATTAATTCTGAAAAAAATGGCTTAAAATATTCATCTTCAATATAATAAAAAGGGTTCTAAATCATCAACAGAGCTCAAGTGTAAATGGAATCACTCTTCAGTTACTTGAAATACATTGGAAGAAATTCAATGGACAAAATCATGCCTTTAGCTGACTTATATACCTGGTGCAGGGGTTGGGTTAGGGTTAGGTGTTGGTGACTGTCCTGGAATGGGAGACACGGTAGTACCAGCTACTGGTGTACAGTCCGCTTTCTGACAGCATGCGTTGTTCATGTCCATCACCAAGCGACAACCACTTGGAAGGTTGGGATATTTTGGACACCTGTCACATAAAATTATTACAAGTATTTCATAATAGGAATATTACTGGAAAGACCCTTAAACAAAATTCAAAGCTGTACAAATTGTGATCTGAAGCATATAAAAACATCAATGAAATCTTTAAATGCTTTTCAGACTAATTGGAAAATTTAAACATAAACTGTTTATGGTTTGCTAATATTTGCTCGAAGAAGTAGGGCTGAACCATTGAATATGAGCACTAAATATCAATTGTTTGTACAGGAGGATACTTCATCCAAGATGGGGATTCTGTCTTTTTCCTAATGCAGAGTTCCCTGCTCATACTAATTGCTACATCATTAGTTTGTGTAGAAAATGACGTCACATGACATTACTTTCACAAACATGTCATAACAGTCATTACCTGTTCACAAGAGCAGATAATGGATGCATTATGGATAGATGGAATGGTTTTTCAGTGATGAACATTAGAGGAATATGGTACAACTCCCCAGGGCAGGGGATGGTCTACATTCACTTATGCAGAGGGACAACTTGGAAGGATGCCGTGACTCCTTAAGGGAGGATTGATATACACTTACACAGTGGTACACCTGTACTTTCCTGTTGCACCATCCTCACAGATACAATCATAGTCACAGCCATCTCTCCAGTGCTGGCCTGTCTGATACATTGAACCCTTGTACACACAAACCTCTGTAAAGAGAGTAAGCCAAAGCTGATTTAAATGATGCATTTACTTAAGAATACTCACTGTTATTTGTAAAGCTATAGGTAAAACAAGCCCAGGTGATATTTTCATTACTTAGTAGTACTTTTATTTTTACAAAAGCATCTGAAGGTTGATTTTAAAACCTTGACCTTGACCTCAACCAAAGGACCCTGAAGTAGGCACTCATCAGATGTACTGTCACAACCAATATTAGCATCATTACTTATTAAAAATTGACATCGCTAGAGGGAAAACTTGGGATTGGATGGGATGCTCTATGACAAGACAGGACAGGCATTTGTAAAATGTAATAAATGCCCCCCTTCCCACCCTTAGTGAACAAATGGGAATAACATATAACAAATTACAGGTATTCTGAGTCATACAGCCATGATTAAATGTGTATAGATTTCCCTCTACTTCCTTATAAAACCAAGAGAGTGGTTATCACTAACAACATCTCTATGACCTTGACAGATCAACAACAGAGCAAGACTGAAAGTAAATCTCATTTCAATGACCCAGATTTTTCAAAATTGCAAAACCCAAAAATCCATTTTTCATACTACTGCACCTCTAACTTTTTCAGATAAACATGTAGGTGTGTTTATTTTTCATACTAATGCACCTCTAACAGATTTATTTTATTCCAAATTAGAAAATGTATGTGAGATCATCTTAACACAAATGTCACTGCATCAACGTATATACCTTCATTATCAATAAATTTGCAGATGTCAAATATGAACTTTGACCCTTAAATCTTGACCAATGGTCACATGATAAGGTGATGTTATGATAATATGAGATACATATGAATCAAATATGTTGAAAGGTTCTCATAGACATGGACTGTATACCCCTTCTTTCTCTATAAAAAGGCAGAGTCAAAGAACAGTTCAATAACATGTAACCAGATACTTACTTGGTGTAGCACCGGGTGTAGGATTAACCCCTGGTACAGGGACAGCTGTGGTTCCAGGCACAGGGATGGCTGTCAGCATGTATGGTGGGTAAGTACCGCCAGGATAGGGAGTAGGAAAAGGGTAGGGGTTGGGGTTAGGGTTGGGGTTAGGGTTAGGTGTAGGGTTTACATTTGGATTTGGGTTGGGATTAGGTTGAGGAGTAGGCTGAGAAGTTGGGTAAGGGTTGTTTCCAGTGATTGTTCCGACGATTCCAGTTGGCTTGACGTTGGGGCCTGGAGTGCTGCATTGTGGGATCTTGCAGCATATGGGATCAGATGGATCCGGTACCATGACACAGCTGGGAGCTACGTTGTTGTATTGAGGGCATCTATTCAGAAAAATTTTTTTATATAAATTTTTATCATTTCATTTGAAATACAGTATTTTTTCTGAGATTGTTTTACAAAAAGCACTTTAATGTCAAATGTACGAAATGCCAACTGTTTACTCTGTCATACCTGTCTGTACAGGTGTAGTGACCAGTAACTCCATCAGAACAGACACAGGTACGGGTACATCCATCATCCCATTTCTGGCCTTGAGTGTATGACTTGCCATTCATCACACATACATCTACCAAAGAGTAAGAGGCTCAACATTAAGAACTGTTATTGATCAGAATCAACCAGCATGTTAAGAAAATGTTGACAAGGGTGGTCAGGTTATATTTTGGTCATTCCAAACAGTATCCTACCCAAACAATACATAAGTTACACATGCAAATTTTCAATGAAACACACATCCTTCATGGGAAAACAGCTTAAAAAAATTATCAGCTTTTTATTTACATATCTATCATATGGTAGTCATATCATATCTTTTTTTTTTTAAATCAAATGAAACAAAAAATTGCTCCAACTATATAAACAAACATCATTTGAACAAAAAGAAATGAAGACAAAATGACAGAAAAAGCAAATACTGCAAAGACATTCAATTAGAAAATGTAGAAGGTTGAATCCTTACTTTTGGGAAGAGGTGGTTTCCCTGATGGCGCTGGGGTGATTCCTGGGACTGGGGTGATTCCTGGAACTGGGGTGATTCCTGGAACTGGGGTGATTCCTGGGATTGGTTGTTGTGTGTTAAACGGTGGATTTTGTGTATTGACAGGTGGGCGCAATGTTGGCTGAGGAGCAGGTGTATTACCCGGCTTAAGGGTTGGTGTGAGGTTAGGGCAAGATGGTGTTCGACAGCACTGGTCATTGGGATCAGATACTAGCACACAATATGCTGGGATCTGTACAAATCGTGCACATCTGTGAAAATAAAACAGAGTGAGAGAGACTGTAAGCATTTTCAAACCTCTAAAAAGCTTTCACTTCTATCTTTAATCTCATAAGTTTTTAAATATTTGTTTCTTTTAAATGTTTTGTTGTTTCTAAATCGTGACAGAATACAAGATATGTCCCCATCAGAGTAATTCATCATGATTCACAATGACTGCAATTTCCATTTTTGTCTTGTACTAATCCTGGCTAAATGTAATTCTATGTACACTCTAACTAACCCTGGCTAAATGTAATTCTATGTACACTCTAACTAACCCTGGCTAAATGTAATTCTCTGTACATTCTAACTAACCCTGGCTAAATGTAATTCTCTGTACATTCTAACTAACCCTGGCTAAATGTAATTCTATGTACACTCTAACTAGATACCTTAAATAAATATAACTCTCTCTCTGATTATCACTGTTGACACACTTGCATGAACCCTGACTGAATTAAACTCTTCCAAAACTTGTACTAGTCCTGACTAAATTAAGCTCTTCAAACACTTGTATTAGCCCTGACTAAATCAAACTCACACTTGTACTAGCTCTGATTAAATTAAGACCATGATAAAATTAAACTCTTCAAACACTTGTACTAGCTCTGACTATATTTCCTCTCAGTACACTTGTACTAGCTCTGACTATATTTCCTCTCAGTACACTTGTACTAGCTCTGACTATATTTCCTCTCAGTACACTTGTACTAGCTCTGACTATATTTCCTCTCAGTACACTTGTACTAGCTCTGACTATATTTCCTCTCAGTACACTTGTACTAGCTCTGACTATATTTCCTCTCAGTACACTTGTACTAGTAAACCATGAATAAATCTTTTACTTACCTTTTCACTTACACTGATAGAACTTCCATCTAAGAACCCTGCTTCTAACTCTTACTAGACATACCTCTCAGTACACTTGTACTGGCCACTGATCTGGTCGAGGCATTCACACTTGTAGGTACACCCATCATTCCAGGTCTGTCCAGTAACGTACTGAACACCCTTGTAGTTACACCTGCCTGGATGTACAAATAAATCACATTACAAATACAAGGTATAGTACATTGATACTCAGTAAGACCTAACAGTATTCCTGATAGGGGTCCCGGGGTCCTCTCCTGTAAAATTGTTAAAAGCAAGGTGCAAATGTTGGCTTCCAAAGCTCTCATTTATCAGTGTCAGGTGTATTTACTTAATATGAAACTGATCTAGTTTTTACTCTGAAATTTTCCAGTTTCATGTAACTATCAAATTGTGATGGAATGTTTGGTACTTTTTTAATGTTTTGTTTGCATTTTCAGACACAAGCAATGGTAATACTGGATAAAATAATTGTTAAAATAGTTAGATTAAATTAATATTAAAGAGCAAAATGGAAAATTACAAGCATCCCAGTAAATCAACTTCTAGTTCTCGAATTAGAAGATATTGATGTATTGTCATTGTATTATTTATTTTTAGTCATCCGAAAGAAAGAGGGGGTCCGAACCCCCTGGACCCAAACTCTGTATCCACCTATGAACAAGTAATCATCACAGAACCAAGCAAGGAAGGGAACTCATAAACTGACTATTGCTAAAATCAAGACAAATGCTGAATTGAAAGAGCCATGTTAAGTAAGAATGTTGGAGATTGAATCAAGAATACAAAGTACTAATTCTATAAAAACAATCTCTAAATCAAATATCAAAATTTGGGAGTCATTCTAAATTACAACTGTAACTCCTCCAAAAGTGCCATAAGAATTTTGAAAAAAAAAATAAAAAATTTAAACTGATAGAGTCTAGCATATACTCATTCATTTGATAGTTTTGATATGGAAACAAATTGGCATTCAATCATCTCCACATAATTAGTATAAACGTATATGTAGGCTTTCCCAAAAAATACAAATTGCTAATCCTCAGCATGAACTGCAAAGACTGTAATAGTTACCGGAAGGATTCTGAGGGTTTTGTGGTTTTCCAATGATGACACCAGTCTGACCGGTTGGTACTGGTGATGGATTTGGAGTTGCCACTGGGGTCAATCCTGGTCCAATGTTAGGTGCTTGGGTGTATGCTGGTGGTACCAGAGTAGGGTTTGGATTGGGGGTCTGATTTGGGTTAGGATTTGGGTTCGGGCTCGGCCCTGGGGTAGGAATGACAACACATCGTGGAATCTGGCAGCAGGCATCATTTGGATCTGTGACCAAAGTGCAGCCTTGTTGAGCTGGGTATATTGGACACCTGAACAGAACACAAAACTTAATGTTATACATCTTGATGACAGGCCCATGGTCATCTGACTAATCTCAACTGAACTTTAACTGCAAAGAGACATAAATCTATAATTTACATCAAATCCATCACTTTGCTGAGCTCATATGAGATCTAATTAATATAAGGCTGCAGACCTCATTTCATTGAATTTTGTTCATAGTTACTCATGTTATGTTAAGAGGCTCCAATAGAAATTGAACATCAAAGGACCATAACTCTTCAAATTAAGTCAGAAAATGTCAAATTGTTCAAGACAAATGAGATATTATCAATGTAAGGCAAAATCTGTTTACTCAAATTATCCTTTTCACAATGTCCATGGTAATAAAATTGCAAAGGGCCATAACTCTCTACCTTTTATTGAATCAATCCTGATTTCAAATTCATCTGAATCCTTATTACCATAAGGCTGCAGACTATGTTAATTAAAACTCTGTAAATTATTATCAAACAATACCAGTGTTGAACTCATGCGAGATCTTATTCATATAAGGCTGCAGAGCAAGTTTTATCAAAATATCACAAGGTCCATAATAATAAAATTACAAAGGGCCATAACTCTGTAAATTAAAATCAAATTAATCTCATTGTTGAATTCAACCAAGTTCTATTCAATAGAAACCTGCATTACAAAGTTTCATCAAAATCAGTTACTTTCTCTAGGGCTTTCAAACACTATAAAGTATGGACTGATTGCAGGGAGTTGAAAAGCATTATTTTATACATCAATATAAGCTTACCTGTCAAAGCAAGTGTAGTAGTTTTTGGAAGCATCATCGCATCGACATTTCTTTGTACAGCCAACATTCCAAGACTGGCTCTGAGTGTAGGGTACCCCATTGTACACACAGTAGGCTTAAATCACAAGCAAATGATGGAATGTTGTATTTTATCAAAATGGAGACAATGAGTACACAGGCAAAATGTCTTCAATAAGCAACCAAACTTTAGCAGGTTGTGCTTTTAACAGGACAATGAAAAAGCACCTGTTTGTAATTCTACTGAGTAGATATGAATTGGCTTATCACCAGATATGAACTTATATCCACAAGTTGTGAAAAATATCTATTTGATACTAATGATATTAAAAAGTGTGAAGCTTATTTACAAGAAAGATTTTTTAACATACATATTGGTCCTGGTTCCATTGTTGATCCAACATTTGGCCCTGGTTCTATGGTAGTGCCACCTAAGCCTGGTGTTGGGTTAGGACCAGGAGTAGGACCACCCAATGGTGCTGGAGTGGGAATATTGTTGAAGTCACACAGAGGTTTCTGACAACAGACGTTCATGGGGTCCTGGACCAAGGAGCAGTATTGTGGCAATCTTGGATAGACTGGGCACCTGATCATGGGAGTTGAAAAAGAGCATGAGTCAGGCATACATCTATTCAATATTCACTAACCTTAAAGAAATGTTTGGTTACCTTTAATAATTTGTTTTAATTATATTTACAAATAATTACTTGAAAGAAATTTATTCTTATCATTATTACTGAAAAACACTCACTTCACTGTTTGATATCATCCATGACCTAATATGGGTATCAACCGCTTACAATAATTGAGCTCTTCTATTTATTTAATGCACTTGTATACCTATATATACCATTACGCAACCACTAATCAATGCCATATTTTCAAATGGTGATGCAAGCACAGACAGTGTTTGGTTGCACTGGTTGGCCCAAAGTTTATCACTGGTTGAGCATTAGTGGTCTAGACGGAGCATCCAATCTTTTCGCACAACAGGCTACCAAATTAGTTTAAACCATCAGTAATCAGATTTATGTGCTAGCTATTTGACTAGTGAAGTAGGCAAATGCATTTTCTTGAAACTATATGTATATCAAGACCACAGCCCTCTTTAAATGTGTTCATTCAAAACCTCTTGATGTATAAAGTTATATTAAAATTTCCCAGGAAAATAGGTTGTTGCAGTGACATGGAAGGGTTTTTACTAGACATTTGTACAAAGGAGCAAACTTAGTACTGGCTTGCTTGTGTGAAATGATGAAATGAAGTCTTACTTCTCAGTACATTCATAGTGTCCTGTCTTGCTGTCCACACAAACACAAGTGTACTTGCACCCATCAACCCATCTCTGGCCCTGATGGTATTCTGTTCCCTTATAAACACACACCTCTGTCAAACAAAACAAGTCAATTAAGTAACAATCCTCGTTACACATCATTTTATCTAAATTACAGATTGTGAGCAAAACAATGTATTCTTCACAGAATCCATCTTCTCATTTTCAAGGTACCATATCATAAGCTGTAGCTTATAAGTGGGTGTGGCGGCTTATATATACAGGTGCAGCTTATAAGTGGGTGTGGCGGCTTATATATACAGGTGCAGCTTATAAGTGGGTGTGGCGGCTTATATATACAGGTGCAGCTTATAAGTGGGTGTGGCGGCTTATATATACAGGTGCAGCATATAAGTGGGTGTGGCGGCTTATATATACAGGTGCAGCTTATAAGTGGGTGTGGCGGCTTATATATACAGGTGCAGCATATAAGTGGATCAAAAACAAAATCAGGAGAACAAACAAGAAAAACCTGCAGAGTGACGTTAGCAGTAATGTGGTTTTTTACCTGCGTATCACATATTTGTGAGTGGAACACATCATGTAGAACCATCACATGTAATTGTATACAGGATGATTTGAAACTTGCAATAAAAACAACATCTCATATTCAATTATACCTTTTAAAATGAACCCTAATGATATCTTCCTGACTTTAGTGGTTACTTAACAACTATTGCATGAAAAAGGCATGGCCAAAGTTTAAAATAGCCTATCCTAGCCTGGGAACGATAGGTCATTGGGTAATAGGTCAAATTCTAGAAAAGCCGTTATTGTTTGTTGATGATGTGAATGACATTGATGTAACTTACAAAAAGAAATATTGTGAGACTATAGAAAATTTGTAAACATGCAAGAGCTTCATTAATATTTAACAGTACAGACATCAATGGGATGATTAAACGTACTTCTGCATGTAACATCAGTCCGTATATCTTTGCATAGATGCCCTCTGAAGGCCCCAAATGAGTTTGAAGACAAGAATCATATAATAAATCCTATCGATAAAATAAAGGATTATTTGTGCATCATTCATTAGCAAACTTATTAAATGTTTCACTGACAACCTTCATATATTGTCTTCCATAGTCTGTTTAATAAAAATTTTTAGGTCATCATAATGGTTACCATATCATAAGAAAAGGGTGTGGTTTATTTTCCGGTGCTGATAATATGTGGATCAAATGGATAAAATTGAAAAAAAAAATTGATTAAAATTGGCTCTGTGGTCTATAAACCAGGGTGACTTATAAGCAGGAAAATACGGTGATTATTTTGCAGTTTTTTTTTTTTCATTCTTGAAAACTGGTGAAAGGATTTCTTCCAAACTATATCCTTTTCAGCATGCCAAAAATCTTAGAATTACCTTGAATGTAATCAATATGTGCTTCAGACAAGATCTGATTAACTCATAATTAGTATCTTGATAATTAATATTCTTAAGTAATTCCAGTTGAGAAATAATATATAATTAAGTCATTAAAAACACATTGTGGCCTTGTTTATGTACCTTTAGGTGCTGGAGTTGGCTGTGGATTGGGGTTTGGCGTCTGTCCTGGCACAGGGGTTGGGTTAGGTGATGGTGTTGGGGTACCATAGCCGTTGACGATTCCTACTGGAACACCTGTTATGAGTTGTGGTGCATCTGTGGGTCCAGGTGTGGGGTAGCCGTTCACCCCTGGGGTAGGGATACACTGGGGAACCTTACAACACTGAGGGTCATTTGGGTCAGACACTAGAGTACATCCACTTGGAATACTGTCATACTTTCGGCATCTGATGACATGATTGAAACATTTTTCATAGCATTATAACAGATCAATGTTTACCAAACAGAGTAGTTCTTTCTATATGTTAAACATATATGGTATTAGGCCACATTTGACAATAAGATCACACATGTCAATTACAGTTCTTCAGAAATGCCAAAAACTGCTGTTGTATGATAGTACTGTTACAGGCCTATTTCAGCACTAGAGAGTCAGTGGTTGTGTAAGATCTGACATTCTTGTATCACCTGTTAATGTTGTTACTTAAATGTAAATATTTGCTTCAGACAACCTGTTGAAACAACTTTACTCTTTACCACACTTTTGCACATGTAGAAACTTACCTGTCATAACATCTGTAATAACCAGTAGTAGCATCGTCACAGACACATGTCCTGTCACAACCATTTGTATACCACTGTTGTCCCTGAGTGTACTGACGACCGTTCATTATACAAACATCTGATGTAAGAGATGGATACAATTAATAATTCCATTTGCTATGTAGAGGAAGGTCAATATTGGTGACTAGAAAAGAGTTCCTCGGTTAGTTAGCAAGGAAAGTAGACTACGATGAAAGGGGAGAGAAAAGTATCTTCATCATTAATAAAGTCTTTGTCTACATCACAAGAGGTGAATGATTATTTTTCGCCCATACTCTCCGACCATTAAAATCATTAAAACTCAAGTTGTTATAGTGAACTGAAAACATTTTGGAATTATGAATGATCTATGAAATATGTTATAATTAACAATGCTATCCAATTAAGAAATATGACATAAGATAAATATTAAAGTTTAAATCAGCTGTCTTTTACCAAAAAAAAGATATTTCTCTTTAAAATAAAACATGGGAATACACAAGTGAAGTGTTTGAAGAAAGATACATGTAGGAGAAAAGCTGATCCCAGAGTGTTGCCTAGACTTCCTTATATGATCAAAGATGACCTAGTTGTTACAAAGGTAAACTTACTCTTTGGTGTTGGTTGAGGTAATGGATTAGGGTTCGGTGTTGGACCTACTGAAGGCTGAAGACCAGGGTTTGTATATCCAGGTTGTGGACCGATGGTAGGGTTAGGATTGGGGGTGGCATTGGGATTAGGGTTTGGTGTCACACCAGGTGCTGGGGTCGGCGTACACACAGCTACTTTACAACACTGGTCTGCTGGATCAAGGGCTAGTCGGCAGTTACTGGGCAGGTTAGGGTAGATCTGACACCTGAAAAATTGTTGAAAGATAAGTATGTTTTGAATGTGTAGAAAAAATAGCCTCTTTGCTGCTCTCATGCTAACCTGATATAAGAGCACCAAAGTTAAGAACAAATATCACTGCCTAGTAAGGAAACATAATGTGCAATCTACTCATTCCTGATTAAAATTTCGGGATTTTATTAAACTGCCAAATATTCATGTATATAATAATCTTTGAAAAATCTAGGGTTCTGTGGATTAATGTTTTGTACACAAACTATCAAATGATTTCCTCACCTCTGAGAACACCTATATTTGCCAGTGGATGCATCAGTGCACACACAATTGTAGTCGCAACCATCCTTCCAGCTCTGTCCTTGCAGGTATGTCACTCCCTTGTAGAAACAGACTGGTGGTCCCGTTGGCTGAGGCATATTGGGGCCTGGAGTTGGGGTAACACCCTGACCATTAATTACATTTGTGACTGAAGGAATCATCGGGCTGGAGCTTGGATTTGGAGTTGGGTTAGGGTTTGGGTAGGGGTTGGGGTTAACTCCTGGTGTGGGGTTGATGCCAGATCCTGGAGTTGGGGCATTTGTTGTCTGGGCAACAGGTTTACAGTCAGGAATTCGGCAACAGCTGTCTCTTGGATCAGTAACGAGGACACAACCGTCTGGCAGTGTGTTATACCGTGGGCACCTATCCAAAACAAAAATATGAGAAAACAAAAATTAATCTTCCAAGGATAACAAACACCTCAGGTACTCATAACAGAGGCCTCTAATACGTTAAGTTGTTCTCAATTACTCAAAACAACCACATAGGAATCTTGATTTAACAGTTAACAAAGGCTTCATATTCACTATTATTTTATTATGACAACAGAGTTCCATTAATCAGAGAAAAATCTGTTTCAACAATAGATCCCAGAAGGATCTTTACCTCCACCATTGTATGGCCTTTAACAGTTCTCTATAAGGATCATCTTCACCCATCTTTGTCTCTTTTTTTCTTTTTACTTGCCAGTTTTTGTCCATTTAATGTTTTCTAACATGTCACAAAATCAATAATGCACTATTATTATATAGATTTAGAATGATCCAACCAGAATTTCAAGAAATAGTGACCAACTTCAACTGCTAAATCAAAGATGGTCATCTGTCGGCTGTTTTGATTATCTGATCAGTCCTAAAATCAAACCTTCATATTCAATTTGAGAAAGATCAGCTGTATACATCTCAAGAAATAGAGATAACAAACTTTAACTGTCAAAATCCATGATTGTCATCTGTAAACATATCATTTTTCTGATTTGTCCCAAAATTTAATATCCACAAGGAACCATGGGGCACTTATCAGCAGAATTTCAGAATGATCCCTCCAGTGCTGTTTCCAAAGCAGCAATAACAAACTGCCAGTCAAAATCCAAGTTAGTCACCTGTTGGCCAATTCATTTTTTATTAGACCCAAAATTAACAATTTGGGACCTAGGGAATTGATAGATAAAATTACCACTGAGAATGTTGCAACACCTAAAGAATCACACTGATATCTGTATCACCTACAGATTCTCACCTATATATGTAGAAATTAAGAATACATGTTGCCTTACTAGGCTAGGCTAGTGTCAGACTGAAGACCAAAGGGTTTCTAGTTTTGAACCCCAGCAGTGGCAGGTTATTTTTCATTACACCTTCTTATTACAGACAGCAACTGTAGGAGATTAAGATGCTTCCTTAGAGATATCAAACCTGGGTTGTTGATGCCTCCAGAGAATTTATAAAGAAGGGAGTACTGTAGATGCCGAGAGTAAAATTTGCCTTACTAACCTAAGCTGGTGGGAATTTCCCCTTATTTGAGTGGTAGAGTGTCTGTTAAAAGATCGAGGGTCATTAGTTCAAATCCAAGCAAGGACAGGGTGTTTTTCATTACTCCTTCCTATTGTGTACATACCTGTCACTACACCTGTAAAATCCCTTCACGCCATCTTCACACACACATTTAAGGTCACATCCATCATCCCAAGTTGCACCCTGCTTGAATGGGACACCATTGTACAAACAGGTGTCTACAACATAGCATAAATCACATCCAAGTCAGTGTTGCCAACTCATCAGGTCAGATATTGCTCTGCTCAAATCAGGAAAAATCATTGAATCACCTGACATTTCCCTACTTTTTTTATCAGTGTTTGAAAATTCCAAAATCAATTTTTGGACCTATTGATTATTGTCAATTTTTTTTTTTAATACAACATAGATCATCCTCTAAATACCTACAAACTGTACAATATAACTGACTATTCAATGCTCCCCCTGACATTTCAAAACCAGAGGTACAAGGCCCCCGTAATAATAATGCATTATTTAGCAGAGTCCTTGACCAGGGGTACAAGGCCGCCGTAATAATAATGCATTTATTTAGCAGAGTCCTTGACCAGGGGTACAAGGCCCACGTAATAATAATGTATTTATTTAGCAGAGTCCTCGAATAACAAGGTGTACAAGTTTTGAATGTTACCAATTTTAGGATCTTTGTACCCTCATTCAAGGGAGCCACTGTCAATACAAGTCCTTTTTCCTTGATGACCCGTTAATATACCCTTGATTTTGAGGGGCTATGACCAGACATTAAATGGTTAGAGGCTGGTGACACTGCAAACTTATATAAAAGCAATAAAATCACAATGGAATCTTATCCTCACATGGATTTACTATCTGGTAAAATTAGAAATCGTTGGCACTCAAGTCAGAAAGTGCTCCATAGTGTGTTTAACTCTAAAACTGAGCCTAACTGGAAGTTCTGAAAATAAAAATTGTGCTTTATTTTTATGTAGTCAAATTTCTGTGCAACATTCTATGTATTTAGAATGCTATTAAGAGTCTGTAAAGAAAAATTTGCTAAATCTAAGCTATTCAAACATCTGTGCTGCACTTTCTCTGTTGTTAATGTTGTGAATTATTCGAAAATCTCATCAACCCTCACCTGGAGCATTGGGAGCAGGTGTAGGACCAACTTGTGGGGTACCTTGGCCAGGGATAGGGGCTGGCGTGTTGATGGGATTCGGAGATAAGGTGACTGTTCCGGTGATATTATTGGCAGTACCAGTGAATTCACAGTATGGCTTCTTACAGCAAGGCTGAATGGTATCTGCCACTAGACGACACTGAGCAGGTAATGCAGGGTAACGTGGGCACCTAAAACAATTGCATAAGATTTTTGATAAAATAACATTGTGTATTAACATGTCAGTTTTCTATTGCAGAACCTATAAATATTTGTAATTACAAAATCATTTGAAATCATCACAAATCAAATCCATTTCATGGTATAATCCTTCAAACTTATTCCTGAATTCACACAAAATGTAAATATAGTTAATCTTTCGTGAATCCAAGTCAAGGTGAGCAAATGAAATACATTACATGACTGTATTGCAATGCAATCATCTTACTCTCAGTAATAAGCACAAAATAATTTGTGATATCATCACTTCTACATTCACATATACTTACAGTTCGGTGCATCGATATCTGCCATTGATAGCGTCCACACACTCACAGTTGTAATCACAGCCATCCTGCCACTTCTGGCCCTGTGTGTACTGCTGGTTCTTATACTGACAGAAGGCTGTGGACATGAGGAACAGTCGCTGTTATATATCACAAATATGAGGTACAAAACACAGGCAAGAAAACCATGGAAAAGGCCATTTGTATGTACTGTTAAAGATATACCCAAACAAGAAAACTGTTTCAATGACTATATCCATACCAAAGCTCTCTATTTAGAGTTGACACATTTTAGGTCCCAATATTATATATGAATCATTAACAAATCTTTTGAATTGCTCAAAGTTCAAAATTAAACTTTGCCCATCTGTAGAAAAGCAAATCTTTATCGTGGAAACTCTTACACCATTTATAAATTCATGAGAAAATATTACAAGAAAATTATAGAAAATTCACAAGTGTATTATAAGACAACTTTTGTAAGATAATTTTAAGAAAGAATTAGAAAAAATCCTTGGTATTACAATCTGTAAGAATAGAAGCAATTTCTGTATCCATTAGATGAATTTTAACACGTTTCTATGCAGCCAATCTATTTTTTTTTCTTGAGTCAGAATTTTTCAGATACTGATGGAAGAAAAGGACTACTTACATGGGGCAGGAGTTGGGGTTACTCCTGGAGCTAAGGTTGGGTTCCCTCCGGGGGTAGGCTGTATACCGGGACCAGGGGTTGGAGATTGTGTAACGGAGCCTCCAGTGATGACCCCGGGGGGAGGAGTTGGGATAGGAATGTATCCTGTGGCATTGTTGTACTGTGGTGGAATGTTACACTCTGGAACCTTACAGCAGAGAGGGTCCTGAGGGTCTTGGACCAGCGTACAACCATTAGCCTGTTGGTACTGTGGACATCTGATATATAAAAACATCTTCTATAATCCCTCATTATCAATTATCATAAACATACATATCTTTTTGTTAGTTCTTTCACAGCAGTTTACATGCAGGGCACTTATGTTTGTTTAAATCTGGCCTGGACTGTCCTTCCAATTCAGTACTTTCTTTGTCTTAAAATTCATGTCCTTGATATTTCCTTATACTGTTGTAAGTCAATGATTTGGAGAAATGTTACTACCTATCATAGTTCCTTTCTGAAATTATTTTCCCTGTTAGAAAATCTAGAGGAATACATCATGGCATTCATTTTACCTTTGACAGAATTAACATGAACTCTCAAACTTGATTTCTAATCCTAGTGATAACTATATTTGTTCATATTATTGTATCTTTGAATCCATATATTGGCTAAACTGAACTAAATATCATTATGATATCTTCACTTTTACCATTAACACAATGATGCAGTTAGACACTGTTTAGTTGCAATACCTTTGGCTGCACCTATAGACTCCAGCCGGTGCATTTTCACAGTTACAGATATACTCGCAGCCATCATACCATGTTTGTCCTTGAGTGTAGCTCTTTCCTTTATACTGACACACATCTTCAACCAGACATAAAATTTGTGTTAATTTCCTGTTTTTATCGCAATCACAAAATTCTCTTAAAAAGAAAAAGAAAATATTTCTACTTCCAAATAATTGATAAAAGAATCGAAAGAATACTTTGACTAAATGACAACAGTTATTCTTTCAGAAAATACCTTTTAATGACAAAATATTTAGTACACTACAGTATATCATAATTCACTGAAGATAGTTAAATATCTAGAACCAAAGGTATGATTTATATCGAAATTATTTTGATAAGTTTATGGTTTAAAGTCAGTGACATTCATAATTATCATCAAGAAAGATCACCTTTAGGGAGAGCTGGGGATGGGTTAGGACCTGGTGTGGGTTTGTACCCAGGGTATGGAGTCGGTGCAATAGACTGGCCTGGTACTGGAGCTAAAGTGGTGGCCTGACCGTTGATCTGACTCGCAGACGGGTTGAAAGTACATTCAGGCTTAGAACAGCAAGGGTTAGCAGGGTCTTTCTGGAGATAACACTGTGGAGGTAATGCTCCATACTTAGGGCATCTGAAACACACAGAACACACATCAACATTACTATATAAGTCAACAAAAACAGTCACTTTAATGTACAATAACAAAGGCTGAGTTATAAACTTCTCACTCGCCTCTCTTATTTGTGGTGTTAATAGGTGAGCCAGATAAACCTCATACTTTTGAGTAACTCTTGTCTGATCAAAGGTTTAAAAAAGAAATAAGAGGTTAATGAAGAAGACACATGTACATACACAGTGTTGACCTTATACCACAAACATCATCATTATATAAAGTTGGTTATTGAAGGCCGTCTCAGCATGAACTTACTTCTCTGTACACCTGTAGTTTCCTGTGCTGGCATCAATACACTGACAGGAAAGATCACAAGCATCATCCCAAGTCTGGCCTTGGTTATACTTTGTACCCTTGTACTCGCAATAATCTGAAAACAAGGAGTGTCACAATTAGAGGTAGCATGGGGCAGTTACATAATAAACTGAGAGCTTTTTAAATCCCTGGCACCATACTTCAAACTTTTACTTAACACAAGGGCTGTTACATCTCAGGTTACACACATTGGGGCTGTTACAACTCGGATAACATACTGGGGAACACAAATCACATGTGCAGTTACATGTCAGAAAAGCCCACGACAGGAGCAGTTCCCCTTCAGATACCATACATGGACAAAAGTTTTTCCCTAAAATGACAAGAAATTTTTGTTACAGTTCAAATTCTTAAAATACATGGTGTTTCTTCCTCAAAATATTAGTGATATGGTAACTATGAAACATACTAAGAGGCTTTGGTGCAGGTGTGGCAATTGGGTTAGGGCCAATGTTTGGTCTGGGAGTAGGGGTGTTGGCAGAGCCTGTGAAAACGCCTGGGGGAGCTAGTGTAGGAATCATGTCTGGTCGAATGGTGCCTGTGATGTTCTGTAGAGAAGATGGGATGCCACACTTTGGTTCCCGACAACAACTGTCTGTGGGACTCACAACCATGTGACATTCTGCTGGGAGATTAGCAGCATAAGATGCACACCTAAATAAAAAATTGTTAAATTCATTCATGGTATTTAATAAATAGATATGTATAATACAACTTCAAAATGCTTACATTTCTGCACCAATTTTTCTCATAATTTTGATGTAAAATACAAAACATCAAAGAATACATTACCAATTTGATTTTACATTGACACAGAAATTTTCAAACGTAATCCAGTAGCGGAGGAGTTTTAATTTACAGTTAATACTAAAACTTTCAATAGTTTTCTTACTTTTTTTCTCCAGTTCAAGAAAAAGTACATACCTACTTACTTTTTTTCTCCAGTTCAAGAAAAAGTACATACCTAGTGTCACAGACGTAGAGACCCTTTGATGAGTCATCACATCGGCATCGCTTGTCGCAGCCATCATCCCAGGTCTGATCTTGATAGTACTGAACACCCTTGTACAGACAGTAATCTGTAACAAAATGAACAAATACAAAATCATCTTTTTTCTACAAAAATAATGCAAGATTTGCAAAGACATTTCACAACTTACTTAATTGGTTGAATAGGAAAAAATCCTGTCTTTGTTCTCTCAATAACTCTCTGAACATCAAAAATTATGCAGAAACATTAACATACCAGGAGACCATTCCTTTTCAACTTATCTCTTGATATACATGTATCTACTATTCTTATCCAAAAAGTGTTTAGCACCAGCACATTCTTAAACATCACTCACGAAATTTTAAAAAAAAGTATTCGAAAATATCAACTGGATTTTTTTGGCAAAGATCAATACACACACAACACACAAAAGAGAGAAATTGTTATAGACATGAATACCACTGTTTCAAGCAAACTAGTATCAATCTTCGACAAATATCTATAATAAACTTTAACTCTGACCTTAAGAGCAAAGTCAAACTAACATCAAAATCCCTCAGAAATAAAGACAAACAGAGCAGGGACTCCCGTAGATATACCTCCACCCCCTCATTTCTTTCTTCTGATATAGATCTATTGAAGGGTCAATCTATTAAGGTGACCAGGACATATCTTGTATACAAACATTTTATTTCATAAGTGGTTAATCATGACATTTGACCTTTAACCTTGACCAGTGACCACCAAAATCTATTGACTTATAGACCATGGTGATGGTATGATGTGTCCATGAACTAAATATGCCAAAGTGTGCATGAGATATTTTGTATCCAAGGTTATCACAGATGTAAAGACAGAAGCACAGAAAAAGTAATATACAATAGGAGTGACAAGAATTCATTAGGACCAGGAGAGTCCCAGGCATTGGTAACATGGTGGATTTGTCCAATAACACTACAATAGGTTTTATAATACTCTAGGATCAGGGGAAAACTTACTCAGTGTTGGTGATGGAGTGGGTTGGCCAGGCTGTCCAGGTACCCCTGGGGTTGGGGCGTTGGTGAAGCCTGGAAAAGGTGCTGGAGTAAGAGTGCCGCTAATCTCACCAAGAGCACCACCAAATTGGCAATCTGGGATCTTACAACATGGTTGACGGTAATCTGTTACCAATTTACATGGATATGGGATGCTGCCATAACGTGGACACCTGAAATCAAATTTTCTTTGCTTAAAGTATTTCTTTTATAGACAGAACATTACAAAAGACAGTACATGGACCATCAAAATGTTTTTTACCAGCAAAAGAAAATGTATGCATATAAACAGATGTTGTATCAAAGTTTTGACAAGGTCAAAAAATACCATTCTGTTGGCTTCCTTTCCTTAACATTCCCAACAATGTTTAGCTCAATGGCACCAGTGCAACTTAAGACGAAGTTTAAAATATGTTTTTCAAGATGAAGGCCATGGCATCTTACCTGTCATTACAGGTGTAGAGTCCTTTTCTTGCATCTTGACAGGTACAGCTGTACTCACATCCGTCCAACCAGGTCTGGCCCTGTAGATATTGTTGCCCTTTGTACAAACAGAAGCCTAAAAGAAAAAAGTTATCTCCCCTGTACTTAAGGAATTTTTCTACCAAATAGCTTTTGCATTAACCAGATTGAAACGCAGCAAAAAATTTTCAAAGATCAAGGTGGACCAACACAATAAAAAGTTATCAAAATAGAATGATTGTATGATTTATGTCAAACAACATTGAATGTGTTTTTATCTGAACGAAATATTTATGAACATAACCTTGTTTTAAGCAAAAGATTTCCTTATCTAACACTAATCATCCAATTCGTTTCATGCAGGCATTCTGCAGCTCCAACCTCTGCTATTTTCTTTCAATGAAAATTATTTCAATTGGTTTCACAAAAGTGACCAGATGCATTTACCACCAACTGCATCACTATTTCAGTTATCTCCCTTACCTAGTACTCTTTGGCCACAGAAGGGATTTTAAATTGTCATAGCTGCATTAGCAAACTACAAGTGAATCAGACTCTGACATATTACCTATATCAGGGTTGGTTTGGTCTGGACTCTGTCCTTGGAAGGAGCCTGGAGGTAAGGATGGTACGACTCCATTACCAGTCTGGGAGCTGGACGTCGTCTGGAAGTTACAATAGGGCACCAAACAACAAGCAGGGTCTTGTGCATCCTTCACCATTGTACAACTGTCAGGTACATTTTTGTATTCTGGACACCTGTGATAAAAAGGATTCATATTTATATATTTTATGTTTTTATGACCAGCCCCTAAATCAAAAGGGTACCAAGGGAAAGCTACATATGAAATTTGAAAACAATCTATCTGGTCCTAAAAATATAGTGACAGCAAACTTTCATGGTCAAAATCCAAAATGGCTGCCTGACAGTCATTATGCTAATCTGGTCTGTCTCAAAATCAAAATGGCACAAGTACAGAACAATGAGAATCTACACAGACTTACAGACTATGAAAGATTTGTTAAGGAGAGGTCAAGAACATATGAAAAATTTACAACAATGATGCAGTAAATGAAGACTAAACTTACCTATTGGTACACCTGAAGAATCCGTGTTCTGCATCATCACATGTACATTTGTACTGACAGCCATCATACCACTGCTGTCCCTGCGCATACTGCTTACCATTATAGATACACACCTCTGTAAACACAAGATGGCCAGATTTCTGATAACATCAAACTTAGACAGTATCTATTATTTGCAACTGACTTTCTAAGTAAAATTAAACCAAATATTTGTAGACCCAGAGAGTTGGCTCACAATATATTATTTTATAAAAGCTCTTATGAGAACTCTAGAACTCAGGCTATTTCATCCTTCACATCTTTCCTTTACTTACTTGGTCTAGGAGTAGTGGGAACTGGGGTGGTTGTGATCGGTTGGGCTGTTTGAGGATAGGTTATCGGGGCAGCCGAGCCACTGAATGAGTTAATGGTCTGTGTGAAGTTGCAAAAAGGCACTGAACAGCATGAATCTTGAGGATCGGTAACCAAGTGACAGTATGGAACTGGCAGATTGGGATACTTTCGGCACCTTATCAAAAACAAATAAAGCATTTACATCAGATTCTTATAAAGACATCATCATTCTTTTATAAGATATTCACAGCATTTACTTCAAATCTTTATAACAGCATCACTTTGAAAAATTGTCATCATCCTAATGTGTAGTAATTTGATAAGCAACTGCTAGAGAATAGAGAGTATTCAAATGAAGGCTCACCTTTCAGTACATCTCCACTTGCCAATGGAGGCATCTTCACACACACAATTGTAGGTACAGCCATCCTGCCAAGTATCTCCCTGGTTATGTCTCGCACCCTTGTAGATACAGTAACCTAGAAAGATTCAGCAAACTGTACACTCAATATACTGTACATAAAGTAACCGACAGATTCAACAAACTGTACACTCAATATACTGTACATAAAGTAACCGACAGATTCAACAAACTGTACACTCAATATACTGTACATACAGTAACCGACAGATTCAACAAACTGTACACTCGATATACTGTACATACAGTAACAGACAGATCAACAACCTGTACACTCAATATACTGTACATACAGTAACCGACAGATTCAACAAACTGTACACTCGATATACTGTACATACAGTAACAGACAGATTCAACAAACTGTACACTCAATATATTGTACATACAGTATCCGACAGATTCAACAAACTGTACACTCGTATACTGTACATACAGTAACTGACAGATTCAACAAACTGTACACTCAATATACTGTACATACAGTAACTGACAGATTCAACAAACTGTACACTCAATATACTGTACATACAGTAACTGACAGATTCAACAAACTACACTCAAAAATACTGTACATACAGTAACCGACAGATTCAACAAACTGTACACTCAATATACTGTACATACAGTAACTGACAGATTCAACAAACTGTACACTCAGTATACTGCACATACAGTAACAGACATATTCAACAAACAGTACACTCAATATACTGTACATACAGTAACTGACAGATTCAACAAACTACACTCAATATACAGTACATACAGTAACCGACAGATTCAACAAACTGTACACTCAATATACTGTACATACAGTAACTGACAGATTCAACAAACTGTACACTCAGTATACTGCACATACAGTAACAGACAGATTCAACAAACTGTACACTCAATATACTGTACATACAGTAACAGACAGATTCAACAAACTGTACACTCAGTATACTGCACATACAGTAACAGACAGATTCAACAAACTGTACACTCAATATATTGTACATACAGTATCCGACAGATTCAACAAACTGTACACTCGTATACTGTACATACAGTAACTGACAGATTCAACAAACTGTACACTCAATATACTGTACATACAGTAACTGACAGATTCAACAAACTGTACACTCAATATACTGTACATACAGTAACTGACAGATTCAACAAACTACACTCAAAAATACTGTACATACAGTAACCGACAGATTCAACAAACTGTACACTCAATATACTGTACATACAGTAACTGACAGATTCAACAAACTGTACACTCAGTATACTGCACATACAGTAACAGACATATTCAACAAACAGTACACTCAATATACTGTACATACAGTAACTGACAGATTCAACAAACTACACTCAATATACAGTACATACAGTAACCGACAGATTCAACAAACTGTACACTCAATATACTGTACATACAGTAACTGACAGATTCAACAAACTGTACACTCAGTATACTGCACATACAGTAACAGACAGATTCAACAAACTGTACACTCAATATACTGTACATACAGTAACAGACAGATTCAACAAACTGTACACTCAGTATACTGCACATACAGTAACCGACAGATTCAACAAACTACAGTGAATATACTGTACATACAGTAACTGACAGATTCAACAAACTGTACACTCAATATACTGTACATACAGTAACTGACAGATTCACCAAACTGTACACTCAATATACTGTACATACAGTAACCGACAGATTCACCAAACTGTACACTCAGTATACTGTACATACAGTAACCGACAGATTCAACAAACTGTATACTCAGTATACTGTACATACAGTAACCGACAGATTCAACAAACTGTACACTCAATATATTGTACATACAGTAACCGACAGATTCAACAAACTGTACACTCAATATACTGTACATACAGTAACCGACAGATTCAACAAACTGTACACTCAATATACTGTACATACAGTAACAGACAGATTCAACAAACTGTACACTCAGTATACTGTACATACAGTAACCGACAGATTCAACAAACTGTACACTCAATATACTGTACATACAGTAACCGACAGATTCAACAAACTGTACACTCAATATACTGTACATACAGTAACCGACAGATTCAACAAACTGTACACTCAATATACTGTACATACAGTAACCGACAGATTCAACAAACTGTACACTCAATATACTGTACATACAGTAACCGACAGATTCAACAAACTGTACACTCAATATACTGTACATACAGTAACTGACAGATTCAACAAACTGTACACTCAATATACTGTACATACAGTAACTGACAGATTCAACAAACTGTACACTCAATATACTGTACATACAGTAACCGACAGATTCAACAAACTGATCCCAAGGGGTCAGACTCATTGTTTATACAAAACTGATATCTCTTCGCCTAAGCATGCTTCAGACAACATTGGACAATATCCTGTCAAGTCCTGAAGAACAAGTGAGCTAAACACCAGTCTTAGAATTTTCAAATATATGGAGCTTTGGTGAAGTCAACAAAAATTGTTACAAGTTTTATAAATCGCATTTGAAATGAAACAAATGTAAGATGCTGTTTATCACATAACTGGATACTTTCACAAATATTCATGAAAACAGTATTTTATCAGAATAATAAAAAATCTAGATTAATGATATATTTAATCAATATCTCTATGGTGACATTATAATGTGTATGACACCTTGAAGTTATGACAGCAAAAGGAAGCCATAGAAACCTTCATCCAACATAGTTCACATACGACCTGTGTACAAAAAATATGACAGCCAGGTAGTTATGTGATAATTTCATTTAAATTTAGGAGCATTTGAAAATAACAATTTAAAAAAAAAAAAAAAGGTCATGTTACCAATGCCAGGACGGGAGGTGACAGAGGGTGCTGTAGGAGCCACAACATTACTGGTGAAGATGTTTACATAGTGTATTGTGTTGTAGGTACTGTTGTACAGGTCAGAGACACTAGGGGGCTCTACTACACCGTGGCCAATGGTACCCTGTTGGAAGGATGGAATGAGGGGTGTGGATGGGTCGTTGCAGACTGGTTTCTGACAGCATGAATCATCAGGATCCACGGACATATGGCAGCCAATTGGCAAGTTTTGGTAGGTTGGACACCTGAGGATAGATATACATGTAAGAAAAATACAGAACAAGAGCTCCAAGAGGGATCTTGCTGTCCAAGTGTAACCAATGATCTTCCCAGGTTCTGTGTATATTTTATTTTCTTGTCTCACTTATCTGTTATGTGATGTCAAAATCCAAAATTGTCACTGGCAGACAACTTGAATTTTAGATCATTTTTACGATACAACTTTAACTACTGAGACTCATTCTTAACATACAAAAAGTTCAAGAACATCCGTTTGAGAAAAAGCAGTAACCAACTTTAAAAGTATTGGTCAGTATCTCATAAAATTGTGTATATCTATACTAAACTGTGTACATTCTACGTAACTGTTTACCTGTGTACAATTGTATTTAATTGTTTATAGGGCTTTTCCCACTCATTTAGGATAAAGTCTTTTGATAATATTTTCAGTAGAAATTAATCAACTGAATATTGAAGGAGTAAACTTTATATTTGAGAATCTGGCCATATTATGAAATAAACCCAATTAGGAAAAGGGCCCATATTCAAGACCTCATAGCCCACTGTGTACAAAGGTATCTATCTGTTACCTGTGTACACCTGTACCTTCTTGTTTACTTGAGTACACCTGTACCTAATTGTTTACCTCTGTGTACAGGTGTAATAGCCAGTTTTGGCATCAGTACACTGACAGGAGTAGTCACATTCATCATCCCACCTCTGGTCTTGAATGTACATGTTTCCTTTATATAGACAGCCACCTACAAATACATAAATCAACAACAGATTATCAATAAATGTCTCTTAATAAAACTATTAAGCAGGATATAACTCTCTTACTTTATATAGTCAGGATATAAATCTCTTACTTAATCTAACCAACAGGATATAAATCTCTTACTTTATATAGTCAGGATATAACTCTCTTACTTTATATAGTCAGGATATAAATCTCTTACTTTATATAACCAACAGGATATAAATCTCTTACTTTATATAGTCAGGATATAAATCTCTTATTATATAGTCAGGATATAAATCTCTTACTTTATATAGTCAGGATATAAATCTCTTACTTTATATAGTCAGGATATAAATCTCTTACTTTATATAGTCAATATAACTCTCTTAGTCAGATATAAATCTCTTACTTTATATAGTCAATCTCTTACTTTATATAGTCAGGATATAAATCTCTTACTTTATATAGTCAGGATATAAATCTCTTACTTTATATAGTCAACAGGATATAAATCTCTTACTTTATCTAGTCAACAGGATATAAATCTCTTACTTTATATAGTCAATATAAATCTCTTACTTTATATAGGATATAAATCTCTTACTTTATATAGTCAGGATATAAATCTCTTACTTTATATAGTCAGGATATAAATCTCTTACTTTATATAGTCAGGATATAAATCTCTTACTTTATATAGTCAACAGGATATAAATCTCTTATATAGTCTATATCTCTTACTTTATATAGTCAACAGGATATAAATCTCTTACTTTATATAGTCAACAGGATATAAATCTCTTACTTTATATAGTCAGGATATAAATCTCTTACTTTATATAGTCAGGATATAAATCTCTTACTTTATATAGTCAATATAAATCTCAGGATATAAATCTCTTACTTTATATAGTCAGGATATAAATCTCTTACTTTATATAGTCAGGATATAAATCTCTTACTTTATATAGTCAGGATATAAATCTTTATATAGTCAGGATATAAATCTCTTACTTTATATAGTCAACAGGATATAAATCTCTTACTTTATATAGTCAACAGGATATAAATCTCTTACTTTATATAGTCAACAGGATATAAATCTCTTTACTTTATATAGTCAATAAATCTCTTAGGATATAAATCTCTTACTTTATATAGTCAACAGGATATAAATCTCTTACTTAATCTGGTCAACAGGATATAAATCTCTTACTTCAACAGGATAAATCTCTTACTTTATATAGTCAACAGGATATAAATCTCTTACTTAATCTGGTCAACAGGATATAAATCTCTTACTTTATCTAGTCAACAGGATATAAATCTCTTACTTTATATAGTCAACAGGATATAAATCTCTTACTTAATCTAGTCAACAGGATATAAATCTCTTACTTTATATAGTCAACAGGATATAAATCTCTTACTTAATCTAAATCTCTTACTTAATCTGGTCAACAGGATATAAATCTCTTACTTAATCTGGTCAACAGGATATAAATCTCTTACTTAATCTAGTCAACAGGATATAAATCTCTTACTTAATCTGGTCAACAGGATATAAATCTCTTACTTAATCTGGTCAACAGGATATAAATCTCTTACTTAATCTGGTCAACAGGATATGAATCTCTTACTTAATCTGGTCAACAGGATATAAATCTCTTACTTAATCTAGTCAACAGGATATAAATCTCTTACTTTATATAGTCAACAGGATATAAATCTCTTACTTTATCTAGTAAACAGGATATAAATCTCTTACTTTATCTAGTAAACAGGATATAAATCTCTTACTTTATCTGGTAAACAGGATATACATTTCTTAATCTAATAAGCAAGTTTGCAAAATCTTTTGTAAGATTAAGTAAAATGAAAATCTTTCTGCCTCCATACATGGAATTTCCAGCTGAGAGCACGGATGTCAGTTTATTTCAGGTGATGCTCAATTAATCAACACTAGATATAAGTTATCTCAAGCACACCTTCAGAAATTAACATTTGTTAGGAGCAATGTGTTTTTGGTACATGACAAAAGTTAAAAGCTTTATCAGATTAAAATTCCTTTTATGCCACACAAAAAAAATAACACATTATTTATGTAATAAGAGAAATTAGACCATGTAAACAATCAAAACATACTTAGTGTAGGAGCCGTGAAGCCTGTGCCACCAGTTCCAGGCTGTGGTTTGCCACCAGAGGGCAGTGTTGGTGCAATCTGTGGTTTACTGGGATTCTGTATGGTGATCATACCACCGTTACCAATGGTGTTGAGGTTATTGGTGGATGTTAGAAAGGAACCTGTATCACATTGAACTGTGGAACAACATTCTCCAGCTTTCTTTGTCTCGTAGCATCCTTGTGGAAGGTTATTGTAGGTTGGGCAGCTGATCACAACAGAAAAGTGAATAGTCAAACAAAACAAAAACAAAGAAAATTCTACAAGACATAAAGGCATGTTACCAGATAAAAAAAGAAAACTTCAAGAGAAAAAAAACTGGGAATAAACACCTAGATTGTACAGAAGTCAACATTGATAAATCAAAAAGCTACTCCTAAATATCAAATTGGGAGAATTTCATTGATTTGATCTTTCATCTTATATCTTTTTCCTGAACCCTCAGAAGCTCTATACATAAAAACATTGTAAAACCCCATCCTTCAGGCATTCCATACATAAATTGTAAAACCACGCCTTAACTCATGTATCAACATATCTTCAGGCATTCTATACATACATTGAATAATCCTTCCTTTAATCGTGTATCAACACATCTTCAGGTGATCTATACATACATTGAATAACCCCACCTTTAATCGTGTATCAACACATCTTCAGGTGATCTATACATACATTGTTAAAACCCACCTTTAATCATGTATCAACACATCTTCAGGCGTTCTATACATACATTGAATAACCCCAACCCTACTCACGTGTTAACACATCGATAGTAACCGTAAGCAGCATTTTCACAAACACATTCAGTGTCACAGCTCACCCTCCAACCTTGACCTTGATGGTAGATATGACCTTGGTAAAGGCAGGTGTCTAAAAAGATTTTAAAAGGCATTGATAACAAAGTCTGAATACATAGAAATCATTGATTATCTAAGGCATCTTCACTTTTTGTCTTTATTTGAATTTATCATACACAAATAATAATTTTATCATCTTTTTCTAGCTGTATGTTATTTAATGGTTAAATTGCATTTGAAAAATTGAGTCAGTTAAACATAGGTGATCTAACTAACCTTACATTAATTTCCAGATCTGTTAGACAAGTAGAGTACAATAATTTAATGATCACTTATTAGCTGTGTAAATGACACAAATCTATCCCATTTAGCAGTCAGTAATATTCAAAGTAGAAGATTAAATAGGAAGTAGACGTACCATTCGGACCAGGTGTTGGTTTCACATCTGCAGGAGAAAGAATTCAAAAATGCAATGTGAATTATTATACACAACTAACAAACCCGATGTATCAGATAATTTTCTTTCAGAATGGAAGCTCCAAAATGATCAACATAACTTAAAAACTCCTAAATACCATGGAATCTACATATTTTGTTATTCATATAGATGTTATCACAATTCAATTATTACTTGGCAAAATTCTTATTTAAAAACCACACTTTTGTCTAAAGAATGCCTACAGACTTTAAGTGGTCGTGATATTTTCAAGGGAATCCAGGACACCATTTACAACTTTTTTTATGAGTCCCATTATCAAGGAATAGAACAGGTTCTCAAAATTTCCCACAGGAAATCAGGAGTCCTGGACTCAAATATTTCAGTGCCAATGATAAAGCTTTGGATGGTTATTCACATGAACAGGATACATAGTATGTGCATATTAGGAATAGGCTTATTGCCAAATGAACAGAGAAATATCTCCCCATATTCTGTCATAAATCTTTACAACATGGCTTACCACAAAGATTACAGTGTTTTCGACAGTTATCTGTAGCCCAACCTGGAAAGCTACCACATACTGTTTTTTCATAACGGTCACAATTGGGGAGGACATCAGCACAGGCTGGTGGCTGTGTTGGAGTAAGTCCTAAATAACAGAAAATAACATGAAGAAAACACATGGAAGTGATTTTACTTTATTTCCTCATCACAGTGAAATCCTAACAAAGTCAATATGCATGTTTTGTGTCCAATAGAATACTTCCAATATCAGTTCTGCTAGCTTTAGAGCTTAAACATAATACTGGATCCTAAAATGACCAGGAAAAATGTTCTAGGTTAAGGAGAATATGTGACTTTAATCACAAAGCTGTCTCAACCACAAAGTTGTGTATAAAAGAACAGTCAAATCTCAAAATTTGAGGGACTATGGAAAATATTTTGACTTATCGGAATTTCAATTCAAAGTGTCCAAATAAGATTTACAATATCAGTTTCCTAGGATTGATACAGCACTAAAATGTTTTTACCTGTTATAGAAAACACTAGCACTAGATTTAACAAATCAAGCACAGATATAGTTATAATACTGTGGCCTATGTTAAAATTTGGCTGTAAATATTGTCATAAGTTACCTGTTACAAGTTGAACATTCAGAGTCCCTCCAACAAAGATATACCGTTTTGCTGAGAAGGTTTTTACATACCTACTCCCAGGCCACTGACAGATCCAGTTCCTGTAAAACTGCCTTGCTGGGTACTAAACTCACAGACAGGTTTGGAGCAGCACTCTCCTGCTTTTTTGTCCAGATGACAATAAGGTGGCAGGTTAGTGTAGGTTTGACAACTGCCAAAATAAAGGACTGTAGGTAAGAGCTGTTGAATTGTTATCATAATTATCAAATCTCTAATACAGCTGAAAACTCTAGTGGACCAAGTGTAAAACAGTGTATGCTTTTTGTTCAACGTACCGATCTTGACATTGGACAAGCCCTGTTGAACCTGATGCACAAGTACAATGGTATTGGCAGCCATCGTCCCATGTCTGACCCCCAAAATACTGTTTTCCCTTGTAAGCACACACAGCTGAAAATTAAAACAAAGCACAACTGAACATTTCCATGCTTTTATTATAATGGTAAAAAAGGCTATATTTGAAACATACCAAGATCTATTGGTAATCAATCTTAAGGGTCATCAAAACTGATTCTATCACAATTGCAAACAATATGTTTTTCATTTTTCAAAATTTATTTTTGATCAAATGCATTTATTCAATCACAACATGTCTAAAAATATTACACAAATTAAAAGATCAATTTCTTACACATGCAAACTCAGAAGTTCCTCAAGAGAAAATATGGTGATGCATCTACCTATCCATCCATTATCTTCCCTATCAATTCTCGGTCAGATATTGGCAAACAACAAAATCTGTAATTTAGGCATTGATACATACGCATTCCAAAGGAATTTGTGGCTGGAGCAGTAACCTCAATCTTGTTGATGTTGGAATTGAAATTACAGACAGGTTGCTGACAACACTCTGTAGGACTTCTTACCAGGGTACACTGTGGGGGCAGGTTATAATACAGGGGGCATCTGTAAAGTAAAAAATGGAGGTCAAGTAGCAGTACAGGGGACATCAGTAAAGTAAAAAGTATTGATTATGTGGAAGTACAGGGGGCATCTGTAAAGTAAAAAGTAGTGATCACATAGAAGTCCATGGGGCATCTGTAAAGTAAAAAGTAGTGGGCATGTAGAAGTACAGGGGGGCATCTGTAAAGTAAAAAGTAGTGGTCATGTAGAACTACAGGGGGGCATCTGTAAAGTAAAAAGTAGTGGTCATGTAGAAGTACAGGGGGGCATCTGTAAAGTAAAAAGTAGTGGGCATGTAGAAGTACAGGGGGGCATCTGTAAAGTAAAAAGTAGTGGTCATGTAGAACTACAGGGGGCATCTGTAAAGTAAAAAGTAGTGGTCATGTAGAAGTACAGGGGGGCATCTGTAAAGTAAAAAGTAGTGGTCATGTAGAACTACAGGGGGGCATCTGTAAAGTAAAAAGTAGTGGGCATGTAGAAGTACAGGGGGGCATCTGTAAAGTAAAAAGTAGTGGTCATGTAGAAGTACAGGAGGGCATCTGTAAAGTTAAAAGTAGTGGTTATGTAGAAGTACAGGGGGGCATCTGTAAAGTAAAAAGTAGTGGTCAGTTAGTAGTACAGAGGACATTAGTAAAGAAAAAATAATGCAGTAATACAGGGGAGTCTTTACAGTAAACAGTAAAGTGATGCAATACAAAGGGGTTTGAAAAGTTAATAATTGGGGGCATCATAGAGTCAATAATTTCAACAGAAGTGAGTGTTGAAGAACAGGCTATCTTTCCATCCCTTTTACTTTTGTCAGCATCATCAAATGTTTAATTATATCAATGACAATAATTCAGTGGTTGGGTACCTGTTGTAACAGCGATAGCGTCCACTGTTTCCATCCTCACAGACACATTCATAGTCACAGCCATCAGTCCACTTCTCTCCATGCTTGTAGGAGGTTCCCTTGTAATTACACTGTCCAACTAAAACACACATGGTAACATTCAAGTAGACAAGCTTTGTTGTGCTGAACAAGATCCATAACACAGCCTGCATTACTTTGATTTTCTATCCATTTTAAAGTAATACAAAATCATTAGCAGTTATTTCCATTTGGTCAATTACAAAACCCTGCATGATTAAAAATATAATAGGAAACGGTGATGTGAAGTTGAACCCTCATAAAAAAACACGGGTTTTGACTAGAAAACACAAAGTATCACATTATCCAGCAATTACATATTCTCTTTATTAATATTGAAGGCATGCCCAGGAAAACTCAAAAAAACAAATCTTTAATGTCTGTTTCCATGGTGAAAAAGTAAAGTCATAAATTTTCTAATGTATCAGACAAAGATTATCACACTGCTAACAATAGAAATGAACTCCTAAATGGAACCTTCTTAAGTCTTGTCTGTTTGTAAAATATCTAAAGATGAAACCTTATCCACTGTTACTAAATGTGTGCTTTAGTCGTGCTACTTACAGAATCCAACAGCACTTGTAGCTGGCCCTGCAAAAGTAATGAAACATTATCTGTAACATATTTTTAGAAACTTTATGTATCACAGCATCAAGACTTCCAACAGAAGTGATCCAGTAAATATGTCCAATGACTTCAAAAATTGCAAAATGTCTTCACATTGTATGTTGTCTTTATCGCAGAAAATGTTATTTTGAAAGATGTCATATTTACCGCAGAAGCCACAGAATTTCCTGCAGTTGTCCTCGGCCCAACCCTTGTATGTTGGTTGTAAACATACATCTGTGCCAAAACTTGGGCAGTTGTTGAGGCGATCCACACAAGGAGGTGGGGCAGTGGTATAGAGAGCTATATTTAAATAAAATGTTATTGAATACAAACTGAAAATTATGTAGTTACTAAATATAATCAGGAAAATACATTTACTCTAAATTAAAATTTGCTCTGGTATATTTTTGGCTTTTAAACATCAGCTTTTGAATCCATAAAAATCAAAATGAGAAGTATTATCAAAGTACTATTGACATTGATATGGAAGCTTTATTAAGTGCAACATAAAACATTTCCTATTCTCAAACACAAAACATTTAGAAAAGTAACACTGCTTAAGTTTAAGAAATATTTAGTCACACAAGAATATCATTTTTTCTTCAAGCAAATATGTTGTTGTTTACCATGTTCTCATTTGGGAACATGACATTACTCATTTGGAATGACTAGGATTTACATGACAAGCATCACTGATGAAGTAGAAGATGCTTACTCTTTCAGAACACCTGGTCTTATTCTCCTTATACTTTTCTCAGGAGTTTGTGTAAATCCTTCATCTGTTATGCCGTTGTTTTAATGAATTTGTTTTTGCTATAACTTCAACACAGCTAGTAAAAAATACGTACGTTGACAAAATCCACAGTATCGACCACAATTGTCTTTGGCCCATGGTGCATAATTCACACAAACATCATGTCCATACTGCTTACAATTGGATTGAAGGTCAGTACAGGGGTCAGGGCTAAGAGTTCCACCTGTAACAGTTAACAAACCCATATTGTAGATTGTCATAGGTGTCTTTTTGTAATACATATATAGATAATCTTCTGGAGTTTCCATTTAGTTAAATTGCTCCAAACAATATGTTTTTGTGACCCAGATATTATAATAGGTAAGGGTTCACCTGCCCGACCATGTGGGTTTCCCCCGGGTACTCCGGTTTCCTTCCACAATAAGACCCCTCGCGCGCTAACATAACTTGTTTCGCAATTGTTGTAAAATAAATAAAGTTTATATTATAAATGAAGAAGTCAAGTTTGTGAAAATTTCCTATTCTTATGAAATCACATCTATTTACAAAATCCAAAAAGCAAAAATGTAGTCTGTTTTCCATTTCACAATACGCAATACTGACATTGAGTCATCGAGAGAAAAGAAGCGTTCAGCTAAAAGCCTTATATCACTACAAGATCAGGGAAACTTAGAAATGTCAGGAAAGTAATTAGCTTACCAGGTGAACTTGTCACTCTTGGAGCAGATGTGGCTGAAACTGGAAAAGGAAAAATGACAGTCACTTTTTTGGTATATAAAATGAACAACCATGGCTTTCAGCATCAAAATGAACAACCATGGCTTTCAAGGTTCGTAATGTTAACAAGAGAATAAATGAAAGATACTAGTTTATATATTTCACAAAACGCCAAGTTGTTTTACATGGGATATCCAATTATTAACAGCTTCAAACCATGAAGACTGACAGGCTGAAACATGTCTGTTACCAGCAGAGGAGACAGAGAATTTAAGGATTAGAACCTGGCTTTGGCAGGTGTTCCTCTCCTTTCAACATTGTAACTTCAAACACTGTACAGTATGCAAGCATACAAGTGTCTTCTTACTGTTCGTTTTACACCTATGATTAATGACTTTCAGAACCCGTATTCAGTTTTCAATACAATTACAATTTCTTTTCAAATGAGACATTTCCTGCAAAGCCAAGAACTGGACTGGTTTTATTTGACTCCAGTTATTTGTTTTCATTGTTGTTCTCTCTATATATACTATTTTACAAGCAATAAAGGTACTGGGTTGTATCAAAAATTTTCTATAAACTATCTAGTATGATTTTTTTTCAATGCTATACTAAAACTAATATATCCATTTGTTCAATGCGATCTCTTATTTCCTCTGATTTTGAACGAACTGTTGTGTATGCAACAGCACTTCTGTGATAGTAAATCAAACATTATTCTCAACCCCAGTAAGATTTTCTCTTTACGACTCATTACTGAATGAAAGATATATCTATGATCTAACAATATGAGAAATGATACACCTCTGGGGCTGTACTGGCGTACATTTCTTGAGGACTGGGACTAGTTTTCTCCAGTCAGCAGTAGGTTGGTTGGTTACAGGTTTTATGTCTCTGTGCCTTTTCCTATTACTCTAGTGTCCTTCCGACAAACGACCCCATTCAATTTCTACTTAACCCATTAATTATTTCATAAGCAAAATTTTACAGAGCTGCTTCTCAATTTTATAATCAGGACATTTATAACATAGTCAAGGAAAATTGATACCTAGACAATTTTGACACGTGCGCAATCAACCTTGTCATCAGATATACTTCATATTCAAGAGATTTTGGAAGTAAGACTATTACAAAAGCAAAATTTATCTACAGTTGAAATGTAAGTCATGACTGCCAGTTGAGCAACAAGACGATGTAGTTTACGAACCCAGTGCATCAGGGTTGTATAAAGATGGAAATAATATAACATCTGGCCTTGGTATCTGTCACTGTAAGAAGGAAAAGATAAGATAAGTTACTTCCAGCCTGTATTTTCCTACCTTGACAAGCCTTGTTGATAATCTGAGAGGAGATAGAGTCGAGCTGATCATAGCTGTTCACTGTGAAGGTATTCTGACTATCTGGGTTGTCTGCAATGCTGTGGAGCTCATTCATATCAACACCAGAACCTACACCAACAGCTAGCATCCCAATATGAGCTAGACGAGCTTGATCAGCTGCAGAAGAAGTCAGAGCAGAGCTGCTAGATCGGCCGTCAGTGATCACGACAGCAATCCTTGGTACATTACTACGAGCACCACTGTTCTGCGAGAACATCTGACTGGTCATGTACTTTATGGCGTCGCCAGTATTGGTGCCTCCTTGCATGTATTTCATGTTGTCAATGCCGTTCATTACATCTCCACGCGAAGTGTAGGTGTCTAAAGGAAACTCCATGGAAGGGTAGTTACTGTACTGCATCAGACCTACATGTACCTAGGTAAAAGATTCAAGGCAAAGATCCAAGATAAGAATTGTTCCTCTGATGCTATATAAAAAAGTCCCTAAATACCTTGCTAATCATGAATACTTCAACATAATCAATACAGTTGGAGCACAAAAATATGGTATCGACAACTGAACTTTACTTTCCAAATTCCCTAACCCTAGGACAAAATGCATTATATAATCTAAAAAAATAACTTACTGCATTTGGGCCAATATTCAGTTGACCAGTAATGCCTTTAAGGAAGTCCTTGAGCTTGAGGAAATTTCTGCTCCCAATACTGCCAGAACTGTCCACTAGGAATACGAGATCTGCACGCTGCAAGCACTGGGCTGCAAGTATGTCGTAAGTAGTTTCTAGTACAAGTCATAATGTTAACATTTCTGACATTATTCTTACCTATTCAAATATTCTTACATGTAGTTAACGAAATAATAAAACTTTGTGTAAAGAAATGTGTCTATTTTTCTCAGAGATTCTGACTGGTTGGCATTTTCAATTTGGGTACAATATGGTAAAATGAAAATAAAGAATTTGATAATTCAATATACTGTAAATTAACATCATTTTTATTAGCAATAATTGGTATACCAGTTTCACAAAGTCTTAGCAAATAGCATGTTTTCATCTTTCGACATACAAATAAATCTTACCTGTGTTTGTGGACAGTGCTGGAGTTTCTGTGTTCAACAAAAAGCAAAACCATTGTATTGCACTCACCTTCTATACACATTGTATTTGTAGTATTGTGGGATTTAACACATTGCTCAAAGTTTCAAAAATCTGTTCATTTTTGCTTTACTTCTCCCAATATGAGTTCTACTTTTTCAGTTTTTTTTTCTTTCTTTTTCTTCTTCTTGTTATATAGCAGCTTTAAGGAATGTTCATAAATAAAATTGTTAAAACTGAAGATTTTGCAAGCTATTTTTTTTTTTCAATTATCTCTTGACAAAATTCTGTATCACAAGTTAAATGCCAAGTTGATATGACAATGTGACGACAAAAATAAATGACCAGGCATTTTACACACATCTTTCCATCTGAGTTTTAAATCTTGTCTGCAATATTTGGTTTATCTGCCTCAACTTTGTCACCCACAAACTTAACTTTTACTCTTTTTTTTCAACTGAGCTAATATTTTCCATTTTATCTTGAGAGGACAGATGAACAGCTGACACATGTACCAGAATAAGACAATCATATGTTTTAGAAAATTTATTAAATACTTTACACATAATTTATTGTTGTTGTATTCTTATCATCTAATATATATACATATTTCTATACAATTTTGAGGTTCAATATTTTAAGTATATCCTGAAAACAATTTTGTTATGAGCTACTGAGATAGTGATATGTTTGTCACCAAAACTTTAAAGATTTCACAGATACTGTAGATGTTGAAAGATCAGAATTTCTTACCGCTGGTGATGGCATGGTAGAGTGGGTAAGATAAATCGGAGAGAGAGTCAAAGTTTTGAGCAGTCATACTGTACTGGCTGGATGGAGTGCTGGCAGCAGTTGCAAGCTGGGGTAAGTGTGCACCACTTCCAACACCAACCGAGTACAGTTTGATCCCTTCATTCTTGGCACGCTGGGCTTCCTGTTGGAACGCTTGAGAATTGCTAGGAGGAGTACTCATCACCATCACACCAACATGAGGCACACCTTGACGTGCACCATGAAGTGAGCTGAAGCTCTCATCTGTCATAAACTTTAGACCCTCTGTAGCATACGGTCGACCTGGCTGATATTGGATGCTATCAATGGCATTCAATATTTCATACTTGGTTTGATACCTGTCCAGGTAAAATTGGTTGTGAGCTGTAGAGCCATATGTCACAATACTTATCCGAATGCAGCCTGGAGATACATCATAGTCACTTATGGTAGACTTTATAAATTCAAGTTCTTTGCGAAAGTTATCCGCCCCCACCCCCTGTGATGAGTCTACCATAAACGTTAAGTCCTGCTGTACACATCCTGAAATCATAAGAAATTTAAATTATACATAAATAGCATGTAACCTACTTTCAGAAATACTTTTTGAAGATAATAAAAAGACACACCAGTCAATACCCTTTTAATTCAATAACACTGCATCACGAGCTGTTTCCTCATTCTAGGACACATCAGTGATGCTAGTGGCTTAGATTTTAAAGCTATGGGAGTGACGAAGAATTGAGAGAAATGTCCAAATCCACTAGCCCCATAACTCAGTAACTGGAAATAAATTGAGTGATGAGTAAAGGAAGTAATAAAAGACATTGAAAAAGAAAATTTCGGAAAAACCTTTGTTTGAAGCGTATCATAGTGAAATTCATGGTTTACACTGACCCTTAGTCAGCCTTGCATGAAAATAGATCTGACCTATGAACTTTGACAAACAAGTTTCAATAGGTATTATAGTTAAAAATACATCTATACATAACACTGATTTCTTAGATTTAACAAAAATGCATGTTTAAAAGCACAACATACATGAGCAACTTTAATCATGGGGGATTTCTTCTCAGTAATGTTAACAATGTAGCATTGCTGGCATTGCAGTTCATTTACAAGTTTTTCTCCAATATTCCTATTCATTGATGTCATGAAAAGCTTGTAAGAGCTCACAATTTCCATTTGTTTTGATTAATGTTGTTGAAATGAATAACCTTGCGATTTGGTAGGTGATGTTTGTAATTGTGGTTTTTGTAGGAATTTCGCAATGTAATTTATCGTCGATTTGGCAATAAAATACATTCAATTTTTTAAAAAAAAGTACTGTGGATTGAGTTATTTCATTATCCTTTTCGTAAGGAAAAACACCAATTATCGATAATTTCCGGTCCTTCTCGTGGTTGTAGGAATATTCTAGGAAATCGGCCAGCCATTGCAATGAAACATCGTCTCCTGTCATCTGTGATCATAATATTCTGTCGAACAGAAGTCATAACTGATTCTTCTGAACATGACACCAATATGACAGTTACGTATGAACCTAGTCCACATTATTATAGAAAAGACGGGCTATGAATTCTGTTTTCGCGGATTTTCCCGACATTCCCATAATGCAATGTCCAACATTAGCTTCCGCAGCCGCAGAACGCGGGAAACTGAGCGAAAAATGAGGGGGGAAATGCTATAGTTTAGAAGAGATATCTTTCAATTACTTTCCATCTTTAAATCAAATTACAATTTTGGGTTGTAAAAAATGGAAACAACGTTTCAAAACCAGAGACGTATACTCATAGAACCAAAAAATAACACGGAAAATGAAGAAACAACATGGTGCATAAAGCAATATGACACGAATAAATCTAATTCTGCAACAGAATTTCACGATTACCAAATATCAAATAAATTTTATGTTAACAGATCATTCACAAGGTAAAATCTTCTAAAGAGGGAATGTCATAGAGTTTTATTGCGTATCTATTCCGGATCAGAAACATGACAATGGGGTCAACCTTTCTTAAGGCTTTATAGAGCATAGGTATAGAGTCAAACAGAACAAAACAGCACATCCGGCCAGTAAGATAAGACTGTTAAAGGGTCACACAACTTTTATTCTGGGCTGGGTTATCTTTCTACATATACATGATCTGTTCTTTTTATTCGCTATATTTCCGTCTTTCTGATTTATCTATTCACAAATGTCATTTTCTCATCATAGAATTGATAAAAAGAAATGTACACGATTTTATTTTTCCTACACTTTTTCAATGCATGCTCTTTTGATAAAGTTTATTGTCAAAACGTTTACATTATCGATGAAAAATCGTTTTAAACATGATTCGTAATGTGGCCCTTTCCGTAGTTTAGGCCGACATACAATGTCATACTAATTAAGATGGCCCAACAATCCATTCAGACAAGATTTATTTAAGTTGAGATAATCACCCATTTCATAAACATTTTTTAAAAATTTCTAGCCAAATATTTTTTTTAAACAATCAAGAGCTTATGACTTAAAACTATATGGATTGAAAAGCAAAAGGGAGGTAACCAAGTATGTATGTTAACGCTACTTTGAGAACAACATATGGACAAGCTCCGTGTCAGTGTGTCTATCGTTTGAACAGGTTATCAGGGGTCATTTCTACAAATGGAGCATAAGCAGTATGAACCTGTTGATATAGAATCGACTTGATGTCATCGTGTGTTGAGTAGTTTGTTGATAAATAAAATAATATTATCAATCCCTAAATTGTTCCTATATATTTCCAATATAGAGATAAATCAGCCTTCACAAACACATTAAATAATGAAACAGTGACATAAAACGAGTGATGAAACAAAATACTGATTATCAGTGACGGTATTCCAACTCGTCAGTGCGTTCCGATTTGTTAAAACAAAACCGCTAAGACAGGGAGTGTCATTTGTACTCCTTCACTCAGTATGACAACAAAATTAGAGTGAACTTTTCCTTTATATGTTGTCGGCGTAAACTTAATATATATATACATATAAATATATATATATATATGGGGTTACATATATATATATATATATATAAACAAGTTCTTTGAAGTTTCTTTAATATTCCGTAATTCGTCAGTTTCATCACATATTTCAGAATATGACATAAACGAGTAAATTGCTTTTTGAAATATTTTCTCTTCTTAAAATGGAGATGTAGAATCACCAACCAAATAATTTCATTTTTATGAAAAGATATTAATGGTATATCAAGCGTCGAATCACAACGGAGATGGCCGAAGTTTGCCGAAGTTGTCCTAGCGGAAGTCTTTTAATTCTACTACCCAAATCTCATAATCAAATACAATGTATACGAGGGTAACCATATCAGTTTCAGTCAATAAATCTCTTATTTTCCCCTTTTGCCAGTGAATTTAAAAACATTATGCAGAAAAATCACAATCATATCATTCTTATTCTTTGAGACATAAATAGATGTTTCAGGAAGTATGTTTCATGATGGTACAATTAAAATATGTGTTACATTTAGAACTGGTGAAGACGACAGTGTACAAGCAGCACAATGATGGTGGCGTCACACAACTTTTCCAGCTTTATAACGGTTTCAGCTTTATCTAATTATTTATTTTTCAATTAATTCGTTTACCTTTTGATTATTAGTTTTATTATTTCAACAATGTAATGCAATGCTTGACAAACACAATTCCATGTGGCCGTCTTTGACGATTTGAAACTCTCTCAAGTGAAAACAGTTTTCATTGGTTATATTAGCAATTGCAATTGATAGTACTTCGTGTTAGGAAATCACACTTCACTCACTAATCATCGAAGTAATTCCCATTGATTGATATATATCTCAAGATGGGTCATTAGTTGTCCGTTAACAATACACAAGATAATATTGTATAACTCTGTCCTACCTTGTGTCCCTAGGACGGCGAAAACCGCCAGAAGAACACCGACACTGCGGATCATCTTAAGGCGAGTCGAAATGATTGGCTGGCGAAAACATGTCCTTTTATAATGTGACGCAACCCACATATGTCACGTGAGACATGATAGTCAATGGAAACATAGAGACGGTTGTAACCTCCACAGGTCAATCTATAGAGTACGATAAGAAATACGCCTACTGTGTACGCTAAAGGTGCAGTTATAGCGTACAGTGTGTATGAAATCAGTTATCGTATAATAAGTTATTGACAACGAGATTAGTGATAAAACGAATTTTTCACCAATGCGAATGCTGCTTGCTTTATTTCTTCCTTTTTTTTTATGAGTACCATTGATCAATTTGACTCTCTATGTCGTCAGGGAACACAATCTAACGTTATCTAAACGTTTACTTTTTAGGAAGACTTTACGTTAAAAGAGGCATCAGAATGAAACAAGTCAACGTAAAAAGGATAATGTTCATGGATCGTAATGCAATTCATCACACAGGCGGTCGGGATGGGGGTGTTGGTGTAGAATTATCGCTTGCCGTTCTGAAATACATTGTTTCTGAAACATTCCGTCGATTGTCTTTTCAAAATAAATGCAACATTGCCGGGATTAGAGAAAGTCTTTAAGACCTCAGTATTTTGCCAATTATTTTATTTTCATAAAGTTATGGGGTTGATATATAAGGTATGGATTAGGCATGTTGGCGCTCGCACGTGTGTAAGCAGGTATAATCAGGTGCAAGCAAGTGCAAGCATGTCACATGTTCCAACATGTGTAAGCAAGTGCAAGCATGTCACATGCTCCAACATGTGTGAGCAAGTGCAAGTATGTCACATGTACGAGTATCCCACCTCTGCAATTCCTACTCCCACCACACACTATCACTAACAGAACTACACAAATCAGAACCCGTAATCATTGAACATGAGAAATTCAGAGAGAACCATTACAAATTTCATATTTACATTTATACAAATAGAAAAACAAATTTCCTTTTTGCTGAAAGTGTGGTGCCACGAAATGAACCCAGATCTACCACCGTTGAGTGTTTCAATATTTGAAATATCCTAATCTCGCTGTAGACTTGAGCTTGCGACAATTATGATAATTTTACATTTCTGGATAGCAACATTCCTTCATCGCAACCGATGGTGTTTGCATGCTGCAGTTGATTCGATATTCAGGGGTCTGTTCCCATTGTCGGGATTTTCGTGCAAGAAGTCGTCGTCTGACGTGCAATTTTGTAAAATAGGGTTTCAAAAGATATATATTGGTGAAGATTGTCGGAAATTTTACGGTCGTCATAGTGATCTCATTGATACGTATTCTATTCGTATTTCATTGTGCGATGTGAATCTGGATGTGTTTAAAGATCGTGTTTGCTTGTTAGTTCCGGTGTTGCATACTTTGTTTTCATTTGAAAATGTGATAAAAACTTACCTGGATTGACCAAGATTTACAAGGTGGGTATCTTAGATGAAGCACAAGACGCTTACTCTTCCAGAACACCTGATCTTTTTCTCCTTGTACTTTTTCAGTAGTCTCCGTGTAAATCTTTCTTTTGTTTATATTTTTATTGAATTTGAGTTTTGATTATGATTATGTTGACATGTTGATATTTATCTTTCGACTAATCAAGGTACAGACGCCATCAGTTTAGTTAGTCGACAAGCAGATTGATTTTATTTTATGTATTCCCCTAGATTTTAGAATCCATTATAACATTTATTGGGGTGGATGTGGATGGTGCTAGTTATAACAAACACTTTTACAGCATTCGTCAGTATGTTTGGGTCTATCTACTTGCATTGCTAATAGCATTTGAGTCCTCGAGTTGCAATGTATAATGGTATATGGCTTGTATCCATAACTAACATTTTATGGATCTTGGATTTAGAAAATTTCTCTCAAACACCTTTTGGATATCGGCTCTTCCTAGCATTTTTACATTTATGAATGGTGCCTATATTTCAAATTACAGCATTTGCATTTCAATAAGAATGCCTCGATATAATCTAACCAGAAAGAATGGTGATTTAGTCTCATATGTTAATCTGAGTCAAAACTCCACATTTCAACTAACTTCAAAATGATGGACAGTGCCACAGGTTCAGGGGAAGTAATTCTGAAAGTTTTTAAAAATACTCGGTAGTATTTACATTAAAAAGGATAATAATGTGTTATATTATGAGGTCAAACTACTCGTCACGGGAATGAAGTATTAGAAATGATAATAAAATGCTGGTCGAAATTATGACTGTTACATATATAACATATATAACATAGAGAGCAAACCATAATACGTGTTGCCAACCGGACATATATTTATCATAAAACAACCAATAGAATTAATTATCTTGCAAATTTTATTTTGAGATTTTTTTTTTAATTTTCATGAAAATATATTGAAATCGTTCAACTCACTGCTGAAATGTTAGTTATTTTGTTTCATGTGACGTCTTTTCTAGGAAATCACGGTTCTTGATCACCTCAGTCCATCTGAAATCTTTTGAGAATCGCCTTTGGTTGTAGACTTTATGTTTGTCTTAAAGAGTCAGGTTGTTGATGTTTTCCACGTATCCTATAAACAACATGGGACCACAAAGGGATATTGGTGCCCACCATCGTTTCCTTTTTATTTGCCCTATATATATTTCACGTTGGTCTCTTCTCTCCTCTGTTTTGCTCTTAATGATATGAAAGAACATTTCCCTTAAGAAATAGCGATAACAATTTTTAACTGCCGAATCGAAGATGGTTATTTATCGATCATTTTTATTTTCTGATCAGTCCCAAAATCGGAGGGAGATAACTAGACACCAAGAGGACTAACACACAAAAGATGGGGTCAGCATTTGGCCCCCATATAGATTTCTATCATTTTTCGCCATATGTAAATACATGAAAATAACCTGCAACTGCATTAATATTTAGTCATTATAACTACTTATAATTATACTGGACCTCCTTGTATAACACCAGGTTGAGTGACAAAGGTACCCTAACATAATGACAAATACTTGCTACATGAGAATTTTAAATGACAACATTTAGATACCAGCCTAAAGTACATAAAATGTCCGTTATTTTGATACCACATATGTTATATTGGCATAAAAATGTAAGCATATTGATAACTTTGATTTAAATAAAATGCAAAATTTTCACAAAATAAAGAACATATCAAAGTTTGTCAAGATCATTTTGTACAGTTGCAATCTCAGTCTATATTTCATACTTCTTTAAAAACTTTCTACGTATATATGTCTATTGAATAAATTTTAAGTGATTTCAAAACCGGTAAAATGTATGTTTTGCAATTTAAACATGCTTATTGTATAATTTGCCAAAATCATGAAGATTTACTTTTCGTTGTGTTTTGTTTCAAATACAGCTATATTTTCCAGTTTTGTGTAGTACCAAAGCACATTAAGTATTTTAAGTTAAATTCAGTAGGTATAACTTAACATGGTATTTTCTGCACTAGAAATCTTTCCTCTAAAGAACAACTGACAGTTTAGTTTGTATTATAAAAACTTAACAATGATTAAATAATCAGTATTACTGATAACATGTTATCGTCATTCCACTTTTCTTCGTTTATCATTAAACATAACAATAATGGATGTAAATTAGTTATATATTCTAATTAATAATTAACAAATGAGGCAAGAAATGATAACCTTGTCTGACATCTGATTGTGCAAGTATGTTAATTTCCCGAAACGTATAAAGGTATTACTATAAAGTATTCACACCATTTTTGCTAAGTATCTATGAACAATTACATAGACAAAGTTACACTTATGTCAGACATTCTGTATTAAATCATGTCAGACGTGTGCATAGGTCGTGGTTGCAAAACCAGGTCGAAAGAATTATCTCAAGGAGCCCGAGCTCAAGTAAGACATGTATATATACCCCAGTATAACTGGCTGCACCAGCTGCTGACTGCTGAGGTCATTAGCATAACAGCAGAAAGCATATTATGTGGAAAGTGCTACAAGCGGTACCTCAAACAAAGGCCATTGCAGTCTGAATTTATGAACCTTTTGGAATGAGCACTCCAAATGACATGGCAAATGATGCATATGATGCTTACACTGATTTCATGTCATCCAACCAATTACCACTAATCTCTGTTGAGAAAATACTTTATGGTGGCAATTCACGTAAAAGATGTGTCACATGTGGAAAAGGGACACTGGGCTATGTACTATACCCCAGCGTGCCAGGACAAACTTGATATTTTTCCAACACAGGCATAGATGTAGACCATCTCAGAAATGAAGAATTCAAAGCATGGACTGGTTACACACTTGAAAAAATGCAGCAAATCCATAGCATTTGCTCCTCACACATCAATAGAGGATCATGTTCCTCTACATTCTATGCTTTGTTTCTTTTCTGGATTAAACTGAAGACCAATATTTCATGGTCTCAACTTGGTGTCTTCAAAGGTCTGACAAAAAACAGTATGTGTCTCACACATTCCATAGTGTCTTAAAAGCCTTGAGCCAGACCATTGTGCCCCATTTACTTGGTCAAAGACACATAACCCGTTGTTGACCGTGGTATATGGATGTGTTGGAGCTGCTGCGAGGTTCAGGGTTTTCTGTGTACATTCCTTCCTATCTTCTGTCAGGTCAGACACAGCATGATACACTTACTGCCGACGAGGACCGCCAGTGTACTAAGTCAAGATGGGTTGTGCAGAGCTACCATGGTCGACTGAAACAGTAGAAAGTGTTCAGAGAACAACTCAGCTCAAACTACTTCCTTAGTGTCATAGAGGAACTGGTTAAAGTAGCTACTGCTTCCTTGAATGCTGTACGTGGACCAATTTATGTGCATGCAACACTCAAGTTCAAACAAGCAATCATTTGAGCAGTTCTGCTATACTAAAACCCAATGCAATGTGCTGCAAACTGCAACTGTTCTATCTCTTATTAGTTTCTCAAAGTGCCAAAAATTATGGATCGGAACTGACAAAAGGCAAACCTGTCAATATCAATATTCATAATCTATCG